ATAAAATTATTCTGAAATATTCAAGAATGTGCCCCATTTGGTAGAGACGTAACGGCCGTGACAAGACCAAAAAATTGTAGGCGTATCCTCAGGGTACTTTATACCGGGAGGTACTTTGTACCGGGAATGTCCAGATATTACAGACAATACTTACATAAAAAATTTCTTTTGTATGCAAGTGTTTTTCACATTAATTTCATACAAAACATAGCATTTTTTGAAGAAAATTCAATGTTTTAGAGACGCTATTCACATACATGTGTTTTAAGTATAAAAACCAGTAATATTGCTAAAGATTTGGACCCAACATGATATTTTGAATGTGTGTGCAATGCTTATCAAATTATTACCCTTTAACTGTGTGATAACTGATAAATATTGAATAGAACTTTAGTATCATTAACAGTAATGGACCATTTACATATGTTTTTAACTTTTTATTGATTGCTTAAAAGCCATTCCTGGTATTAAGTACTTAAAAACAAAAATGGCTGCCACTCATATGAGGTTATTAACAGAACTATCTTTTTGATGTATAGTTAAATTTTCTTTTGGATGATTGTTATTTTCATCAAAAAATGGTACCTTCTACAGAAAATAACTATTTTATCCTAGATTTTTTTCTGTATTATATGATGGTGGGCCTAATAAAGCTTACACTCCCGGTAGATAGTACAACCAGGATATATGCCGGTTTTCCTGTAAAGGCAGACATCTGTGTAATATCAATTTGTAAAATCTGTCGGTTTTGCAGTCTAAGTATGATCGAAATGTCTTGGGTACGAAAGACTCGAGATCTCCAAATTACTTCGAAAATATTTACGAAAGTTTTAGTCCTCGGAAACAAATGGGCATCAATAAATAAACATAATATTATTAGTCATCAAATTCATAACATATTTTGCTTTATAACATACCTTATGAGCTTAACAGGCTGATAATTATGCTCGTGAAGTAGGTCGAAAAATATACCGGAAGTTGTCGGATTCATTTAACCTAATTATCGGCTAATTCAGAGACGAATAGATTATCTACATCTCTGGCTAATTCTATTTCAATATCCACTTTGCAATTATAAACTACAAAATTTATCCGATAAATAATGTCTTTTTCAAAAATTCTGGAATATAATACAAAAAATGTGATGATAAGGCGGATGAGTAAGTTAAATATTGCGAGCCGTCAAGCACTATGACCCAATTAATTTACTATCCCATTCATAGAATTATGTGACCTTTCAAATTATATCCGCTACGTTTCTAATACCGTAATTCAAGCTCAATTGCACATTATTTTCAAAAAATAAATTTCTTGTCTCCACTTCTGTTCGCAATAAATCGAAGTTTTCAGAAATTCAGAGCACTATTTTTCACTCGCGGCGGTTATGCGTCGGTCATGGTCGGGTGATCACTATGAATTCAGCTTACGTTGATATGTTAGAATACAATATAGCATTTAGAGTGGCGATGAAACGTCACAGCAGTGGGCGTTACCTTGTATGGTTGGAAATTTCGGGTTTGTAAGTGCACTAGTTGGGACTACGTCCCAACTAAAAATAGACAGAGTGTGACCTTGACCTTAATTTGAGCTTCAGACCTAGATATTGCTCATGACACATTGCATTAATGTGATTCACATATATACAAAATTATTTTAAAATCTAACCATAAATAACAACATTATGGACCGGACAAAGTCCGGACGGACGGTAAAAAAAATATATGCCTCCCCCTGTTTGAAGGCCCCTTTTGTCCCATAATGCGTTTTATTTTCATTTCTCAAAAGCTTTATCATTATTTCACATTCAGAACTACTTTCATCAGGACTACTTTAATCAGGTGGTAAAAATCTGACATGCTCTTGAACCATTATTTAAACGTTTTAAAACTCATATAAAGGAGGGAAAATTGATTCGTTTCTGAGGCAAAATGTCCATTTAAAAAGTGTTTGATGTGCAATAATAAGATCACTCAAAGCATCCAATCATAGTTAATTCATCCTGAAAAACAATTTTCGAATTACATCCCATATTAGTAATTTACATTTTATATTTATTTAATATGTGTATTTAAAGGAATGTACAATGAGGCAGTAAAGGCTTTCCATAGTTGTCCCAGTTATTGGCGACGCCGGTGAGCGGCGTCGTCTATTATGGAACGCTTTTTATTTTTGCCTATGGAAGGAGCTGTTATTATTAGCAGTTAATTTCATGTTGTGTTAATTATATTTATTTTGATTCGTTAAAATCAAGTAAACAAATATGTTGTTATATTTGTATTTAATAACTTTATATAAAAAGCATGTGCATTGTGATATTATTTTCACGAAATTGCAGGCTCTGATTAACAGCTTGTCCCTTTGTTTTATTGACAATGCTAAAACCCGGATTTCGAATATCGTTGTGGTCTACATTGATGTTCATTCATTTATATATTTTCAAAACTTTCCTACAAGAAGAAAGTTCACCTGCAAATGAGTATTATGATAGGTAATGGACTGTTGTAAACGATTATCCTATTGATTTTATCCATATTACGTTTATCTGTTGAACAGAATGGTTGTTTTTACAAAGTGTACCAGTATCCGGATGTTGACAGCTATCCGATTTTCTGCAATTACTGCTGTCACATGGCCATCTACTTTTTTATGAATACTTTACCATTAATTTGCATGGCATTATATAAATTAAAATGAGCCTGCAACATTTCTTAATTTTGATGTTTAGGGTGTTCTTTTGGGTTTCATGTTTTCTTTATTTCAAGGGGAAGTAACTCATGTTTACTTAATTATTTGTTCTTTTCTGTCTATCTTAGGTATTACTTACAATTTTTGTTTTATAAAATTTACCAGTTGTAAGGTCATCAAAAGCATAGAGGCCCTGATGAGTGAATATTGATATATATATACTTTTACTGGCTTTATATACCCAATATTTCATATTTATTTAATAGAAACTTGGAATTATTAATGTTATGTGCATACATTTATATCTTAGTATATTGGTATGATGAGACTTACAATATTTCTGAATTTAAAGAGTTGCAGTTATGTCATTATTATTAAAGGGATGAGACTTTCATTTAAAGTTATAATTAAATGATAATACATGAATTGATTGAAAATGTCCTGAAACTTGGATCAAGCAATATAATTGATAAAGCCTCAAAAAATCATGTTCTGAATAGTTATTCTAATTTTTTTCTAACATGTGCATAGTTTGAAAAGGACAGCTTCTGCCTTATCTGTTTGTAATGGAGGGACACTGGTCTCAACCTCCAGGTCTCCTGAGTCAACCCGACAACAGACTTTTCATAGAGTAGATTGATACTTGTCCTTGAATAAATTTGTACACTAAATTTTATAGTGGGTGATTTGTGCCACATGAAAACCAACCAAGTACAAAAAGTAACCGGGCACCAGATGAAAACATGAAAATACAATCTACCACAAAGTGGTTCGTTTGTTGCATTTTCATGTTTTCGCCCGGTGCCCTTGATGTAAAATACAAATCAGCCTTCATAAAATTTCTTATAGATATTGTACATGTATTAGCACAGTTATATTCACTTTCAAATTGACCTGTTATAAATAATGGCATAACCAATAACTGTCTTAGCCCTTTTTAGTAAAAATAATTATACAATAACAATTATATAAATTGTTATTTTAATTAAGACTATGAGTATGTAAGGTTTTTTTCTCTTATTTATTTATTAATTAAGAATTAATTATCTGTTAATTTAAAAATCTAAATATCTGTCACGGTTTAGAACTGTTCACTATTTAGGGGAGAAAATGTGTGAGCGGCCAGATAGCTCAATCACTACAGCCGCGGTACATTATTCTGTGGGTCACAGGTTTGAGTTCTGGTCAAGCTGAAAGTTTTTCTCATCCTGTTACTGCAAATAACCATTAGTTTAATTTACTATGCTCTGTAATAATAAAACATCAGAAATTCAAGTACATGAATCAATATAGTGGGGAAAAAGGTTTAGGTTTAGAACTGTTTCATTATTATAGAGAAAATGTGTAGCCGGCCGGATAGCTCAGTTGGTCTTTTGAAAGTCATGGGTTCGAGTCATGGTCAGGCAGTTTCAGTCAGGGTTTAGAAGTGGTTTTTCAACTGACACATGTTTGATTCATTTAATAGATTGCATTTAATTTGAAATGGACAAAGGCAGTATTGCGTGATACTTTTAAATCTACAAAAAGCATTTGGTACAGTTGATCACACTATACTGCACATGAAGAAGTTCTTTTTTCTTCTTCTTCATGGAACTTCAAGCATCTGCCATATGTAATGACATTCTTGCATGGTTCAAGTCTTATCTCTGATAGCAGCTGGTGAATGTGGCTGGTACTCCTTCTCTCTGAATACCTATGGTGTCCCCCTGATGTTTATTTTAGGTCCTCTTTTATGTCTAATATATGTCAATGACATGTCTGCAACCCTAAGCAATAAGCTTTTATTATATGCACAGGCACAAGTATCAGACCTGGGAAGAAAAAATATTACCAGATTGATAAAAAAACCTGTGTTCATCTTAAAAGTGTCACAAACCAAAAAAAAATGTAAATGATGACCCCCTTTAAAAATATACTTAAAGTTAATAGTATATTTTTAAAGGGGGTCATTATTTACATTTTATTTTTTGGTTTTTGACACTTTTAAGATGAACACAGATTTTTTATTAATCTGGTCATATTTTTTCTTCCCAGGTGTGATACTTGTGCCTGTCATTATATGATGATGACTCAGGTATCCTTGTATCTGGTAAAGTAAATCTTAAGATTGTTTTATTGACTATAAATTGTCTTTGCATCTTGGCAAGACAGAGTCTATTCTTTTTGGTTTAAGTTTCAACATAAACTGGGCCAAGCCTCCAGGTCACATGAAATGGTACTGCTATAAAGTACACGTCTTTTGTTAAGTATTTAGGTGCAAACCTGGATCAAATTCTTTTGGCGTCGCCCTTTGATGCTTTGCATCAATGCTTTTCTTGTCCTCACTTGTGTTTATGTTAATTCGTTCAAGGATACTGGCATATTTATCTTTGTGAAGTGACAATGTTAAACTTTGACCAGATTTGATAAAACACGCAGTCTAACTAGTGAATTACTCATGTAAGTACAAATTCTATACATTATTTAGATCTCCCTCATAATTTTCATAAAATATGTTCTTTATTTCCAATTTTCTTTATGTTAGATCTTCATATTATTATTATACAATATTATCAGACAGCATTTACAGTATAAAATTATGTCTGTCGATTGCTTGCGTAAGGAGTTGTCCTCACTTTGATTTCCGGCATTTAAAACAAAACAAAACGTAATATAGTTGTCAATAATAATGACTAGCTCTGAATGAATATGGAAGGACGCTAGTGCATAAATCAATATACTCTCCTGCGCATCGTCGAATGTTTCACGAAAGACGTGCTTAGTTCATTGTATTGGGATAACATACAAAATGAACGCGAAGTTACATTTTACATTTTAAATGCAATTGTTATCAAAATTTACTATGCCTTACTGGAAACCTGTGTCTAGTATCTTTTGTCTTGTATCACCGGATGTAGGACTAAGTGGATATTTGAAGTCCTACATCTTTGAGCAATGTGGGTACTTTAATTAGAAATAATTTACGAAGAAAATACCATCTATGAAAATCAAATATTCATAATAGCATTCATTCTTTGAAATAAGACAGAATTATAAAGCTTAATTAACCATGTTTACCGTAAAGCTTAAGGATGTGGAGGAAAGGTTTTAAAAAACTGCTTTGTTGTCGCACATACTAAAATCAGCATTACCTGTATTTCTGAAGATTTTCTGTAGCGAAGTTACATACAGGATATAATTTTAGCTCGACCTTTTCGAAATCTTTATGGCAAAACACATATGTTGAATAATTCAAAAAATAGCCTTGTTCTTTACCTGACATTGACCGTCAAGGTCAAATTATTGAAATTTGTTTACATTGTCATAACTTTGATATTTATTTACAATGATTCATACTTGAGGAAAAAGAAAACATTTGACAAAACTGGCATGTTAAAGAGATCTGATGACCTTGACCTTGAATCAGTCTTGACCGCCAAGGTTCAAATTACACAAAATCACACAAAACGTATCTGCTTTATTTTTTTTATTCATACTTGAATCATGTGAATAAAAGAAAACAAATGACAAACCCGACATGTTAAATTATTCTGATATTACTTTGACCTTTTATTGACCTTCACCGGCAAGGTCAAATTATTGAAATTTACTTAAATTGTAAAAACCTTGTTATTTACTCATACTTTCTCAAAAGAACACATATGACAAAACTGACATGTTGAATTATTCGGAAATGACTGACCTTTAACTGACCGTCAATGTCAGTTCTTTGCTATGATATTCTTCCACTAATGTGTTTGACTTTAGACATAGAAAAAAGTAGAGCATGCCCCCGCTAGGCGGTGACTCTTGTTATATACATGCATTTATGAAAACTATACACTATGTTTACTTGTAGAAGAATTCAAATGATTCACTTTGTGATTCATAAAGAATTAAGATGAACTGAATTCGCGACAAATACACCGGTTAACTTCTGGTTTTCAGATATGGATTTCTCAGGTGCATGATAAAACTGTTTGTGGTGTGACCAAGAAATACAAAATAGAGCTAATATGGTTGAAAGTAAGTTTTTTCCCCAATCTACTCCAGTTGTTTAATTATTGTATATTTTACACTTGAGGCAATGATATTTCATAAATTACGATTACACTAAGCTAGATTTACATAGAAACATAATGCTGCTTTTGACAAAAAAGGAGATTTCTTATGACGCATGTGCGTGCGGTTTGGGAAGGCAGGAGGCAATGTTGGGGTCCTGAGATTAAGCTATTTTGTTTTTGAAATACTTAAAATACTGAAATATTAACTTATTTTAATTTAAATTAAGCTTTTTGTAACAAGCAGCAACTAAAACTCAACTCATTAACTCCTTCGCCCCCATCGCCACTTGAATACTAGTGAAATGCCAAACTTCTCTAACATACCACTGTAGAGTTATGCTTTACCCCTTGCCGACATTTTGTGCACCCCGCCTGTAACGTATTTTATTTACTGTTCGAAAAAAACAACTTCTTTCATGGAGACTTTTAATAAATAAATGTATTTCCAGTGCTAACATTTGAAGGTGAATTCAAAGTCACTGATGAAATAAAAAAACGTTTCGATGACGATGGGTTTATAGTTGTCAAGTAAGTTTAGTATATGATTATTTATATTTCTTGAATTCTGGTTGGCTTAAAGACTTTGTATACGATGTCGTGAAGAACTGAAGAGCGCATGAAAAGCAATCGTTACACTGTATTTCTACATCGTAGTCTGTTGCATAGAATTAATTATAAAGGTTTGTTCTTATGTATATTTCTCGATTCAAATGACATAACTTCAAAAAAAAAAGTTTTATTAAAATAACATTGCTATGATGATCTACTTTTTTGTGCAGCGTTCGCGTGTCCGTTAAACGCTTTAAAAAAACAAAAACAAAAAAGTCTTTAAGCCAATCAGAACAAAAAACAAAAAAATAAATAAATAAAAAACAAATAAAAAACAAACGAACAAACAAACTGATTATAAGTGGTAGGTTTTCTAATTAACTTGTCGCCGTTATTATAAATTCGTTATACAAGTTGCTGTCTGGATACATGGGAGAATATTGTCTTGCTGGCATTGAAATAACCGTCGGTTAGTGCCTAATAATAATATGATTACTTAAAGGTTGTGTATTTCGAGGACAAATAAATTTCCTTAAGGTCTAATTAATGATTTGATAGATCTACTAAAGCATTGAAGTTATTATATATTTGTTTGTTCTTGACACTGAAAGCAAAGTAACTACTGTACAATAGATTGCAAATGCTTTCCGTTGATTTTTTTAAATCATTGAAAAGTACTGGGCCAAGGTCCATTTACTAGTGTTCTAAATAGACAACTATTTTATGTATTTATAAATATTTATGTAGAGACTTGCTGGATAAAGAAGAAATAGCACAGATATGGAAAGTATTAAATGATCCTGAAGGTATCTTAAAACATGCGTATGAGGTAACTCGCCAGAATGTACTTTGTATAGTTAGATTTTTATTAGTCCCCTACCGGTTTACTGGAGGGGACTTTAGGTTTACCCTCCGTCCGTCTGTCTGTCTGTCCGTCAGTCCATCCGTCCACAAAACTGGATCCCGCGATTACGCAAAAAGTACTGAAAATATTTTAATGAAACTTGATATATGGATAGATGGCAGTATGGAGATTATGCACGTCTTTTTCTTTTCTTCCTATGTTGAAAATTCTGGTTGCTATGGCAACAAATAGACTGAAAATATGGCAAATTTTACACATAAACTGGATCCCGCAATAATGCAAAAAGTACTGAAAATATTTTTATGAAACTTAATATATGGATAGATGGCAGTATGGAGATTATGCACGTCTTTTTCTTTTCTTCCTATGTTGAAAATTCTGGTTGCTATGGCAACAAATAGACTGAAAATATGGCAAATTTTACACATAACCTGGATCCAGTGATAACGCAAAAAGTACTGAAAATATTTTTATGAAACTTGACATATGGGTAGATGGCAGTATGGAAATTATGCATATCCTTTTCTTATCTTCCTATGTTGAAAATGTGACAAGGTTTACAACTCTAGCACAAAATTTATCAGAATTACCTCCCTTGAACACAAAATTTTCATGAAAAAAACATTGTTTTTTTTTCATAACTTCTTTTTCTGAATGTATCTACTTCAAACTTCATATAAATGTTTCTTATTATCACTCAACATTTGTGAATATTCAATACTCTAGCAAGATTATATCCAGAATTATGCCCCTTTTGAACTTTTTTTTGAGAAATTGGTAATTTTTACTCCAACTTCTTCAATCATGATAGGATTTTAAAAATGTTATATTTTGATAACAGGGATGTTTAAAAAATAACTTTAGAGTGTCCTTCAGTCCGTCTGTCTGTCTGTACATAAAAACTGTTTCCTGTGATCACTTTTAGAGAACTTTTTCAACAAATTTATTTAAATAGGAACATAAGTGAATGGCCAATGGCCCTTCAGAATGTTGCTTGGGCTCTTACTGGTAGGGGACTTATGGATTGCTTGCAATACTATGATAATTGCTTGTTTAAATTTAATTTATGAGTGGTAAAAAATAAAAAAAATATATAATCACCATTAAGTGTGACTTCGCCTGTTTTAAATCTTCCGATTTACGAAATATATAGAAACCAATTTAGCATTTAACAAAATTGAAGTGTAATTTAGTAGAACTATTACCTTTTAAATTGGATTTCATTTTTTTAAATAGAGATACTACAATTTTGTCAGCTTTAAGCGATTGTTTAGTATTGCACCATATAATAATCTAGACTACAAAAATATCTATATAGGCAAGGTACAATGAACAATAAGAAACATTTATTACATTCTTATAAATGAAATATTGAGAAATACCGGTATTGATGAAATAAAATGCGTATTTTTATTTTCCGTATTTTCACTGTAAAATTTATTTTTCACTACAGTGAAACATATTTTCCGTATTTTCACTGGTGTCTTGCCGGACTACTTTCTTCTAAATTCAGCTAATGAACAAAATTAAAAGGGAATTCTTCCTATTCATGAGGTTAAAAGGGAAAAAAGTATATAATAAACAGAAAATTCAAGTTTTTCTCTATAAATACAGGATTTATTTTCATCTTGTGGTATGTAAACTATCATATTTCACTCGTGGCTGCTGCCACTCGTGAAATATTTATTTTCACTCGATGAAAATAAATCCTGTATTTATAGAAGAAACTTGAATATCCTCTATATATTAGTGCATTTATAAATTGTAAATGAAATTCTAAATTCTATATTTAATATTACATGTGTTACAATGAGGAAACGATGTTTAATCATATTTTTTTTTCACTGCTAGACGCTGGAACCTGATGGTCATAAAATACAGCGTATTCTGTATTGTCATCCCGGAAATGATGTCACTGGAATAGTATCGAGATCAGAGAAAATTGTCAACGCTTGTGAAAAGGCAAAACTCTTCTTTTTTTTTTTTTAAATATTATGGTAGTGGAATAGGCTGGTCGTTTTCAACATTAACTGTTTGAAAATGGTATTATTTAAAAATTATCTTGGTTATATGAAAAATTATTGATGGTTTGTACAATATTGTTTAGAGATTTATTAGCGATGTTTCAAATTTTGACATACAATAGAGTGTTATATGTAGCTCTACAACTGACTGACACAATAGTTTCATAGAATGGTGGACGGTTTAATTAAATCAATTAATTAATCTATCAATCAGTTAATTAATTTGTAATCAATTAATTAATTTGATTCAATTGACGAAACTGGTGATTTTTAATTAACATTCCATTGTCTTGTATATGCAGTTAGTTGGTGGAGAGATGTATCATTATCACGGGAAGTTCATACTGAAAAACGCTAATGAAGGAGGGCGCCACGTGTGGCATCAAGATTATGGGTATGTTTTAGTCTCACAAAAACATTCAAGACTGCCGGCGAAAATGGTCTAATTGCACTTTAGGTATCAAAATAAAACTCGATAAACCATAAAAGTGAGGAAATTTGCAGACACTCTTCAAATAGGTCGTATGTTTGGGCGTGGAAATCATTAAAATATTAATAAATTCGATTCTAGTGTTTCTTTTTAGAAATTTTACGTTGCTTTAGTACAATAAGAAACGATGAGCATTGTGTATAGTTTGAAACAATAGATTTTTGTCATTCAAGAAAGATAAATATAACAATATATATTAAAGTGTTCGTTATACTTCTTTTTTTTAAGATATTGGTATAAACAGAACTTGTTCCCGGATATGATTACTGTTTGGATGCCTTTGGATAAAACTACCAGAAAAAACAGTTGCCTACAGGTTGGTGTCAGAAGTCTATAGATTTTTTTGTTGTTCGGTCTTATGGTTTGCAACAACAAAATGTTTCTCATCTATATTTTGTGAAACATAGAGTTTGTTTGTTTGTTTGTTTTATTTAAGTAGAATTATATAACATTAGGGTATATACTTACAAACTATTCGACCCGTATCGAGTAGTGAAAAGTCGACTTGTGTTGCAGTCTTTAAAATAATCTATACATGTACTTGTATTTCACCCAATTTGCTCTTAATTCAACAAAATATAGGTTTATAAAAAGAGCTTAACAAAAGATGAACTGAAGACTTGAAATATAGAAAATTACTAAGACGTCAATCAACACCGAGTAAATATATAAAATCTCTGACCAATATACTCTAAACGATGATGACATAAAAACTGAAAATTTCGTAATTACAGTTGTTGAAAGGTTCACATAAATGTGGTCGTATAGACCACGGGGCTGGTTCTGGTACCATGCAGTCTGAGGCCGACCTTGAACGCATTGAACAACTCAAGAAAGTATGTCCCCATCTTTACTGTGAGATGGAACCAGGTTAGATTTAATTTATTTTGTTCAATTTACGAATAAAAATATCATTACTTTTTTGTTTTCTACACATGACGCACGGTATATTATAAAATTACCAATAAATGAAAGGATGTTTATGATCAATAATTGATGTTACAAGTTTTTGTAATGCCTTGATTTTGAAATTAACGAAGATGATAAATAAAAAACGCAACAACTTGTCTTTTACATCGATTGTTTAATTATTTTGGATGCGGAATTAAAACCAGAAAACAAACAAAACATGTCATTAACATCGATCATGTCGTTATATTTTGTTTCCTTCACCAAATTTTCTCGATTTCATGCAACTTCTTTATTCTTATCATTATGTAGGAGATGTGCTTTTTCAACATTGTAACCTACTGCATACCAGTGACCCTAATGACTCCGACTTGAGAAGATGGGCGTTTGTTGCCTGCTATAATAGGCGGAGTAACTCCTCCTTCAAGAAACACCATCATCCGTCATACACGCCCCTTCATAAAGTATGTATATTACAGTGTAAGAGTTAAAGAAGTTTTTTCCCAGGAAACTTTAAAGAAATATATATTTTTATGATAAATATTTACAATTTGTAAGACTAAAAACTAATATATCAGACGCCGGGATGGCGTCATCGCAAATTGCATCCAAGATATGTTATTTATGATAATTATACCTTTGTTTAACCCTAGCTAGATAAATGTTAATGAACAGTTTTGCCAGGAAAACGGATAGGTCCATTTAGAAATCATTCATGCTAATTGGCATTCTATGAATTACTTCATTTACATTATGTATACCTACAATGCAACCACAATGAACCTTTGACTTTTAAATTTGATACATGTATAAAACATATTGTTGAGAGCCACCATCTTTGCTGCCTTCTTTAAGGCTTATTGGATCTACACATTTTATTTCTTTTACATATGAGAGAATGTTTTTGCTCATGTCACTATTTAAGTAAAATTATTGTGTTCATTTATTTCAGGTACCCGACTCTGAAATAAAAACATGTCGGAATTACACCGATTTTAGTGGCAAAGAATTTGTTAATCCAATAGGAAATGAGGAGGACCGTAAATTGTACTCACAGTACAGTCTTAGACCTCTCGAACAGGAGACATGAGTAAAATACATGTATATATGTACGCATCCAGTATTTTTGGGGGAATCAAGTTCAAATCTAAAACATTTTAAGTATGGTCTCCTTACCTACTTTTCTGTACTTCACTTTAATTCTTTACTTTACATGTTTACATTTGTGAAGTAACTCACTCACAACCTCAGTCACTCCCGCCCTCGTCACTCGCTTGTTTTTTTTTACCTATATCGTTTCTTGCTTGTGTATGGGACAATGTTTTTTCTATATCTTGTATTCTTACAAACCAATGTCGTTATAAACTTAAAAATTATTGAAGTCATTCTATCAAATCATGAATGTATGTAAAACTACACATGTATGTGCATGTATATATTATGTATTTGGGTATGGTCTGGAATAAAATGTTTCAACTAAAGCATGTTAATGAATTCATCAAATGCAGTTTGAATAAATTAGACATTATAATATTCTAACTGTATGGGATGTAAATAAACAAATAGAGATCACTACATTAATTTTAGCATTTGACTTTCAAACAATAAAATGTGAATATAATCTGAATCTGTTACGTTGTTGTTTAAACTCATTTTGTAATGGCAGCTTTACTGGTGGAGGAAAACCTCAGGTGCCCCTCTGCACATGACTAGAACCATCGATGTTCTGTGGGCTAGATAGCTTTCTCACAAACATTTCTCAAAGACGCTGGGGCGTCTCAAACCTACTGCAGTGAGAGGTAAGCAACCTTAACCACTCGGCCAAAAATGCCCCTATGACAATTACATTGATACATAAACTACTATTATCTTATGTAAGTTTTATTAAATACATTGACAAAGATTGTGAATGCTACTGGTTCCAAATAATTTACTATTACGTTTATAATAATAACTGATTTACTTTTACAGAAAATATACAACATAATGTTAAATGACATACGATGTTACTATTAGTCTTTAAGAGTAAGCAAAATGTCACATCAGCATAACACAAACAATAACTGCATTAATATCATGCAAATAAAACAGTCTTGCAAAAAGTGAAAATACAACTTGTATATTAAATACATATTTGATTATGTTTTTAAAAATTATCCAATTATGTCAATATTTTTCCCCAAATAGCCTAAAAGTAAAACTATCTCCTGCTTTGAAATAGAATTGATGTTAAAGAAAGTAAAAAGCAAAACTGTGTATTAACACTGACTCAATTAATTTAAATTATAACATAACCAAAGAAAAGAAGACAAATCTCAAACACAAAATTAATTTGTATATCAACAAAATCTCTGAAAAAGATATACACTATTAAATCTTTATTTTCTGATTTAATTATAGGGTACACATCAATAAAGCTCAAAATCTAATTATAATTTTATTTTCTATTTACATAACATATGAAGTTTATTATTAAACTGTTTTTAAAGTCCAAAACTTTTATTTTTGCTTTACAATAAATGTCCTATCCTCTATGTATGTCTGAGTTTTGTGTTTTTCTTGCCGTTATTTTTCTCCTTGGATTTATTGGACACAGTCTTGTTCAGGTTGACATACTTCTTGCCATCTCCCCTGTAAAACAATTACAATATACATGTACTATACTTCTTATAAATGTACATGTATCACAAAAACTACTCATTCTTCTTAGTAAAACATGTACAGACTTTGTTAAGGTTTTTCATAAGAATGTTTTCTTCTCTGTACTAAGGACATACTAGTATCAGCTTTGTAAAGGAAAGTCACATCAGCTTTGTAAAGCTATTGTAATAAAGGAAATCTCTGGATGCATCCAATACATTATTTGAGCCGTATCATGACAAAACCAACATAATTGATTTGCGACCAGCATGGATTCAGACCAGCCTGCGCATCCGCGCAGTCTCATCAGGATCCATGCTGTTCGCTTACAAACTCTATAACCAGTATAGAAACCGATAGGGAACAGCATGGATCCCGATGAGACTGCGCGGATGTGAAGACTGGTCTGGATCCATGCTGGTCGCAAACCCATTATGTTGGTTTTGTCATGACACGGCTCATTTCATAAAGAAAAGGTCCGTTGAAGAAACATTAGAAAGAATGGTGGAAGAATTGACAAATTTTATGATTTGAAATCCCCTGCTTTATGAGAGAAATCTCTAAACAGAGGGGTTTTTTTTAAACAAAAAAGAACAAGACAATTTCTAAGTTATAAAGGGCCATAAATCAGTAACACAAATGAAATTTGATGAATTTGACACAAATCATCAATTCCTTATTGAAATACACCCATGCTTAGTAGTATTAAATAAGCATCAGCACTTGCTGGTCCTAATTTTCCTATATGTATATATTTCAGCAAAGTTTCAAGAGGTCTGGACAAACAGGCCTTATATTGAAGCAAATATCGAGGGTTGATTGCAAAACTGCATTAACTTATATGAATTAAAGAAAAGAAGAACTTACAACAGTTTTGACATCAACCCTTGATATATAGATTTTTATAATTATTCATCTAAATCAGGAGATTGTCTTTAGTAATATCAATTATATATGAATTGTTTATACCTGCTCATGGAGATTTTATCTCTACATCCACGACCACCTTCCCAGTGAGAGGTTCGAACTTTGGTTAGAGCACTACTACAGCTCGAGCATGGCTTCTCCGCACCAAAAGGCTATAAATAGAAAACAGTAAACATTTAAAAAAAATTTTATACAAGCATACATAACTATTCACCAATTAACTACATAAAAAAGACCCAAAAGATCTAATCAAGCTGCAATGTTTTTCTGCTGGTCTATTGCTATTATCTGTTCGAAAAAGGACCTCACTGTGCCTTATACATTTCTTTGTTTTAACCGTTTGCCAATTTTAACTGTGCTTGGTCATATCTCGTGGTCAGTCCACCTTACTGTCATTCATGGATCACTAACTAGTAATAACCAATTTTCCGCCAGTGACCAACTACTAATTATACTTGATTTTTGAATCAGCAGCAAGAGACAAATGACCATTAGACTTAATATCCAAGTCAACAGTCATGGAGAAATTACATCTCACATGAGGATCAAACCAGTGGCCCCTGGATTACAAGTCTGATGCTTTCCCTATTAAGCTTTGGGGCTGGACTGTGTCTGAGAAAATTCAGTTAGGCATTACTTCCTTTTTTGTAAGACTCTACTACCTTTTTGAATTTCAAGCACACTTCAACATTATTAAAGTCAAGCCATATTCCAAATTTATTTGCATTATCTAGAAAATAGAGGTATATAAATAATCTTTTTGTTGATGGTCAGCAGAGAGGTTACACCAGATCACAATATAATATTTAATATGAAATAAAGTTTAACAGTTAAGTACCTGTTCTTTACAACAGAAACCACAGATCATCCTGTTAGCAAACTTCATTTCATGATCTTCTTTATCATCATGACAAATGTCACATGGGTATGTTTTACCACAACATGGGAATCTGAATAAAAATGATCATTTCAGTATTTCTTCTTAACTATGCAAGCTGTGAAAATTTACATTATACAGTTTCTATTTCATCATGTACTAAGATTAATCATATAAATGTTTTACACAATTTCCAAAATGGAATAGTAAAATAAAAATTTTAAAACCCGATTTCACACCCCAAAATAAGAGGCTTACTAATTTAGACAAAAAAAAATAACTAACCTTTGGACCCAAAAAGGAAGTCACCTTATTCTTTAAAGCTCTAAAAATACTATATGAGTGGGTAATTAAGTAACTCAAATTTCCATAAACAGTAAAGGTTTTGTATAATTGATATCTTTTTTCAATTTTATAATAAAATCAATAAGAGAACCCTTTGACAAATTTGTTTTGAAATTTTGCAGCTGTTTTCAACTACAAAATAAAACCCAATGCTTTATTTGACAAATCTGAGTGAACCATCCCAAAATATTTATTTCTAAATCTTAAACAAAACATTAAAAGTGGGTATAGCTACAAAGCTGTAAAACAACAGTTATTACCTCAGCCACCTAAAGCTTTTCTTGTAATGTTTGCAAGCTCCATTGTTTGGAAGTGGTTTACCTTCTTGTATTGCTGGATCTTTTAAAACTCTTTGATTCTTCTTAACCCCGACTGTATGAACTTTCCCAGAAACTATAAATAGAAATCATAAAATGATTCCTTAAATTAAAGTTTATGTTTACTGTATAACATTTAGGTAAAATCACAGGTTGGGTTATATATGCAAACAACCATTTATATAGGGCATATAGCTTATGTGACCTGTCAAAAATCTTTATAATGAACAGTATAATTAACATCAACAAGCAAACTTCTACAAATAACAAACAAATTATTGCTTATAATCAGCAAATTATTGCTTATAATCAGCAAAATATAACTTATCAGCAAAAAGTTACTTATCAGCAAAATAATACTTATTATAAGCAAAATGTTACTTGTAAGCAAAATATTACATATTATAAGCAAAATGTTACTCATAAGCAAAATGTTATTTACTTATAAGCAAAATGTTACTTATTATAAGCATATTCATTATGTGTATCACAGATTCCTATAAAATAAAAACTTACACTTGGCTTTATCTACGCCATCACTGGTTAATACAGTCAGTTTGACTGAATCTGCAGCAAATTTCATCTTCGTATGACATCCACGACAATACACCTCCATTACACGCCCTGCTGTACATGACTGAAGATACAAAACAAAAATATATTGAACATCATTATTAGAATTTTTTAATTTTATTTTATTCAGTTCTTTTGTTTCTAAATTAAATGATTATAAACTTTCTAAGTAACATTAATTATCAGTGTATGCTACATTAAATTACCCATCTATTCTAAGCATGGTTCTCACTAGGATTTTAAAGATATGAGTCCTTGTAGATTGCCAGCTATGAAATCTTCACATTCAGTGGCAATAAACATGCGTACCAGGTAAGGCTCCCACGTTTACAATTTTTTGTAAACGTTTACACCACTGCTAAGAACCGAAACGATACCGTTTAAACGGTGGTACCTCTATGTACTATACACACCATGTACTTGAGTCGCCAAATGATGTCTTTCTTTCTATTTTTAATACATGTACAAATAAAGAATGTGCAAGGCTCATCACGATTGAGTCAGCACACAATTTTTGCATTGTAACCCCATTTTTTACCAAAAATGTATTATGTCACGAGCAATTTTGCTCGGTAATGCTGTGTGGAGGGTTGTAAACACCCATTTTCCGTTTGTTTACTTTGGAATAAACCACTAGAATTGATATAATCCATGATTACAGGCAATGATTAAGAAATTTTGTAAGACAATATGGTCATTTCGATTAAACGGTAAACAAAATCGTAAACGTTTATGAATGAAAATCGAAACGAATCCGTTTAAACGTGTAATCGTGGGGGCCTTAGTACCAGGATGCTGGATCATGGATCACAGAGAACCCTGTCTATGGCAATTTAACAGAAACAGTTGGTGTGAAAGGTTGTCCCCCCCCCCCCAAACCACTCTGTGAACCATTATAAAAGTAATGTCGGATAATTAAACATTCTTCCAATATATACCTTAACAAGAATATCCCTGCTACATGACACACATCCCAGCGAGAAATGACAATCCTGAAGAATTACATCAAAAGCTGTACAACCATCTAAATCTAGGTAGCCGAACGTGCTAGAGTAAGCATGAGTAAGAACAGGTCTGAATACAACCAGCTGGGAGTTGTTACATTTACTGCAGGCAACAGAATTGACACGATTCGGTGGAGTTACAAAATCGGTCCGGTTTTTACATCTGTCACACTGAACTGTTAACCGGAGCTTCTCAACCATAATCGTTGTACAATACCAGATCTGCATGTTCCTGAAAGATATTTCAGTTCCGCTTCGCTCGGTGTCGACATCGATTTTAGGTCTCTGATGAACTTTATCATCTCCAGCTGTTTCATCGCTATCATCAATACCATCCTCATCATCATTGCTATCATCATCAGTATCATCATCAGCACTACCATCGCTCGTAGCCGAAGGTGTCTTGTATACCTCTGGTACATAATCACTCTGAAATATACATCAAAATTCAATCTCTCTTATTCATCTCTGTACAGAGGTTACTATAATAAAAACAGTGAGCTACTGGTTATGTTGTATAAATTTTCTTGACATTTAAATATCTAAAAATTTTGGAATTAATTTTAAAAAATGCTTCAAAAAAATAAAATATGAAATTGTTAGGATAATATAATCTATACTTATAACAAGAAGTGCCGCAATGCGACGAAAACCAGGTTTTCAACGGCCAAGTTTTTATGTGACAGCAATCAATAGGTTAAAGTGCACTGAAGTTATTGGGTTGAAGCAGAAAATTCTATTGTAAGCAAATGACCTTGAACTTGCTCCCGCATATCTAAGTAGCAATCCAAAGCTGCCACTCAGCAAGTTTGGTGTCAAAAGGTCAAAGCAAACTCAAGTTATTACATGAAAACTAAATACATTAACCTTGATCACAGACACCTGGGTAGCAATCCCAAGCTGCCTCTTGATATAAGCTACCCATTCATCAAGTTTGGTGTCAAAAGGCCAAATCAAATTAGAGTTATTGAGTGGAAACTGAATTTTATTTTTAGTAACAGTGACCTTGACCTTGATCACAGACACCTGGGTAGCAATCCCAAGCTGCCTCTTGATATAAGCTATCCATACACCAAGTTTGGTGTCAATAGGCCAAACCAAACTCAAATTATTGAACAGAAACTGAATTTCTATTTTTAGTAACAGTGACCTTGACCTTGATAACAGATACCTGGGTAGCAATCCCAAGCTGCCTCTTGATATAAGCTATCCGTACACCAAGTTAGGTGTCAATAGGCCAAAGCAAACTTAAGTTATAGAGCGGAAACTGAATTTCTATTTTTAGTAACAGTGACCTTGACCTTGATCACAGACAACTGGATAGCAATCCCATGCTGCCTCTTGATATAAGCTATCAATACACCAAGTTTGGTGTCAATAGGCCAAAGCAAATGCAAGTTATTGAGCGGAAACTGAATTTCTATTTTTAGTAACAGTGACCTTGACCTTGATCACAGACACCTGGGTAGCAATCCCAAGCTGCCTCTTGATATAAGCTATCCATACACCAAGTTTGGTGTCAATACGCTAAAGCAAACTCAAGTTATTGAGCGGAAACTGAATTTCTATTTTTAGTAACAGTGACCTTGACCTTGATCACAGACACCTGGGTAGCAATCCCAAGCTGCCTCTTGATATAAGCTATCCATACACCAAGTTTGGTGTCAATAGGCCAAACAAACTCAAGTTATTGAGCGGAAACTGAATTTCTATTTTTAGTAACAGTGACCTTGATCACAGACACCTGGGTAGCAATCCCAAGCTGGCTCTTGATATAAGCTATCCATACACCAAGTTTGGTGTCAATAGGCCAAACCAAACTCAAGTTATTGAGCGGAAACTGAATTTCTATTTTTAGTAACAGTGACCTTGACCTTGATCACAGACACCTGGGTAGCAATCCCAAGCTGCCTCTTGATATAAGCTATCCATACACCAAGTTTGGTGTCAATAGGCCAAAGCAAACTAAAGTTATTGAGCGGAAACCAAAAGTTGACGCCCGCCCCCCGACTTCGGCATTACAATAACCCGAATTCGTTGAAAACCTGGTTAATAAAATTGAGAATTGATTATTAGTGTAATTCTTAGCTTGATTTGCACAATAAAGAAAATATATTGAACTCAATTGCTAATATAATTTTTTGGAATCTATTTAGCAATTATTTATAGTTACAACTAATGCTCAGAATGCAAGTGATTTGTCTTGGTTGTTTTCAACTGTATTAATGGGTATGAAGCTATATATGAGCCGTGTCACGACAAAACCAACATAATGGGTTTGCGACCAGCATGTATCCAAACCAGCCTGCGCATCCGTGTAGTCTGATCAGGATCCATGCTGTTCGCTTACCAACTCTATTACAAGTAGAGAAACTGATAGCGAACAGCATGGATCCTGATCAGACTGCGCGGATGCGCAGGCTGGTCTGGATCCATGCTGGTCGCAAACGCATTATGCTGGTTTTGTCATGACACGGCTCAATTATAATGAAATATTTATAAAATATTTATAAAAAGTAAAATTATGTTGTTTCCATAATCTCATGGTTCATTCTAGGAGGATTTATAACAAAGATTATTTTTTCATTGGGTTTTATGTCGCACAAACACAGAGTCAGTATAGGCTATATTGCTTCTTTCCTACTTTACTGGTGAAGGAAGACCCATGGTGCCCCTCCATGCATTTTTTCAGGCACGATCACACTTACTGTTATTTTGTTTGTTTGTTTGTTTCATTTTTTCGCCTTTTCCCAACAGTATTTCAGTCATATAGGCGGGTAGTTTCCTAACCATCGTTCCTGGAGAGTTACACCAGTACTAGACTACCTTCCTCCGCGCTAAACCACCAAAGCATCTCCCCGGGATCGAACCCACGCCAGAGAGGTAACTGGATTAGAAGTTATCGACTCTAACCCCTCGACCACGGAGGCGGTAATTTAACATATATGACTATTGTACATAAACAGAATGAAATGTTACTGAACAAAACATTATGCTGCTATTTTAAGCGTTTAACAATGATTTCATGCATAGGTCTTCAGGAAATATACATTTACAAGATACAGGTATTTTGAAATTATTTTTTTTCAAAATTCAAACAATAATTTTGTAAACTACAAGGTGCATATACAAATCTTTATACACTCAAAGCCTGCACGAACAGTTCTATATCATTAACATTTAGATCAATTAATGCTTACCTTGCGATAGGCGACAGGTCTTCTAGAATCTTTTTCAGAAACATCAGATGAGTCATCTGGTTCACTGGAAGCTTGGTGATTCGAGTCCTTGCGAAGTTCTTTAGCTGAAATAAACTGAAGTCCCGCAGCTTTAGCTGCCAATTCTCTCCGAAGCTGGAAAATAAGAAAGTTCAAATTCAGGATTTTAATGATGCCGATTTGGTTTATACAGAATTTATTTTAGTTCGATTGTGTAGGAAGCTATAAGCTTATAGACACACTTTCGAATCCGTTCCTGGAACCAACCAGTACTGAGCAAGGAGTGTAAAGTTTCTTGCTCAAGTGAACAACGGCTGGCCCCTGTCGGGGTTAGAACCCATATGGCTAGCGATCATTAGATTACTTTTCCAATGCTGATTTGACTTAAACATTATCAAATAAGCCATCAACAAAATTCTTACAAAGACAACAGTCATGTAAATTCAACATCTGATTCAACCTACACCATTTATAACTGTTTCAGGCAAAACATTTAACAAACGACTCTTATTGTTTTTTTCCTCAGGCTTGAATTTCACCACCATAAAGAAAATTCAATTTATCATTTTCACAGTGGCTTAAAAGCATCCAGCAAGAGAGCTTGATGTAAAACCTTCAACACTTACCTGTTTTAGGCCTTCTGTTACAATAGTTTCCATGTTTCTATCCATCCAGCGTAAGAATGGTCGAAACAAAAGCTCCACAATATTCTTTCTCTTCATCTCTTCCTCTTTCTTTTCAACCCATTCTCTAAGTGACACTTCAATATACCTGAATAATGAGCAATGGAGGGATAATAACATTGTGAAAATCATGAAAATTGATAAGATTTTCTCAGCCTTAAATATGCAAAAGTTCATCTGTATACTAGTGTTGTTTGATGGATTTCCTGATACAAAAAATTAAACTTTCAACATGGATGTGCAAGCTTCATACTTCATACAATCTTTGCAATTCCAAATGTTAACATTTGTACATACAAATACAATGCAAATTTAATTATATTAATATAAGGACTCAAAATAGATTAATTTTACCTTTGAACAGTAGCTGGGAGATCTTGGTCTAGAGACACACTGATAGTAAACAGCTGAAAAAATAAAAGTTATTCATTTATCATCAAACTTCACCTAATATGACAGTCTTGACAGACATGTGCATGTTTATTTATCAGTATCATACTGTATTTTATATAAATATTACATTACGTGCAAATTAATAAGCAAGTTTATTACTCTTTGCTTTGCATAATGTAATGTAACTGTTAACTTTTCATAATACAATATCATAATCTATGTCATGATATTTGTAAAACAATTAAGGGCTACTTTATCGTTGAATATCAATAATCATTCTATTTAGACTATGACGTAAGAAATAAAATCTATTTAACAAACCTTAAATGGGTAATCTGGACCAATCTCAACTTGAATTTTAAATGATTTCACATCGAAAGGCTGTAAAATATAAATGGCAAATGATTAGAAATTCAAATAATATAATTTTTCATTTTCATTTCAGAAAATTTGGAACAATTATAATGAAAAGGTAGAAATCTTAAACTACATGTACTTGGAGATAGAACATTTCAAGACATCAAAACTAGTTACTGTATTGTGAAGAGGCAATGTGCCATATATACTCTTATATAGATTTTCATGAATTAGCAGTGTTTTTTTTCACTGTATTTTACAGCCGAATAAAGGCTGTTTCCCCTAGCCCAAAATAGGTAAAATTTCCCCTTAAAATGCTCATATTTTCCACTAAAATGCCTCATGTTCTTCCTGGCAAGAATTATGACTTAACAGCATCTGACCAATATTAGCTAAAATCAGAAATATGTCCCTATAGATAGCCTCTGCTATGTACCATGCATGTTAAACTGAATTGAAATCAAAATTTTATATAAAATGTGTGGGTAAATAAATTACATTTAATTTTTGGTATTAATATATATTACATAAAATATATTTAAATACAGCTTACAAATTTTTAAATGGTAACAATAAATGCTTACCCAATCAGGATCTGTGGGAAAGAAAGTGAAGATAAAATTGGCACATTCTTCAGTATCTGAGACTATTTCAAGATTTTCTGGTGGGAATCGACGTTTCAGTTGCTTTATTTCAGTATCTCTTAATTCTGCCTGCTTCTTTGCGTCAACATCTTCTCTTGTGAAAACATTGATTATTTTAGGTGGTCTACTGATTTGTCTCCAGCCAGATTCTTCCTGTCTCTGATCTATGTTTGCTGTCACATTCTCCGACGTTTTTGAAGAATCAGCTGGAGGTTGATGTTGTTTGGAAACAATTCTTTCTTTTTGTTTGTCTGCATGATAAAATGTGCATCTTATACCATATCTACAATAGCCTTTCTTATAAAACTTGCAATGCTTTTTGCTGACCTCTGCTTTCTTCTCTTGCTTATTGTCTACCTCTATCTTTCCTTCATTTTGCACTTTATCTTGTTGATTTTCATTCTTAATTTCATCATTTTGATCTACTTCTGATTGTGATTCATCCTTCAGACGGCAATCATCCTTCCTTGGGAGTACATGCTTATACTTGCATCTATTTCCATATCTACAGAAACGAGTCTTTGCATAAAATTTGCAAAGGCTAACTTCAAATTTCTCTTCCTTTTTATTTAATATTCCATCGTTGCTGTTTGGATTATCTGGTTCAAATTTAGACGTAAGTTGATAACTCTCTTCGCTGGCAGGTTTTTCACTATTTACTGATTCATCCTGACTTGTTTTCTGCAGGGTTTTGTTTAGTGAAATATCTATATCGTGCACAAATTTACAATGTTTACCAAAACGACACTTTCCTGTTGTATTAAAATAATGACAGGGACGTTTTAGCATAACACAGTTAAAACTTTCAGCAACAGACGAACCTCCCCGCAACAGCTTCTCACAGTCGGATAACTTGCTTAGAAAATATAAACTGCCCACTGTAAAGCTGTTTAACTTGGTACACTTGAGACACTTATTGCCTAAAAGTTAAAAAATTAGTAGACTAACTCTTCAACTTTTTCACCCGTAACTTAGCTGACTTTTCTGTGAAGTAACCAACTGACAACGCCCCTAGCTCCGTCTCAATGAAGAGACTAACTATAGCGCTATAATGAATTCCCGCTATTTATACACAAAAAAAGAACTTATCAGTCAAAAATAGAACAAAATATTGCACCACAAGATGTAAACAGGATTGCGAAATACTGCAGTCCAAAGGTCGTGCGTAAAACGTCATCAAATCGTGGGTATAACGGTAGGCGGATCTTTTCGGCTTTTTCCATTGTGAACATTTTCAAAGATTTCCCGCCAGTGAAATATGCCTTCTCGTTGCCTGAGCTCCATGGTGGGGGTGGGTTCAAGCCCCAATGGGATCCCCGAGGGATGCATTTTTTTTACTTTTTGCATTGAAAGATTTTGGGTTTCTTTTCATTCATTTTTGTTTTAAATCCTGAATTAAAAAATATTTGCAAATTAATACAGTATGTAAACTTTCAGAGATAGATCTATGTCTCTGATATTTTTTTTAGTTTTTTTTTTGGTGTTGAATGAGTGAAAATAAGATTGTTTTATAAGAGACTTTAAATAATATAGATCTATTATTATTCTCCATGGTTTTACAACTTAAAATGTTTATATTTCCAAATTGGATGTTCAGAATTGTATTTAAAACAGGGTCTTTTTAAATTCTATTTGAAATACCTTGTAGCAAGATAATTATAAGCTTTAGATCTTTATGAAGATATATGCCCCATTAGAAGTTGAACAATATAACCGGTTTTATGAGGCTTTTATTACTTATAATATAATATTAAGCTGCATGGTTATATCAATCAGACAGACACCTGTTTCAATTAACCTCATTTTTAAAAGCACATCATGAATATATAGATATAGGTCAGTTATTGTATTTTGAATGTATTTTTAAATTTATATCAAGTGCACTTTTCTTCAATGCGATCTATCAACCTTATAAAAAAGGTTAAATTCCAGTAGTTTTTACCCGAAGAGAAACAAATCATATTGCTGACAAATAAACCAACACCCCTTTACAACTTTGCTTTGTGGTAGGAGAGGGAGGGTGTGGGAGGGTATAAAAAGCTAATTGTGATGACATACATTGTGGGCAATAGCAACAAGACTTAAACTCAGTTGAGCTTAAACCTTTTTCAGAACAAAGTAACCATTCTAATAAAATATTTTTGTAGCATTCTTGACAGGTTCTCTTTCAATTTCATTCTTACTGGAAACCAAACATCACCGCCTGGTTATTTTATTACTTTCACATAATTGTATTGCTATAGCTTTTGCAATCAATATTTTGTATATTAATTAAGGTATAATAAAGGTACATGTGTTCTTCTCATAACACTAAGATGAAATCTCTATAAATAACTCATCATATACAATGTATGTATCAGTGTTTTTTTCTTTATATAACTACTGCCCTAAAAAGGCACTGTTCCCAATAGAAAAAAGACATTAAAATCCCCAATTTTCAATGTTTAAATTCCCAAAATGGCTATTCAAAATTCCCACAATGCCAAGAGATTTCTCTGAAATAATTTAAATCCAACATATTCGTATAAATCACCACTCAATTGTTCTACCTGGACAGTGGAAGCTGTTAGCCGTCTTTATTCATGATGACTAATCTTATTTGTAGCTGAAAAAATGTATAATAAAAATTCCCAATTTAAGTCAAAATAACGCACTTTTTCCCCAATCAGTCTGGTACCGGCACCATTCCCAAAGTAGAGAATAAATAAACGCTGTATGTATACAAATTTGATCACTCACTGTAAACAAAGCCCAACCATATCTAGCAGATGATTGAAATTAAAGACAGAAAATATATATCCAAATATAAAGTTTTTATTCTCTTTGAAAATATAAAGATACAAAAAATATATATATATGTATTACAGAAAATCAACATAAGAGCCGTGTCATGACAAAACCAACATAGTGCGTTTGCGACCAGCTAGATCCTGATCAGACTGTACGGATGTTGGTTTTGTCATGACACGGCTCATAATATTACATGCAGTCATACTCCATGTCTTAATACAAGAATTAAGATAAGATAACAAGAGCGATCAGTAATCACATGTGTCGCCTCATGATGGCCAATTTCATGTTGGGACAAATTTTGTGACAGACGGACAGACAGAAGGACAGTGCACAACTAGACTAACCACTTTGTACTGATCATTCCTGTAAAGTTTGGATAAAATTGCACCAGTAGTTTATGAGGAGTAGTCCGGACAAGCTTTTGCGTATCTGGCAACACACAGAAAAAAACACCTTTTTATCAAAGGGCCATAACTCGCCCAAAAATCATTCAACCGGAAAACCTGTGCAATATGCGCAAGGACTTGAGCTACAGATCAATCATGTAAAGTTTCATTGAAATTGCATAAGTGGTATAAGAAAAGTAGTCTGGACAAACTTTAAAAATAACTAGAAATGTGTCATCATGCCACGGATGCCCCCGCATGCAGCCAAAATTTCAGATGGTGCATTAATTTTTTTTTTTCATTTTAAGTTCAAAGCCCTTAAAACTTTTCAATGTTAACACAAACCATTTCCATACAACATTCAAGGCACTGAAATTATTCAGTCTTAACCTTTAGAAAAAGCATATTGCATATTTGTAGCCAAAATAATGGCTAAAAGAATGAGTGCTGAAACTGAAAGTTCAAAATTTTTCCAACATTCAGGAAAGATAAGTTTGTCTAAAATCATTGAACCATGACCAAATTCAAACTTAAACTGCTTATTCCTAAGATGTATCTATATTATTTTCAAAGTGAAAGGGACATAACTCTGCCAAAAAATCCATCAAACCATGACCAAATTCCAACTTGACCTGCCCATTCCTTTGACATATCCATATGTCAAATTAAAATTGAATATGTAACACTGTTGGGTAGATAATGAACAGAAACTGTAAATTTCATATTATTTTCAAAGTAAAAGGGGCATTACTCTGCCAAAAATCATTGAACCATGACCAAATTTGAACTTGACCTGGGCATTCCAAAAACATATCCATATGTCAAATTTGAGTTGAATGTGTTGTACCATGGGGGAGATAATAAACGGAAACTGAAAATTTCATATTACTTTCAAAGTGAAAGGGGCATAACTCTGCCAAAAATCATTGAACCATGACCAAATTTGAACTTGACCTGCGCATTCCATTGACGCATCCATATGTCACGTTTGAGTTGAATGTGTTGTACCTTGAGGGAGATAATGAACGGAAACTGAAAATTTCATATTATTTTCAAAGTAAAAGGGGCATAACTCTGCCAAAAATCATCGAACCACAACCAAATTTGAACTTGACCTGCGCATTCCTTTGATGCATCAATATGTCACGTTTGAGTTGAATGTGTTGTACCTTGAGGGAGATAATGAACGGAAACTGAAAATTTAATATTATTTTCAAAGTGAAAGGGGCATAACTCTGCCAAAAATCATCGAACCATGACCAAATTCGAACTTGACCTGTATTTTCTCATGACATATCCATATGTCAAGTTTAAGTTGATTGTGTTGTACCGTTGGGGAGATAATGAACGGAAACTGAAAATTTCATATTATTTTCAAAGTAAAAGGGGCATAACTCTGCCAAAAATCATCGAACCATAACCAAATTCGAACTTGACCTGTATTTTCTCATAACATATCCATATGTCAAGTTTGAGTTGAATGTGTCCAACCGTTCTTGAGATAATGAACGGAAACTGAAATTTCATATTATTTTCAAAGTAAAAGGGGCATAACTCTGCCAAAAATCATCGAACCATGACCAAATTCGAACTTGACCTGTATTTTCTCATGACATATCCATATGTCAAATTTGAGTTGAATGTGCCCAACCGTTCTTAAGATAATGAACGGAAACTGATGATGACGGAATGACAGAATGACGGAAGGATGGAAGGACGGAAGGACGGAATGACGGAACAGGGTAACACTATATGCCCCGGCCATTACATGGCGGGGGCATAAAAATTATTAAAGGGCCATAACTCAAACAAAAATCATTGAACCGGAAAATCCTGACAATATGCACAACTAGACTTGGTACTGATCATTCCTGTAAAGTTTGGATGAAATTGCACCAGTAGTTTATGAGGAGTAGTCCGGACAAGCTTTTGTGTATCTGGCAACACACAGAAAAAGAAACCTTTTTATCAAAGGGCCATAACTCGGCCAAAAATCATTCAACCTGAAAACCCGTGCAATATGCGCAAGGACTTCAGCTACAGATCAATCCTGTAAAGTTTCATTGAAATTGCATTAGTGGTATAAGAGAAGTAGTCCGGACAAACTTTAAAATTAAAAATTATTAAAGGGCCATAACTCTGACAAAAATCATTGAACCGGAAAATCCTGACAATATGCACAACTAGACTTGGTACTGATCATTCCTGTAAAGTTTGGATGAAATTGCACCAGTAGTTTATGAGGAGTAGTCCGGACAAGTTTTGTGACGGACGGACGGACGGACAGACGGACGGACAGACGACGGAGAAGTGATCCCTATATGTCGCCACTACTCCGTAGAGGCGACACAAAAATGGACACTTGAGTAGTCTACCATTCGCTGTAAGCCAGCTGGATAGCTTGGAATGTGATTTTGACATTCATACAGATTAATAAATATCCATAGAAATATTAACAATGATATTGGATAATAGTAAACAATGACACAGTATTGGTCGAGGACATGCTCAGGAAAATAACCATAACTTGTCTTGCAATATTCAAGGTCACCTCTTTCAAAAATGTATCATAACTTTTGTACAATATTTCAATAGTAGAGGTTATTATTTAAAGCATAACATTTAAGAAAAACAAACAAATTAACATATACTTATTGCCTAGACAATTTACATCTTGCTTTACATCAATCTCAATTATTATAATCACATAAATGATGGCACAACTTAATAAAAGTTGTCAGCAGGACAGCATGCTCGACTATTCTCAGATCTTGATAGTAAAATAAGAGTCTGAATAATGTAGAATTTTTTAAGTTCAAAAAAGGGCCATAATTCTGTCAAAATCCATGTTAGAGTTATGGGCTTTAGACAGTGTTGGCCTAATAATGTGTTAACTTTCAACCCATGTCCTTCAGAACCTTTGGGGATACCAACTAAGCCCAAAAACTTAACCGAAGTGTGGTGTTGATAGCTACACCTGGGCGAGAACAATAGCTCTCCTTATTCTTCAAATAGTCTAGCTAAAAAAATTAATTCATGTAAAAAAATAAAGTACATATATATATAATATGTTAACAAATACAAGTAAGAAACATCTTAATGTCTTCAATGCTAGACTAAGAGGTGCAAGAACAAACTTTATAACATTTTTTATAATTATATGTGTGGGGAAAGTAGGTTTAATTTTCAGTGCATTCATTACAAAAATACAACATGGATGTTAGCTTCATTGAAGATAATGATTTTAATGTTGCATTATGACAGTAGCACTATAATATTATATATAATATTATCACATAAGATACAGACCTTAGTAACAAACAACAACAGAGTCGTAGTAATAAACAATTGCAAGGCACAAAAATACCATAAGAATTTAAATATCTTTTGTGTATTATAATAACAAACATGGACATGAAATGTAATGTTTTGCAGATATGTTGTGCATTATCAACATTTTATGTGTTAAGGATGAGTAACATATTAAATCCAACATTTTTATTTATTAATGTTTTTGAGATATTTCTTTTTTTATTAAAGTGTATTAAGTTATATCTCTGCTGCCATCAGTTAACTTTTGATTGAAATTTGAAAAAGAAAAATTGTAAAATGCTTGTTTGAAAGAAATATGTTGATATATTTCCTTTTGATCAAATGATGCATGCTGGAAATCATATGGTTAAGAACTTACTAAAAATAGCAGCATTTTATTTTCTTTTTCTTTTCAAATCTGTTTACTGAAGTTTTCATATGTGTTAAATAACAGAAACATTCTATGATACAACTCTTTCAATAATTGATCATATGTTTATGAAAACAACATAAGTTTACTATTTTTAAAGTTGATGTAAAAATTCATAAAAATTAGATTTATACCCTTCAAGTTAAAGGAACTCAACAGAGGTCAGAAAGCCTAAAAACATAAAAATTGATTTTCTGACATGAATCAGTTGGGGCGCTTAAAACTGATAGATATGAATAATATAATTAAGAAATATACTCGAAATAAATTGAAAATTATATTTTGTGCTATTTTTAGCTGATTTGATTGAAAAGAAGTCATTTTCATTGCTAAAATAATCATTCTGGAAAACAGAATAATCTGAACTTTTGCAAACATGTTGTTACTAAGTATAGACCAACATCAAATGGAACAATAATATCGAAAAATTATTTCCTGCCCAATCAAGTTAAAATAGCTCTGTGGAGCCCCTTTAAACCTAGAATGATAGAGCATTATAATACACTTATAAATATATCATATAAAAAAATGGAATGAGTTTTTATGGATCAGCTTGTATGGAATGTGATGAAACAAAAGAGAATAATTATGCTTGTCATTCTAGGCACCAAGCTTACACTGAAAAGTGATGTGGCAGAAATTACAGTTTACTGTACATTCAGTCACACACCCCAATATATAATCAACAACTATCAAAAAGCTGACACAAACTTTTGACATGGTGAGATTTGAACCCACAATATTGAGAAATATTAAGTGTTGTTATATTTTCTGTGTTGAAGTGTTGAAAATTGTGTACCACTCAAGCCAGTGCAAGGGGGTGTGAGGTATACTGCACTTTTCATTATCCCTCATGTACAGACTCAATCAAACTGAGTCTGCAGTTTTCATGTTATCTTGTTGTAGTTAATGCTTTGGAGGGATCACTCTTTCTCCAGATTTTTCAGCAAAAAAAACTACATTGTACTTGGTTAAAGACTAACTAATATATACAACATATAGATCAATAACAAGTACTTAAGTTAAATATATAAAAGTATTGTGTTAAGATACTCAATACAGATATAACAAGTACTTAAGTTAAATATATAAAAGTATTGTGTTAAGATACTCAATACAGATATAACAAGTACTTAAGTTAAATATATAAAAGTATTGTGTTAAGATACTCAATACAGACATTTGTGCAGTCTGACTAGGCTCTATACAGTTGGTAGTTTATTTTTGTATACATTGATATTGAAATATCATAAACTTTGAAGGGACATTTTCAAATTCAAAGCTAGTTTCAGAGCCAACGATTCAATTCTTGATAAGTCATTGTAATATTTGATTCTTTTTTCGTTTTATCCTTTCTGATGTAAAACAAATTTTTTCTAATCAAGGGTTTCTTTCATTGGTTACAAGTTCTTCCTTTACCAATCAAATCGAGGGTAATGTAAACACTTAAACAAGTTGTTTAAAAATTGAAGACAAATAAAAAATTCTTCACACTCTTTTGGATGGTCAAAGTTGGAAGTCTTTTATTGTAGCTAAATTTTGTTTTTAAATTTAGAAAAATTAATGTTAACATAGTCTGAGTAATCAGATTAAAAATTAATAAAATTAATTTTATCGCAACTCAAGTGAAGGCTGAATCATTGCACCTATTCAAAGCAGGGCAAATCCATTACGAAAATCTAGCAAGGAAAGGGTTAAATATTTTGTCTGTGTCTAAAGCTAAGAAGAATGTTCCTAATTGTTCTGTAAGATTTACTCTATTTCTAACTTGCAAAACATCATATCTTATTACATTTTTCTAACTAAATTCTAGCTAAATATTTTCCTATGAAAAAATCTAAAACTCATCGTGTTCTAATTTTCTTTTGTCATGCGTAGAATCTTCTCTATCAGTATCCATATTTTTGTCAGTATTTAAATCATCATTTACAGCAGTTAATACAGTTTCTTCGCTTTTTTCTGATATTAAAACTTCAGTTTCTATTCCATCATCTGCAAATATGCCATTAGATATGATATCTACATTTATTTCTCCATTGTCAGTAACCTTATGCACACTATCTCCAACACTTTCTGTGTCTAAATTTCCATTTGTTTCAAAAGGAGTATCTTTAATTTCAACATTTTTTATCCTGCTTTTGCTCCCATTTTCATCAATGTTGTCTCCCTTCCCAACTTTATCTTGATTTTCTACCATCTCTTCTTCATCAATGTTGTCTCTCTTTGCAGTTTTAACTTGATCTTCTACTTTCCCTTCCTCATTAAGGTTTTCTACTGTCCCTTCTTCATCAATTATGTCTCCCTTCTGTATATCATCTTCATAATCTTCATTCTGGTTTTCTTCGACCTCCTCACCTTCAATCTCGACATTAAAGCACTGAGGTACCTTCTGTACAGCCTCGTCAATGTCAAAACTGTAAAACTCCTCCCATGTCAACTGCCTGTCATTGTTTGTATTAAGCATTTCCCATAGCTGTAAAAAAATAAATACCTTCATTACTAGTGTAGTCAAACCCTGTAAAAAATATTACCATAAAAAATAAAGAGGATACTGAATTCAGCATTGTATTTATTGAACAAGTCGAATAAAATTATATTATGCGAACCATCGTGAGGTCCATAAATTTAATAATGAATCTACACAAATAAAATCTTTTATCTATCATACCAAAGTAGGAACAGTTGACAGTAAAAAGAAAAGTTTATTCACCAACAAACCTAAAGTTTTGCACGAACATATGGCATGCTTTAAAGCGATGTCTGTATAACGTGAATCCGAGATTGGCCGTTACTTCTTTGAGCAATTAACTTTTCATTCATACATTGGTTTCAGGGACGGATCCAAGAGCATATCTATAACCTTACAGCTTGTTACACAATCAAAATTAAAATATAATCTAAGAAACTAAGGCAAAGGTAGAAAGCAAACACATCAACATTGATCAGATATCTTAATCTTCCAGTTTCAAACCTATATAATTCTTCATTCAGTGAAATTCTTTGTATACTAAAAATGCTGTCTTAAACAGCTACCCTAAAGCTAGATAATCCTGTCTTTGACTGCAGCCAGTGTTTGATTCTTCTTCAGTGTTTGATTCTTTCTGCACTTTGTTCCTTTAGTAGCTTATAAATTTACAATTTTCATTCATAAGTTCAGAACAGCAGAATGATGTCACCTAAGCAAGCAAGTAATCTATAAAGGCCATGAAATGCCATCTTTTTAAAACAACTGATCTTACACAGGGTTAATGTCAAATCCAGTATAAACACTAGAATCTAGTGTGAAACCCTAGAAAATATTGTCTTATTCACAACTTGAAGAAACACCATTAGTGATCTCCCTTATTTTGTCTTGTTAAAATCAAAATAATATTGGTCTGAGGGATGTTTATCGGCTTTTTAACCTCAGTTTTGACTTATTGATGACAAAAATTTAACTTCTCAGGCCTATAGCCTTTACCTTCAATTCCTACTCCAAACCAGTGTTAATAGCTTATTTCTTTATTTATATTAAACATGTATTACCAATATTTTACAATATTACCTTGACAGCATCCTCTTCACTTTTACAACCACTCTTCATTATGAAAAATTTCTGACTCACACCCTTAGATCCACCAAAATTTGACAGAAATTCTGATCTGCAAGAAGAGAGATAACATCCTTTGATAAACATAACTTTAAATTTCTCTGATTGTCCCACCTACATACAAAAGCAATCTTATATTATCATCCAAATGAGAAAACAATCCTCTGGCAGCCTTTATTAAATACTACCTAGACAGGGATCATTTGCTTTCTGAGATACAATGAATTCATTTACAGATGAAAAATTGAAGAAAGAGAATGCATTATAAACCTATGTATAAAGGAGGCTAACAAAATAAAGATCAATGTATCACTATTCTTACAGCTTCCTGTATCAAACAAGTTCAATTTAAACTATTCTATACATTTCTTTTTTTTTTGAGTCAGGGTTTAGGTCATGGATTTAACTCAATGCAGTGTGGGAGCAGTTACCCTAGACGCTTGCAGAAGACATGATAACAAAGTAGAATAATATTACTTTTTTCTCCCATTCTTACATTTTGTCATTGAATTTCATATATAAATCAGTGTGACTAGCTGAATTACATGTCTTAAGGTGTGTTTCAGTGAGTGAAAATGCCAAATTTAAGCATTTAATCATTTAAGTGCCTTGTCCAGTATATACCAGAATACAGTATTTCATGAAGTGTGGTACTCCAACATTTTTTTTGTCTCACATATAGGTCACACAGACACTGTAAAGGTTATGTGATCAGTTTTCTTGTTGAGGATAACTTCATGTGTCACTAACTGCACAAAATGAGCCGCGTCATGACAAAACCAACATAATGGGTTTGCGACAAGCATGGATCCAGACCAGATCCGCGCAGTCTGATCAGGATCCATGCTGTTCGCTTACCAACTATATTTCAAGTAGAGGAACTGATAGTGAATAGCATGGATCCTGATCAGACTGCACGGATGTGCAGGCTGGTCTGGATCCATGCTGGTCGCAAACAAACTATGTTGGTTTTGTCATGACGCGGCTCAAATGTCAGACACAAATGAGCACCTTAGTAGAATCCTAGATGTTCTATAAGCTAGATGATAACATCCTTAATATGTAAAACAATACAAATAACCTGGTGGGACATGAACACACAGTGGTGAGGAACAAGTGACTGTAAGTGGATATAAAAAATTCCAGACATTTAGCATGAGGAAATATTAGCGAATTGTGCAAATGTAGAACTTAATGACAGGTTGTTTGATATTTACACTAAAGGCAATTTTAGCGATTTGGTCAATTTTGCGAGTTCGCCGATACAATGTATTTCCACCTCGCTAACTTAACCACTTATACAGTTCAAGTCAGCATCTTTAGCCAATTGACCACAGAAACCCTGGTTTGTTTGTTTAGATTTTACACTGATTTCTGTGGTGTAATACATAACAATAATGAGATAACCTTTTAAAATCTCTGTGACAGAGAAATTAAGTCTCATCTGGGAATTGCACCAGCAACTCTTGGATTACAAATCTGATGCATGCCCTATTGAGCTAGGTGGGTGAACTCTTAATGATTCTCTAAATCTTACCGTAGTTGCGAATTTGGGGATGCCATGGTAAAATGAGAGAGAGGTTTATTCTCAGTGCTGCTGTGATCATTGCAGTCCGTCTGATTGAACCACCATAGATGTGAGAACCACAGATTTACTGCCAAATTTCTCCCTGGTGGCGAATACACATGATGATACCATCTGAAAAATGTCATAAAAATTATTTCTAGTATACATTTTGTATAACCAAACTATAAATGAGCCGCATCATGACAAAACCAACATAATTTGTTTGCGACCAGCATGGATCCCACCAGCCTGCGCATCCACGCAGTCTGATCAGGATCCATGCTGTTTGCTTACAAACCCTATTACAAGTAGAGAAACTGATAGCGAACAGCATGGATCCTGATCAGACTGCCCGGATGCGCAGGCTGGTCTGGATCCATGCTGGTCGCAAACCCACTATGTTGGTTTTGTCATGACGCGGCTCAAATAAGTATATACGTCAAATCAACGGAGAAAAAAGGTCATGTGACAAAATTCTAGCTTATCCTGATGAAGGAAGAACATGATATCACTCTATGAACTATGGAAGGTACAAACAGGCACCTGTATAGTTTATCACATATCCACAAATGTGGGGGTTTTCCTTTTTGATACTGGTGTACAACATTTAAAGTTACAACTTGGATAATATATCAACAAATTAGTGCAACACATGGATCAGTCTAATGTGAATGGTAGTATACAGTGAAACTATTAAAGTAAAAGTTGGTTTGTACCCCGAGATAATATAGGGAAAACCCTCATTTGCAAAGTTCCGGATTACATCTATTGTTGATTAACTTTTTCACATGCAAGAATTTAATTTCACAGCAAACAGAACAAGGGTCATTGTCGGTCAGTTATAAAACCCTCAGTTTTACTTTGATTTATATTTAAACTACAATAACATCCAAGGACTTTAACAATCACTACTTGAAGAATATAGATATCTGTTTGTGTATTATTTTACTCAGCCTCATTTAAGCACAAATGATTACTAAATCAGAAAGATATTTGAAGTGAAGCAATGTTACATGGCATTTGAAGCATCATTTTCATATATATATTTATATTTTCTTTTTTTTTTTTTTTTTTTTTTTTTTTTTTTAATGCGTTTATTTAAGGTCGCCGCCGGAAAGCCCATATGGGCGACCGTACACTCAAGTCGGGCCATCCTAGAGCACCCGCCGAGATTTTTTCGTCAATTTTTTTTCCAGCTTTTATTGGTGGAGGAAGACCCCAGGTGCCCCTCCGGGCATTATTTCAGGCACGAGCGGGCACCGGGTAGAACCACCGACCTTCCGTAAGCCAGCTGGATGGCTTCCTCACATGACAGATTTCGACCCAAGTGAGGATCGAACCTACAGCGGTGAGGGACCAGTGATCTCAAGTCAGCGACCTTAACCACTCGGCCACGGTTGGTTTTTATGTTGCATCAATAAAGTACAGGTCATATGGTGAATTTTCCAGCTTTATTGGTGGACAAAGACCCCAGGTGCATTATTTCAGGGACAAAAATGTAGACACCCGAGTAGAACCACTGACATACAGTACACTAGATTGATAGCCTCCTCACATGAAGGGATATGAACCATTTTAATTCTTAACTTAAATAAATGTTTTAGCTGTATTCTTTTTTATGTATGAACATACATGATCATTTTTAATATCAGTTCTGTCCCAATGACTTACAAATGCAAGTTGTTCATATTACCAACAGGCAGCTTTTCATCACGTCTTGAAAAGATATAGGACAAACCCCAAAAACACCAATAAATCTAGTTATAAGGAAAGAATATAGCTGTAGTACTTCATCATAAAAGAAATATAATTACTTGTAAGGTATGTATACACAATCTCCTTTCTGCATGTTAATCTGGTACCAGGCAGCATTATATACACCAGGGAACATGCCGGGATCCACAGAGTCTACATCTACCTCACTATAGCCACCATCCTCCACCCAGCCATGTTCCTCCACCATCCTCTTATATTTCTGTGATTACAAATTTTTTTTATAGATTTCAAATTTTATTTTTTCTGGTGCATTATGGCTATTGGTACATAAATACAGGCTTTCTACTGCCTCTACCAAAAAAACTAGGGAAAAAGTAGGGCATTTTTTTAGCAAAAAGTAGGGCAAAGTAGGGATTTCTGATGTTAAAAAGTAGGGATAAAGTAGGAATTTCTTACCGTTTTAGTTAAGACTTACCATCACCAAGACCACATCAGGCTGTGTGTATCTTCAGTTCAGTCCATGCTTGAAAGACAGGCACCTGAAATTGTTTTTTTATTTCTCTTTTAATACAAGTGCACCAATACAAAATGTTGTTTACAATGATAAGGACAAATATAATCAGCAAAACAAACATACAATGAGTATATCTAGCACATAGTTTTAAGAATATTCACATTAGTAAGGCGAGAGCTACTAGATCCTAGTATATTACATAGTCAAGGTAAATGCAAACAAGCTGTGAATACCAACACCAGGATGTACACTAAAAGCTATATGAACAGGAGTGCATGTTACTGTATGAGCTACATGTACATGTAGGTTAAACTGATGTATATTCATGTTAATATGTTGCATAAAATTATAATATATTGCAAGGGCAAAGGTTATGACAAACATGCCACAGTGTAGTATTTTAAGGAACAATTTAACACCAACAAGAGGTACAAGTAGGTTACATGTATGCATGATTCAGTATACTGCCAAAATGATAATGTTAAATGTTACATGTACATATACATACAATTTGTGATTGATTTGCCAAACATGCATAGTTACATCTGTAAATACAATCTAGCTGAGACAAGCTTGCTACCAGATTGTTTGTGCATTATTGTCAACAAGACAATGAAATGATTTGAATTTTTAAAGACCTGTCATTTTCATGATTAAGCTTAACATTATATCATGTTGACAAAATGCACAACCATCTGATGGATAAGTGATGAAGCAATACCAAGGTATTTGCACATGTTAGATTTTTGTTAAGTGACAATTTAAAGCTTGGAATCTAAATTGATAAGTCACACTGCTGCAAACTCTACTCAGACACAAGAGCAATTGGTCAATTGCAGTGTTTTGATACCCCACAGCTGCCAATGCTTTAATCACATTTTCAATGTTTTATTTAAACCTTGTAAAATTTTTGATTGATGACTTTTGTTTTAAAAATTCAAGTAACATGTACATATATGGTCTAATAGACATGGAGAAAATAACACAAACACAAATGAAACCAATAAAAAAATATGTTCTTTTGAATCAGTACAGCATGACAACTGTGGAATCCCTCAGCTAATGCATTATTGGGAATATTTATAAACCTAATTTAGACATTAATAAGCACTTGGCAGTGTCAAACTAGACTGAAGCATGCATTCATTTACAAGAGGAACATGGAAATTATAAAATAGTAGTTATTTAAACAATCAGTATGGTTTAATATATTTACCTCATAGCCAGAATGTTGCTGAATGTTTTGCCAAGGCACCAAGAGTCTTTTCAAGGATGGACATCACAAGGAGACACACACCACACACACACACACACACACACCTGAACTACTCATCAATTGCAACCTGAAAATACTACTGAAAATACCATTTTAAATATCTCCTATTTTTTTTATTTCATTTCAAAATGAAAAAGTAGGGATAATAGGGCTATTTCAGAAAAAAGTAGGGCAAAGTAGGGATCAGAAGAAAAAAGTAGGGAAAAGTAGGAAAAGTAGGAAAAGTAGGGACCAGTAGAAAGCCTGTAAATATTTAAATAAAATACATATTGTACATATTTCTTTGGTGTAAAAACCCATTTGTAGAGCTTATCAACAAACTTGCGGCCATATTTCAACCTGCATGCTTACAAAAGATCCTAGTGTAAATTTTCTGATCAACTTACAAGAATAAACAACAAGCCATTACCAAAAAATTATATCAAAAAAGATTCGAATGGTTTTAACATTATTTGAATTTCACAACTTTTCTTTATCCATGATTTGAATGACACAATTAAAATGGTTGTCAATACTGCTCAGAGAGAAGATTAACTTGATCATGTCTTGGTCAATTCAACACTAGAAATACCAAGTCAATGTTATATCTATCATCACGGCAGTAAATATAGGTATAAAACAAACAGTCTCATTTCATTTTTTATTTGTTTTATTGTGTTATAAATAATAAGTTATTAAGACTCTGTAAATATATGTATGATGTATTTACCATTGGTAATAATAACACTTGCATGAGATGCATGTTACCAAATACTTTATTGAAGAACCATATTTTTTTTTTTTTTTATTTATTTATTTATTTTTTTTTTTTGGGGGGGGGGGGAGGGGGGAGTAAATTAAGAAGGTAATAACTGGGATTACAGTAAAATAAAAGGATAGTAGATATGCATTTGTAAGAAAGTACATACAGTATAAAGGTGTTGGCTACAGAATTTTAGATATACCAATGTATGAAGATTAAAGCCATTGCTACATGTACAAGAAGAACTAAGGAAAATTCAAACTTGTTAGAAAAGGTTCACCTTAAGCATCAAAAAAATATGTACATATGGCTATAGACATTTCAAATACTACGGGCTTCACTTTGGGGTATGAAAATTCTTTAAAAGTATGAGTGAGTTGTGTATTGTCTTATTATTTTGTACATTACATGTTTTTTTGGATACTGGGTATTACATGTATTTTGTATATTATATGTAGTTTACAAGTATAAATGAGTTGATTTTAAATTATATACATGTTTTTTGTATATAACAAGCATTTTGTATATTACATGTATTTCATTTATTACATGCAGTTCACAGGTGTCTTTTATTCAAAGTCAGAGTTATATCACAAACCTTGTCTATAAGGACTAGTTTTTTCTCTCCATCAAGAAGACAGTTAATATTGTCTACTGTATCATAATGCAAGACCGACTTTGTACCCCCACTAGAGAACCAAAGTACAGCATCTTGTAGGTTGTCCTGGAAACCTCCACACTGAAGACTTGGTGGTACCAATACTTCCTCTGCAGGGAGCAGTAAAAGATATTTGAAAATCTATAACCAAATTATTTAACAATCAGATTGAGCAATAGATAAGTTCTAAGCAGTTGAACACCTAACTTACATACTGTTCATGTTCTATAAATCATAAAAGTTGATATAGAATCTGTGTTCCTCCATATCTATACAATTGCTAGTGAAACTGACTCAATCATAAGTTGTTTTTTTTTCTACATTTCACCAACACAGTACAGGACAACTGGCGACTTTCCAGCTTTACCGTGGAGGAAGATGTCAGAGGCCCCTCTGTGCATTATTTCAGGCAGGAAACAATAAAAAGTCCCTGGTTGGATTTCATCCCACAGTAGTGAGGGGCAAGTGGTTTGAAGTTAACCACTTGGCCACCACCACCTCTAACTGGCAGCTCATTTTAAATGAAATTTTCAACATTGGCTTGTTTGTTTATAAATACATTTAACATGAAATCAAAGACTAGGCATATAGGCCCTGAATTAATCTTTACCCTCTGGCTAAAGCTCCACAGTGGATTATTCATTTGATGAGTCAATTTTTACATTCCAAACCAGCTCTGTCATAAATTTACCTTGTTTATTACCTTTCATGCTATCAGGCACTGTATGAACCATGTATAGGTTACTGTCCTTGTAGATATCGAGGAATTTTGAAAGTTTCAGCTCCAATGCCTTCCCGTTTCTATCTTCCTTCTTACCTCTCTCTATCTCAACTCTTTCATCACCATACTTTGTTCTGAATAAAAATATAATGTCTCACTAAATTTAAATGATAAAAGAATAACTTAACACATCATCGAACACCCATGGCTAAACCATTAACATTTATCATGTAAATCAACCATGGGTATCCAAAGATAAACTTTACAATACTTTTAACTTAATGGTAGGGTATGAAGTCAATCCCACTTGGCAAACATAATGTATGGAGACTGTCATGCTTTAATTAGAGGAAGACCTCTGTTGGTATGTCTATATTTTATTTAGGCAGTTGAGAAGAACCACTGACTTTCTGTGTGCTTGCTGGAAAGCTTTCTGGTATAAAAATATTGCAAGTCCATGGTGGGATTTGGATCCACAAAGGTAAGGAGGCAAGTGATTCAAAGCCAGCAACCCACTTTACTATAAGCCTCCTGGCAACACTTACATTTAACAGATTTATGTTATTTAATTAATTTGGTTATCGCTTGAGTTGAATATTGTTTATATTTGCAAAATAAAAAGTGACATTGTGTTTTTGACTTCAAGGCATGTTGTTAATGCATGAGATCATTTTTAGTTTGAGCTGAAAGGTTGAACTACATGTATCTGCATTTAAATTTATTTTGTACAAATTAGATTGGTTAACAAATCAATAGAAATAAAATTGAAATCAATAAAAAGATCTACTTGTACAAAATTAATAGAACTGCAAAAAAAAAAATCATTAGGTATAAAAAAGGAGTTATTTATTTTCATTATCAAAAGAACTTTGAATTATGTGCACATATATATATATATTAAGCACAAAATTAATGTTGAAGGTTCAGGTATTTGTAAAACATTACCTTAGATAGTCATCTGTCCATTTCTGAAAAGCTGTATATCCAGTTTCATTGAGAACATTTTTCATCAACAGTGGCTGACCTACTTGTATGAAATGATAATAAAATACACCCGGCACAGGAAACTGTCCTGCCACAACTGTTGCACCTTTAGACGGGGGTTTGTGACTTCCTAACTTCTTGAATTGTCCTAGGACAGCTAGACTCAAGGTTCCCAGTAACAGGAATGTGATGCCACATTTGAATGCCTTCGTCATGCTTGCATATACATGTATATATAACTGTACTATGCCAAATCAAAAAGTGTTAGAACTGTAAACAGAAATATTATAGAATTTACAATAATACTAAAAACAACGGCAAATTAGGCAAATAATTTTTTCAATATCCATTTAATATTTTGTAGTTTTTGTTATTTAAATGTGTTAATGACGGAATTTAGCAGGAGAGAAACTGCATATTTGAATGTTTATTTGGAATTAAAAGGCATACTGTAACCCAACGAATATTCGCGACCAATTAATATTCGCTTTATTCGCGGATGGCCACGACGCGCGAATATTTGTTTGCGCGAATAAGTCCGCACGATTTCGCGAATAAATTGGAGAGAAATTTTTATTTTAGACGTTCATGCAAAACAACTTGACCGGATATATTCGAATTTTACGGGCACCTGTTAGGAAATAATGAATTGTTATGAATATTGCCACAAAGCAATAAAAACACAAGCTAAGTAAACTACTACTATTTTATAAATATAAAAAACTCTATGTCAATATAGCAATCAGAATAAACATCCACATTTTAATACAGTTTTTACACTATATGGAGCATGTGTCAGTATTAAGTTTCTTCTTGTTTGGACCCTATAAAATAATTGTTTAAATAAATCGTTTGACAAAAGTGGGAAAACTATCGAGCATCACAAAAGGCTATTGTTTTTTGGATCCTTTAAAATAATTGTTTGAGTGAATTGTTAAGACAAAGGTGGTATAAAACTATCGAGCATCACAAAAGGGTATTGGTGTACAAAATTACAAACAGTGAAATACAAGATGGTTTCATTTACCCGTCAAACTGAACAGCCTGTATAGCTCTGTTGGTTAGATTGCGGACTCATATAACATAATTTTCTCGGCGTGGGTTCGATCCCTGATTGGAGAAGGTATTTTTTATGAAACACGCAAATTGAATTTCTTAAAGACTTTTCTAGATAAACTGTGGGTACAAAATATAAATATGTTTTGAAAATAAGATGTTGGAAGAAGGGTTTATTTTTTATCAACCATCCTGTTAACGACATGTTTAGAATGAAGACGAACAATGCGTACATATTCATATATAGAGAAAATGTTTTGCTGAATTGTGATCACATTTCACTTACCAATACAATATAAGGCTAGCGTATTGTTAATTCCATTTAAGACACCAATAATGACCTCAATTATTGAAGATTAATAGTCGGCTAATGGATTTTACGGCCCCATCCGACTTTCCAATCCTGAATCCGCGAATATTTTTTTTCCGGAAATCAAGAAAACGCGGAAATTAATATTCGCGAATATGTCCGACCTCGGCAAAACGCGAAAATTTGTATTCGCGAATATAAATTGGGTTACAGTACATGATGCTTACTGTTCATGTTCACAAAATATCTTTTATATATTTTACTAAACATCTTGCTAAATAATCATGTACCTTCTAATAATAATTGTGTTTGAACAGGTCATTAACCATTTACTTCATGAGCATTTTGTGAAAAATAGCTGTTTTCATTGAAAAGTCTCCCGTTACAAGTTCAAATTGCTATAATACAATAAAAACTGCTTCAACACTTATCAAACTTGGCACAAATGTTGACTGGACCATTGCCCTTGCAACAACATGCTCAGGCTTAAATTTTCTGTTACCATGGCAATGAGGGGTCATCTCAAAATTGCCAAAAATCACTATTTTTTGTTGATTTTTTCCATCAAAATTGATTACAAAGTGCTGCAACTTCTCAATGGATTGAGATAGAGTCAAATGCTTTTCAGCGTTGGTTACACGTTACCTTATGATCAATCTGGGGTCATTTATAGCCTCTCACAAGTCCAAAATTTTCTTGGCAATGAGGGGGACTCCGCCCCCCTTCAAACCATCCCCCTTCTGGCAACCCCCTGATGTATCTTTTGGTTGGGGGGCCGCTCCGAAAAAGAGGTCACTTTTTATAACAACATTTCTCAAACAAAAACAAGTGTTGGGGGCCTAAATAAGGCATTTTTTCACCCTTTGAGACAACAAAAAGGGGGGGGGGTGAAAAAGGCGTTAAAAGGCGTGTATATAACGTAATGGGTTAATTTTGTTTCTATAATTTTCATACTGGAATCCATTTATGTGCTTTTGAAAAATAATTTGATGCTTAAATAAATTTAGGTACCTGCATTTACATATTTCATGAGTGGCTTGAATAAACTTCAAAGTATGGAAGCATTTGTCAGACCATTTTACATACAATTTATACAGTGAGCTATGCAACTGAACTGGTTTAATAATAATCTTTCCTTGCAGTTCTACCAGAGCTTTTTTTTCCTTCTATAACAGGGGCTGTTATAAGGCCCCTTCACAATTCAAAATTGCACTTTTTTTTCACAAAGAGGCGGAAAAAATTTCACAATTTCAAAAGAAATTTCACAAAATATTCAGGGGACTTTGTCTTTGAAATACATTGTTAACCTTCCGGTAAAACATGATTAAATACGCCAATTTCAAGAACACAGAAATAGTTTTAATCAAGTTAAATGGTTTTACACATGTTAATTAAGCGGGTTAAAGTACGGACTTGAAGCAGATTTTCCGGTTTCATTATGTTGCTAAATAATATGTAATTTTTTTTCTCACAATTTTATGACAAATCTCGCTTTTTTCACAAAATGAACAGGTCCAGGCCCATTCACAATTTTGACAAAAAATGCCCTGTCTACTAAGAATAGCCTGTACGTCATCTGCTAGTTCGGAAACTGTAAATCAGTGAAAGCAATGTACCTGTTGAACGGGTACATGGTCACCAAATCATAAGCTAGAGACAAGACATTTTTATAAATGCAGTCTGTATTTTCATAAATTTACTATATTCTGGTTTATCTTTTTAGTATTTTACAAACTAATTTTGTTTTGAATACATGTAGTTGTTTTGAAAAATTTATGATTACTTTTTCTTTAACATAAAACAATAAAGTATTGTGCTATCATATCACTATGGTTTCCTTATTACAAGTTATTGGCTATACTACACATAGCTGTATCCGAAAAATTGTTCTATCCGAAAAGTGTATACAGGAAAAGGTCTTCAACATCGTTTCCTGACATTTTGAACAGTGTAAACATATCATGTACAACAAACTTAATTTTACATATTTTTTAAATAAATCTACCTTATAGTTTCTTGATTGCTGACAACAATTACTTCGCTGTAATAATAAACATATTATCTACTTGAAAACTAGACAATCATGGGCGCGGCCATCTTGTAAATAATGAATTGTGGGAAGACAGAAATAATAATGGCACAAGCGTGTGTATCGATTGTTAATAATGTTTACTAAGGTATACTTAAATAATTAGCATGTTTTCAACTTATTTTCTTTTTTGTTGCTTTTAACTCTATACTTTTACTTCTACTAATTTGTATATGCATAGCATGTGCAGTAAGAAGATGTACAGAAGATAAGGTTGTGGCATATAAATCTATTACTGGGGTTATCTCCCTTGCATATAGTCAAATATGTCTATAGTGTTTATACCAGATTGGAATTTGGGTTAAAACTTTATCTTGTGTACTTGATAGATGTTTTTTAAATTGCGCTATATTAACGGTTTTCTTCGTTTATATATTTCTATTTTCAGGAAATTGCGCGAGACCATGCAGTCTACTTGAATTTAAACGCACTAAATTTTATATATTGTGTAATGTATGATAACGACTATTTTTATGTACATGTTAGTGTTCATCCGTACTGTTCTACAGAAATTAGAAACTTTGACGGGCCATTGTCAACTACTGGAGAATGGTTCTAAATTGCTGTCATATAATTACTGTCCAATTATCAGCTACGGATGAATACTAACATACTTAGTGTCCAGCCTTACTTGGCTTCATTAATATATTCAATTTATAATGTCATGATATTTTTACGAACCAATTCTATGAAGCACTATGAAAAATAAAGAGCAACTTTGAATGGAATTTGATATAGTTTTAACTTAATTCTGTTCTTCTATGAAAATAAAAACACAAAATTTATAAAAAATACAATGTTTTCGTCGCATGACAAATAAAGCTGGACACTAATTTCAGTGTAATTCAAATTGCACAATTAAACCAATCTATTAATGCTGTTGTGGATATTGTGGTTCAAAGCACTAATACAACTTGTAGGCCCATGCAGCATCTTTTGGTATATAGACAGTAACCCATCAATGTAAAAAAAAAGTATTCGTTGGTACCTGAAAACGCTAATTGCTCTAAAGAAATAAACACACCAAAAATTGCTCACTTTAAACATATAGAATTTTTTTTAAAATGACTGAACTGTATTCCTTTTAAATTTACCTGCATAAGGCTGTACAAATAAGAGAACAAGTCAGTCTTCTGCAGTCATTTTATTTTTATTTAAATTTATTGTTCTTATTGTTGTTGTTTGAAATCAGCGCGCCAGGTTGTCTTGTTTTGTTGTTACGACATCACAAAAAATATGTTTGTTGCACAAAATAGTTGATTATAGATAGAATTGGGATTCGAACTCACAACTGTGAGGGGCAAGTAGTTTGAAGTCAACGACCTTAACCACTTGGCCACGGACACCCCCAACCCATACAGATTATCAAGATCAGGTCAAAATACTAGAAATACCCTGTATTGTGTTAGTAATGCAGTCAATTAATATGATAATAAATACTGAAAAAATCAATCATCAATCAAGCATACATGTATAATGTAAGTTATAACTTTAATCTGAGTACACGATCTTCTTAAAATCTTTGTACATTTTTCTCAGGTTTTATGTTATTTAAATATTTTGGCTCATATGGAGGCATATAGCTTTTAGAGACACCAATAACATCAAGATCTTGCAGCAGAAAACATGAACAAGTTTGTGTTGCTTGATATGCATTTTGAATAAAATGCCACTATCAGCAATTTAAATTTTGTTACAATAAATACTTTTATGATGTCTTCTTCATTTGAAAATAAACAAATCTGATAATTAAATATCAATACAATTAATTCTTCCAATAGAATTATGATAACTATGCAATTTTAATGCATTGCTATATGTAAATATCATTTCATGTTTTGAGCCATCTGCAAGAATGTTTTGAAAAATATTGCATCTTTTTGTATGATACTGTACATTGTTCTCAATACAGTGGTATAATAGTAAAACAACTGCTTCATTTTGAGCATTATTCTCAAAAAAACCTTTTCTACAAATTTGATGCTGCCACGCTCCAGACAATCAATACATTTCTGAAATCTGAAAATATTTACCAAGTGTAATGTCCTTACACTGACTTGGTAATTCATCAAAATAAAATTAAAAAAAAAGAAATCATGAAAAGGTCTTCTTTTTTTGTAGTCACTGAACTATTAGTGGTATTTGACCCAATTACTGGAATCTTTGACAGTGTCAATATGAAGTGTGACTGAGTCATTTGTAAAAATACCTCGTGATGTTTTTCACTATAAATGTGCCAGTTTTGTCAGTGTACAGTACTCTTTTAAAATTTTACTGAATAAATTTAAGTAATTAATTGTCATTATGAGTACAGGGTAATTCTGGTAGTACAATTGATTTCTTTTGCTAGGTAGCTTCACAGACCACCTAGTGAAGAATTCAAAAAGGCCTTCAAAATACTTTATGTAATTCAATAGTGTTGGGTTACTATTAGGTACATAATTATGTTGGTTATTTCTTCTTTTTATCACTATTTCTGGATCATGATCCAAATTTTAAACTCTTTGTTTTGAATTTATGCATTATTTAAAAAAAAAAATCGATTAAACTAAAAAATATTAACCAGTCATTATGCTTGGCTTTGGAGCAAATAGGAGCTGCCAGCAAAATTTCGTCTGCTGTTAAAATGACCCTTCTGATTGCTGGAATTTGTTTAAAAAGAAAAAAAAACAATCAAGAGCAAATATCCAGAAAAATTGATCCCTTGGAAGCATTAAAAACAGCAAAATTACATGAAAATTGCAGACTCGGTTTGATTGAGTCTGTACAAGTTTATCAGGTTAAACAGGTTAAAGAGATTCACAAGTATTGCATTGTTGCAATCAGATGAAAGGTGTCAATTCGCCTGATAATTTTGGAAGTTTATTGAAGTGAAGAGTCACTATACAAGCTGTCAGATGGGAAAATCACATAATATCCATATTATTTATTTAGTAGGAAATTATAAGAAATAAACAAGTTAAGGCATCATTCTTTTCTATTTCTGGTATACAAAAGCCCTAAAAGTGAACTTCAACATTACAGTAAACTGACTGACAGAGATGATAGAACAAGGTTAATAATTAGGTCAGTGACTCACCCATTATTATAATTATGAACTTTTTATTACCGTGTTACGTTATTTCTTTGTTAAATAAGAAAACCCACAAGGTTTAAGGGTAATTATTTTGATGTATTGCAGCAAAATTTATAGTGAACATATGTAGCGTGTTATTGGTTGTTTAAATGTTTATGCAGTGTAAGTCATGATACAGACATTGTATGTGAAAGGTTTACAAATTAAACATCTGTAGATTACACATCTGCAGCTCTCTACACAGTGTGTTATATTTTCAGTCATTTTGAACAGAGAAAGAGTTGTTTACATAAAAGTATGTTGGTTGCTAATGGGGCTGTAAGAGGAATGTAAAATTATATCGACAGGGGTCTTCACCATTTATTCTGAGATGTTTTGTTTTTTGCTCATATTGGATTGAATGTGATGTTACAGCCAAGTTACCTGATAGTTAACTTATGATTAATTTTTTTCTCTGTGCTTCTGATAAATTAAATACAAAATTGAGGCTTGAAAGGAAGTTGATTGTCTGAGATACTGTTTTTGAAATATATATAACATATTTTTCTTTATCGTTATTGTACATGTATTTATTATAATTATAAGCTTATTAAAATAGTCATTTTTATTCAATCTCATTAAAATCAGATCATTGTTTTCGATCCTTTACTCTACCTAGTGAGGGTAGTGGAGCGACATTTCCACAGGATATGATTTTAATGAGATTGAGTTTGATTGAACTAAATCACATATTCTTCATATTATGTAAAGTATGTATGACTAAAAATATGATAATCACATGCTAACAAACTGATTATGTTGAAAACTTAAACTATTACCTTAATTAATTAATATTTTTGATTTAATATGTTTCCATATATTTTACATATATTTGCAGTTGTTATTTGAGCTTATATATTTTATTACCCGAACATCATTTCATTCATAATGGCAAGCTCGTTCATCTTGTAACATGTAAACATTGCAATTTTAGAAATTTTTGATAAGGAAATATTAGGAATACATTAATCTTTAATAGAATGTAGCTGTTAAATGATTGATAAGATTTAGGGCCACAATTTTTTTAATGCAAATGTATATTGTGAAAGTTTTGCTAATTTAAATTTACATGTATTGGTGAGGTTATCTCAATAGCCTATTTATTGTTGTGCAAAAACTTTATATTTGATGTAAAATATGCATCAAGAAATTTTCATTGATTCAGCTATTATTTAGATTGAAGGTATGCATAACTTATTTTAAATGTGGAGAGAAGTTTATGAATTAATATGACCTTGTAGTAAAAAAGTATGCTATTTGTCAATGCCTCAATCTTGTTATGATGAGAAATAAGTTTTAATTACACAATTTTAAGTGACTTCATTTATCTTTCTTTTTAACAAGAAATTACTGTCACTTTTATTGACATGGTCACTAATGCATGTTACCAGGTTAGACATTTTAGTGCTTTCATTGTTACAGAAATATATCATAATTAATTTTTTACATTGTTTAGTCTTTTTACTGTGTCTGAGTATTTATTTAGGTGATCCAGTGCTTTGTTCTCAGACTGTTCTTCTTTCATATAGAAATACAACATTAATGCAGCTGTAATATTGGGTTTTTTCTTCTCTCTTCAGAAAATGGCTGATATTACCCAGATAAGCAACAAGTCAGGAGATAACAGTCTGGCATCAGTCTGTACACTTGATGATCAGTCTGGAATAAATACTGCCAGCAGCAATAATGAACCAAACCAGTCTGTGACAGATATATGCATTGTTGATGTAGCTAGCCAATCACAGATGCACAGTTTAGATTTAATAGGCCAGTGTGAGATGGAAATCACACCAGAAAAGGTTGCAGATCAGGCTAGAATGCCTGCAAGCAGTTTAGATGCTGGACATCAGGCAGATACTAGCAAATTAGGGGACCAGTCTACATCACCTCAAAAGGAGCATACGGATACAAGTGAATCAGTGTAAGCTAATCAACATAATATTATTACTAATTAAAAAGATTTTGAAAAAGTTATATGGCCATATTTGAATAGTTCTTTGCATAATATAACCCTAAGCTGCTAGATGAGGGTTATATTGCTAACAACCATTTATATAGGGCCATATAACCTTTCAAGAATCTTTTGAACCAATCTACAATACAACAGACATCCCTTATTGGAGAAAAAATGAAATTATTCATAAATGGACAGCAGCACTTTATATAGTTCATATGAATGTTATGACTATCCAATGAGAAGGAAATATACAATGGTGCAGTATAATATCATTGAAACATTAAAAATAAAAGCCTATCTAATTAAACATGCCTTGTCCATGGTGAAATTAAGAAATAATATACCGGTATCCAAAACAGTGATTTTATCGCTCAATAACATCACTGTTTGGCATTCGGATGCAAGGAATTATATCATGAGGGGGCATAACCCAAGTCGTATAATGATGCTTATCAGAACAACAAATAGTCATGTTGTTGAGCGATAAAAAATGCTAAAAACCCAATAAAAAACCTTGCCCTTACTATGAAGGGCATAATGTTGTCTCACTAATTACAAATAATTGGATGTTTTGTGCATGAATAAGCTAGATACCAAAAGCTAATATTAGAGTATTAGAGGGTCAAAGACAACTTTCAAGACCGCTGTGTGGGCCACACATACCCAATCACAGGTACAAGTTGATGCTGTATTATCCAGAAACATGGATGCATCCCAGTAAAACAATATGTATTCAAATTTTGATATTTTGGTATTTCCTTTCAGATTTTTTTTAGTGCTAATCATCATATTAATACATTCAAATCAAGCAAACTGATTAACAGTTTGATTCTAACTAAATGCCAATTCATCACCAATTACCTTATCTATAATTGTATATTTGTAGGGAAATGGACAGTCCAACTAAAACATTCGAAGAATTTAGAGTGCTAATAGGTGAAACTGAAGCATCGATGAGGGACAAACTGTCGTCTCTGACATTACCAGATTCCGAAAGTTTTGAACAAGAAGAAAAATTAAATATTCCAGTTGCTAAAGAATTAAAAACAGGCGGCCAAGATGAAGGTGTAAAAGTTAAGGATGATAGTTCTGTTCCATTAAAAACAGCAGAAAGTAATACTGAAGATGTGGGCCAATGTAACGTTAATAACAGAACTGATGGTGTTTCCATAGTAACTGACATGCCATCTATTGAGAGTGAAAACAATGATGATACCACTTTTCAACCTGCGGTCATGAATGTTGTATCTAATGCACAAGGAGAAGATGATAAAGCGGATGATGTCAGGGTAGAAGATATGACTGGCAGCATTGAAAGTGAAGCCTTACAATGTAATGAAAGTCATAAGAATGATGTTGCAGAAAAACGGAAGGTCTGTATATATAATATCAAGGAAGAAATTTCATAAAGATTATTTAGTTTTTCAAATGTTATTGTCTTTACAATACATATACATGTAATGTTTTATCTTCAATTTAAAGAAAGTTATTATACCCCCACAAATGAAGTTTAGGGTGTATATAGGAGTGTGCTTCTCAGTTGATCACGGTCCACTTCATGGTTTCAGGATGATGACTAGAATTTGGAATGTATATTATAATAAAACTTTGTTTATAGCAATCTTATGTGGATGGGATTGCTTTTGGATGCCCTAGGGTCAACGGGTCAAGGCCACTGTTACTAAAATAGAAAAATGGTTTCTGGACAATAACTAGAGTTAGGAATGAAATATTGTTTTCAAAAAGGTATAAAAACAAGCATATGTCGAGATCTGGCTTAGATTGCTTTTGGACATCCCTAGGTCAAGGTCAATGTCACTATTACTTAAAAAAGAGAAATGGTTTCTGGACAATAACTAGAGTTAGGAATGAAATATTGTTTTCAAAAAGGTATAAAACAAGCATATGTTTAGATCTGGCTTAGAATGCTTTTGGACATCCTTGGGTCAAGGTCAATGTCACTGTTACTTAAAAAAAGAAATGGTTTTCATAACTAGAGTTAGGAATGAAATATTGTAATAAAACTTGGCATTTAGCAAGCTTATGAAGAGACCTTGCTTGGGATTATTGTTGAACCCCTAGGTTCAAGGTCATTGTTACTAAAAACATGGTTTCTGGAAGATAGGCATTTAATTGTTATAATTATTGGTACACATATGAAACATCATGAAGTGTAGGTCAAGTTCAAATTTTGCTTTATACCACATATATTTTTCAAAAGGTTAAGGTGGCTGGTTGGGGTATGAATCACCTTAAGTGATAGCTCTAGTTAGATCTACTTTCATAAGTATCAAGATCAGGTAATGTAAGTTTGCAATTTGAAGTTCAATATGTCAGAAAACTATACTGTATAATATGTACAGTGTATGTATAAAATAAATGAGTGTTGTTATATTGTTGGCAATGAGGTAAAGGACAAAAGTACTTACTTATAGATTTTTACAGTTCTGCTCTTACAGCCTTTATCTGTTGACTGATACATGTATCTTCCATGTTTGGTTGCCCTAACTCAAGGTCAGTGAAGGTAGATAATAGATATTGTTTTTACATTTTGCAGTGTATTTTGAATTGTTGAATATTAACAAATGCACTAATGGGGAGCATTTATGGCCTTTAGTGATACATTTTGTAATATTTTCTATGAACAACATTATAACTTTCAACTTTTATAGAGTTTATAATCACAAATGTATATTTATAAACATAAAAAAGAAAGAAGTCTTGCTTGGACTTTTTCAGGGAGTTGTACCAAACAAAGAATGTGAGATGATGCAGCAACAAAATGTGCTTGACAGCGAAGATGTTGGAGAGACTAATATGAATGGGTCACATATTAGAAAAGAAAACAATCAACCAGTAAATATCCCTGATCAAGAGACTGAAATTCCCACTGGTGAAGAAGTGTCTGCAAAAAGTGAAAGTGACAATGTTTTAAGTATAAAGACAAAACAGGTTGATGAAATAAGTAATCAAATGCCTTTAAACAATGAAATTGAACCAAACACACAAATGGTTGAATCTGATAGTTCCAAAGTCACGCAAAAGATCAGTTCTAATGATAAAGATGTTATTCTTGTAAATAAAGAAAATCAAAGTGCAGTTTTTGAGGACAAAGCTGTGACAGATCCATCTGGAAATGTTATTTTACCTAATGTTAGTTCTGTTACTGAAAGCAAAGTGGATACAGACAAGGAACTTGATACGGAAAATATTGAATTGATGGATATTACAGATGAAGTTCACACAGAAGACAATCAAGGAAAGAAAAAGGTCAGTGATCATTTAGATACTGGCGTGAAGGACCAGTCTGCAGTTGAACAGCAAAATAAGGAATCAAAACCCGTCGGTGAGAAAGATGCTGGGGATGGCATAAGTGCTGATTGTGAAAAGAATTCTAATGAAACAATACGTGAGATTAAGACTGTTCAGGGGAATGATAAAGAGAAAGAAGTGACTGAGGTTGATAAAATATCATGTGGCACTGATGATGATGTTGAAGATAATTTGATGATAATTGATGTAAGATCACTGACAGATAATAGTGGAATCAATGATTTCAATGACAAAAATGAAAGTATTAGTAAAGAAAAATCGGGGACAGAAAATATGGATAATTTAGATGAAAACCAAGGTCCGAAAGTCAAGCCTTCAGAAGAGGTTATTAAAGATATTACATCAGCAGAAAGACCTCATTCCTCTGCCAGCTCCAGGAGCAAAAGAAAATCTCCAAATTCTGTAAGACGAATAACAGAGCATGTTGAATCAGCAGAAAATATGTCACCTTTGAGTGAAAGTAGTGCTACTTCTTCAGCCATTATGACTGAAAGAACTGTAGGTGAATCAGGTGATATAACAGCAGTGAATCAGTCAGAATCTTCATCAGTGCCTGAATCACTGCCAATCATATCAAATACATTTTCCATGAAAGATAATTTACAGCCAAACATTACAGTGAAAGATGAACCACCAGATGATGGGGTATATGGTGTAATACAGGGTGCTGGGAATATTCCACAAACACATAAACCCACCTTCGCTTCTCTCAAACCAAATGCAATGACTATGATATCAGGAAATTCAGTTATTCACAAAGGTCAAGTAGTGAGTCATGGTATTTCTGGCCTTCAAAAATCAGGTAGACCACTTAGCTCTCAGAAATTGGTGATATCTAAAGTTCCACCAATTGTTTCTCCAGCCATTGCAGCTGTGTCTTTAGTAAGTTCTGCTCCTGTTTCTTTAATTCGGTATCCACTTACAACTTGCGTAACAAAACCTAGTCCAAAAGTTCAGTCAGTTCCAAATGTCAACATTTCCGCAGGAAATACTGCTGCTATTGTGACATTGAGGAATTTAGCTCCTAGAAGTGCCGCACCAGCACCAGTTCAAAACGGAAATATTCTAACCGGAACAAAGTCTACGGCAGCACCTAAAGATAAGACAAAGGAATCCAACCATAAGAATCTTTCCACAATAAATATTCATTCTGTAGGGGTTGCAAGAATTACAGATTTGATAGCTCGCAAAAATCCTATTCCGACATTTAAACCTAACCCAATACCAGATCATTTGGCATCCATTCAGAGTTCAAAGGTTTATCCTTGCTACGAATGTGGAGACAGTTTCCATTTTGAGAAAAGCTTAAGACAACATTTAGGACGATGCAGTATGAACATTTTCTATAAATGTGAAAAATGTGTGACAAAAATTAAGTTCACAAACAAATGTCAGTTACTGAATCACCTCAGGTCCCATTTAAATATTGAAAAAACCCAGGCTGTGCCAATTCACATAAAGTCTGATTCAATTGAGATAGTGACGAATTTTGATGCAATCAGTGCTGATAAGCCATTTGAGTGGTATAAAGAAGAAAATGTAGCTGCACAAGTTTCGATAGCTGGTAGTGATTTGGCTGCAATTTCTTGCTCTCAGTGTTTAGAGTGTAGTACTGTATTCGTCAGCTTGAAAAAGCTAGAAGATCATCTGAAGGGAGTTAAATCCGACCACCATTTCTGTGATGAGTGTCCATTATATGTCAATAGTAAGTGTGCATTACAGGCTCATAAGAAATTACATCTACTTGATGACGTGAAATGTAACAAGTCCTTGTCTATTGCACAGTGGAGTTTTTTGAAAACTCTGTCTTGTCCCGAATGCGGGAAACACTTTGCTAGAGATTTTAACTTGACCAATGTTAATGGCCTATTCAATACCATGGCCCTTCATTTGAAAAATGTTTGCTTCCATTTGTCCCGCCTACCAGCATTTAAATGTACAAAATGTCTGAAAGTGTTCCAGAATTTTGAAGGTTTGAGGAATCATTTGAACACACGTCTAGAACATTATTACAAGTGTGGTTTATGCCCAATGGCATTGAAGTCTCTCAAGAGTTTGGAGTCACATTATGAAATGAAGCATAAACTTCCTGAGAATTCTGACCAGATGATAACACCTGGTATGTCTGATAAGATCATCTATAGGTGCCATATTTGTGACACCTTAATAGATGATAAGTCATTTCTTGTGCAACATATTGATAAGCATTTAGATGAGTGTAAAAAATATCCTGACACTCACTATCATTGTCTACAGTGTGGTCAGATGTTTATGAAGAGAAATGATCTCGTAGAACATTACTCAAAACATGTTACGGTACGCCGCCAGTTCTGGTGTACATTCTGTTCAAAGGATAAAGTAAGAGCAATTCCATATATAGGACACATTTTAAAGTTTCATACTTCATCGGGATCACATTTGGCAACTAAGAGTGTTGTCAAGTTTTGTAACAGCTGTGGCCTTGTCTGTATTGGCGAACATATGTTCCAGAACCATGCCTGTTTGGCTGCCAGAAATACCACAGTCATTGTTGGGGATAGATCAGAGCAGAACAAGGTCCATAGCAAAACCAAACCTCAAGGAAGAAAGGAGATCGCTAGTAGTGCTAGGGACCATGAAGCGACAGATTTACCACCAAATGTTAGTAAAACCTGCCATGCTTGTTCAGCAATATTTGCGTCCCAGGCTCAAAGAGAGAGTCATTTAAAAGACCACAGAGATTATGACTTGATTTTCATCTGTAAATTTTGTGACAAGGAGGAGTTTAAAAGTTACCATGAGCTGAGAAGTCATGAGATAGCTTGTAAAGCAATGAATGATATGCCGAAGGAGAAACAAAATGGCGGCCAGAAGAAAGAAGGTACTGCTCAATATCGGAAGATAAAAAGTAAATCTGAGACGCATCAACAGAAGAAAGTGCATAGTGCTACAAAGGAAACCAAGTCATATGTTGATGGAGTAGAGCTGACACCAAAAGAAAGTTCAAAGTCATCGAAATCAAAGCAAGAAACTGTAGAATATTTTATGTGCGACAAATGCGATGCTGTTTTCACTAGGAAATCTAAACAAGAAGAGCATATAAAATCTGAGCATGGAATACATCCATGCCATCTTTGTGGACTGATGCACGAGTCCCAGAGCTCATTGAAAAAACATCTGATGGTTGATCACGAAGGAAAACGTATGCTGTTGTATTGTGGTGTTTGTAAAAGCCGTAAAATTGAAAAAGCTTTTAATCTGAGGGGAAAGTTAATAAAACACTTGAAAGTAAAACATCGAATGAAAGTTATTGATGAATCTAAAATTATTACACAATTACCAGGCCTACCTGAAACTTTAAAAGAAACTACACCTGAATATCTGAAACGTAAACTTTCAGAATCTCCTGAAACTTCAGTGAAGAAACTTAGAATTGAAGGAGAGAGCGATTTCAAATGTGCAAAATGCCTTTTCACATGTAATGTAAAGTCTGAATTTAGACTGCATATCCTAGATCACAAGGCAGCGGAAACTTACCAGTGTTTTGAATGTGGGCTTTGCTTCGCTGTGTTACCATCACTAAGGAAACATGTGTTCATGGTACACAAGGTGAGAGATTTTGATTCTTACATGGCAGAAAATGAGATAAAAGAACCTACTGCACTGGAAGATAAGGATGTTGATATCATCAGGGTATCAGAGCCTGACAAACATGAAGAAATGGATGAATCATCGGAGGAAGAAGCAAGTGGTGATCCCCTGGAATGTAAGGTCTGTTATCGGACATTTGATAATGAAAAAGTTCTCAAAAGTCATATGAGAACACATGGTATGGCATTTATAAAAAAGTCACGTCGAAGAGCTCAAAACATCTCGCCTGTGAAAAAGGTAGAAAATGAAGTGACGTACAGTAGTTCTCAGGATGAGGGAAAACAAGAAGGACTTGTTCTTAAGCTTAAACGCTTGAAACCAGCTGATGCGATGAAAGGTAACTCTCATGCAAATACTGCTGACACGGAAGCTTCAGATGTAGATGTAATGGATACTGGTGAAGATGATACTAATGAAATGGATGTCGAATCTGTTTCAAAAGAAACAATGGCAGATGCATAAAAAAGTTTGAATTGTTATGCAGAGTCATTAAAGCTGTAATTTAATCAGTAGCATACAAGATTTATTACGGAAAATGATGTTTGAAACTTGAAATGATAATGTGAAGGAATTGAATGATGATGTGAATAAAGGTGTTGAAATGATGATGTAAATGGAGGTGTTGAAATGATGATGTGAAGGAGTTGAAAGAAATGATGATGCAAAGGTGTTGAAATGTTGATATGAATGAAGGTGTTGAAATGACGATGTGAATGGGGGTGTTTAAATGGTGATGTGAAGGAATTGAAATGATGATATTAAAGTGTGGAAATTATGATGTAAAGGTGTTGAAATGATGATGTTTGAAGGTGTTAAAATGATGATGCTAAAGTGGGGAAATGATTAGGTTAAGAAGTTGAAATGATGTGAAAGCATTGAAAAGATACTGTGAAAATGTTGAAATGATGTTAAATTGTTGAAATAGTGGTTATTATTAGGTTCACTAAAGTCACTGTCTTTTTTTTCCAAAATTGACGGTATAATTAATGACTTTTTAGCTCGACTTTTCTATGAAAAGGGGAGCTATCCTACTCGCCCCGGCGTCGGCGTCGGCGTTGGCGTCACACCTTGGTTAAGTTTTTCGTACCACCCCACTTTATTTCAGAAGTATTACAAGTATGGCTTTGAAACTTACCATACTTGTTCACCATCATAACCTCCATCTACAGACAAGAGTACATAACTCTGTCAAGGTTTTTGACAGAATTATGGCCCTTTTTTGACTTAGAAAGTGTATTGAGCTTGGTTAAGTTTTTTGTCCCACCTCACTTTATTTCAAAACCATTGGAGGTATTGCTTTGAAACTGACCATACTTGTTTACCATCACGACCTTCATCAACAGACAAGAGGACATAACTCTGTCAAGGTTTTTGACAGAATTATGCCCCTTTTTGACTTAGAAAATACATTGAATATGGGTAAAATCCACTTATTGCCTTAACCCTTTGAGATATTGCTTTGAAACTTTTAATGCTATTTCACATCATTACCCCCATCTGTACGCAAGAGAAGGTAACTCTGTCAAGGATTTGTTTTAAAATTAAGGCCTTTTATCGACTTAGAATCTTGGTTAAGTTTTTAGTACCAGTCCACTTTTTGACTGAACTGTTTGAGATATTAATTTGAAAGTTGGAATACTTGTTTACAATCATGATTCCCAAACATGTCCAGGAGAAGGTAATTCTGTCAAAGATTTTATTTGAATTATGGCCCTTAACTGTCAATGTTTTGTATTATAGGCAAGCACTAAAAAACTTAAAAAATCTAAAAAAATTCATTCCTATCCACTTGTTCACTTTACCATAAATTATGTCATAATAAAATAATATAAATATCTTAATGCTCATGGCCATTGTTCACTTTAAAAATACAGAGATTCTTGTATTGCCTTTTACTGCAAAAACTTTTTTTATTGGCAAGCAATAAAAAAGTCGAGCGCGCTGTCTTACGGACAGCTCTTGTTGATAATGTTAAGAAAACATCATGTCTTCCCAGTAATGGTATATTGTCATACAATATTCAGGTTGTTTTTACTGTATTGATTCCCAATTAGTTTTAACAGGTAAAAACCTTTCCTACTTCAAAAGAATGACCATTTGCCTGTACTTTTTAATGCATAGAAATACATTGTAGTTAGAAAAAAAATCAGGATAAAATGTAAATAAAAATCTTGTATATAAATGTTAATAAAGTTTTTTAAGGAATTGTTTTATAATAAGATTTGTTAATAGCTTACTTTGTATGATTGTATTTGTCTCTGTATGCTAACATTTGTAATGAATTGGCTAAACTATAAGTGAGCCGCGCCATGACAAAACCAACATAATGGGTGTGCGACCAGCATGGATCCAGACCAGCCTGCGCATCTGCACAGTCTGATCAGGATCCATGCTATTCGCTTACAAACCATATAACAAGTAGAGAAACTGATAGCGAACAGCATGGATCCTGATCAGACTGCGCGGATCGGTAACTTTGATGTCAATATTCTATATTGTAGGCTGTTTTCAGTTTGAGTGCAATGTACTTTGGTACATTAAAAAGCAATTTTATTCTGGCAAGGTCATTACTGTTACTAAGCGACGGCAATGTTAATTGATTTATGCAATTAATATAGATTTTTTTCAAGCATGCTTATCTATGCTGCCTCATCAAGCTACTTGCTGTTCCTGCTCAATGTAGGTAGATATTATTAAACCCCCCCCCCCCCCCCCCTCACAAAATAAGACTGTCTACATGCTGGACTAGTATTCAAAGTATTGCTGGCCTAGTAGGTTCAAACCCCGTCATGGACAAGCCATTATAATTGTTTCCTTAAGCTAGAATCTCATTACACTCCTCGCTTAGTACTGGTTGGTTCCAGGAACAGATTGGAGACTGTTTCAGTGAGGTAGTACCTCCCAACACATTCAAACTTAAATAAACTAAGTCATAGTGTGGCAAGTCCATTACACACAACAGGGTGAAGGCGGGATAAATATTACTTTGATAAGTTTCTTTTTTCAGAAAGTTACTGATATGTTGTATGATATATGTTTACAGTTTAAGTTACTTTGTTGTTTGGATAATGTTTAGAAACAGAATTATTAATCGTATAGAATTGAACACAATGGACAAGTACATGTATTTTGTATCTTTGATTTTACATATAATTATTTAAGAATAGAGTACAAAATGATCACATTTATCAATAAGAAAATGAACTGCTAATTTTTGGCTTTTGAATGTATTTCAGTTTTGACTATGAAACAATTTTGATAGCTTTGTATAAATGTATAATATATAATAAACTATTATATGCATACATTAAAATTTTGAAGTTGTTTTTTTAGCTCACCTAAGCACCAAGTGCGGAGAGGTTAGCTTTTGTGATGGCAGAGTGTCCTTTGTTCACTGTTATCCTTGATTAATTAATTATGGGTCTTGAATAGTGAACTCAAATTATGATTCTAAAAGCATAAACTTTTAAAAAGTTGCCAGCTAATGACTAAGTTTTAGTTTTAGAAATAATATATCCCAAATAGTGATTTTATCGCTCAATGAAATCACTGTTTGAAGTACGAGTGTAAGGAATTATATCAAGAGGGCATAGCTCGAGTGAATGATGCGCATCCGAACGACAAACGGTGATTTTATCAAGTGATAAAATCACCAATTTGGATATATTATTGACCGCCTCCGTGGTCAAGGGGTTAGAGTCGATGACTTCTAATCCAGTTACCTCGCTGGCGTGGGTTCGATCCCCGGGAGATGCTTTAGTAGTTAAGCACGAAGGAAGGTAAGCTAGAACTGGTGTAACTCTCCAGGAACGATGGTTAGGAAACTATCCGCCTATATGACTGAAATACTGTTGGGGAAAAGGCGTAAAATGAAACAAACAAACAAAACAAAACAAACAATTTGGATATATTATTTCGATTCTAACACATGAACAAATAAATGATATCTTACCTGATATTAAGCTAAATTGCACCTGATTTGTTTCCTTACTAATTTTCAGCGAGTCACATTTTATGGTTATGTCACATGTATAATGATTACATCACATGTCTAAATATAGAATGTTAAACAGTGATTTTATTGCACAATAACACTAACTTTCGGTCCTTCTATGTTCAATGAAGTCGTGTTAGAATGGTTGATAAGATATTAAGTTGATTCAAAACTTTAATCAAAGTGGTCACAATGACCAAAATACTGCAGCTTGAATTGCTCCTCAATTCTTTAAATAGTCCAGCTAATATTAAAATTACATTGTCAAGAGAGTAGATAAACATACATGTATATGTATGACATGTGGTCCTGTACACAAGTTATTTAGTCATAGACTTTGCTTGCCAATGAAACAGTCTATTCGGATAAACCATGCGCAGAAATTAAAAGTTGATTAACAAGTAGGTCATACACTTACAAGAATAAATTAAACAGTTTATACACTTGCAGTCCGTTCTTTGCTTGATTGTGATGGCAATATCACCATCAGTATCAAATCACTTTCATGTTAATGGAAATAACTACTTAGACGTTTTGACGGAGGTATTTATAGTTACTTTAGGAGGAATTGGACAAAAATCAAATACTTTATTATAGTTTTTATAAGTTTATTATACGTTTAACCAGCACGTTTTCTAATAGTAGATTTGGTAGTTGCATACAATATTTTGATTCAATATAAAGACAATATTGAATGAGATTAGGTTCATTACTAAATTCATTGAACCAGTTAAAGGTCAATGTCATGTATGAGTCAAGGTCAAGTTCAGAGTGGTATACTTGAAGGTCTTGTCCAAAGGGTTGTTGTATCCAAGAATGATAAAGACAATCCATTAAGAAATAAAAACAAGGATAACATTGTCACAAAATACGCCCGTCACAAAAGCTTTTGACAGAGATGTGGGCATAAAAATCACCCGATGAACGTAGAAGTTTGATTACCTTTAATTAAATAAACAACAAGACTTTTTCTTATTAATTGTTTGTATTTCAATATTTTATATAAACAAGAGGGTCATCATGGCCCTTAATTGCTCACCTGATGATGTGGTTTACATGGACAAGATTTCATTACTAGGTCGTCCCATTAAGTTTTTATCAAAGACTTGGCCAACTGTTTGTGGAGGAGACTTTTCAACAAAAGTTTTTTTCATATATTTAGCTTCGAGACAAGGATTTTGTACAGACGGGAACCATATTTGCATTTTTTTTGTAAAGGACAAACTTATAGTTTCATAAAAAATCTACCCAGCTGTCGAACAGATGTTATTTTAAGGATATTGTTTGTTTTTTAACTCTGGTGGCTATCTTGTTAAACTATTTTAGTTTTAGCAGTTTTTGTAAAACACCCTTGTAAAAATACATCATAATCTACTTACAAATTGAGATTATGTAAAAACCATTCCTTTATAGTTTCATGACAATTGGCCAAAAAAGTTCATGCAGATGTTATTAAAATTAAAAATGTTGACACCGGACACAATGCAAACAAAATAGCCCACACCTAGAGCACTTTGTGCTCAGGTGAGCAAAAAATATTGCAAACAATACAGGTTATATATAAGTGCATTCATGTATTTGTGAATAAATAAAATTTGCACATCTGTACATTGTCAATCTCTGAAGTGTAAATTTAAAAAAAATATTTTTAGCACAAATGAACACAACATAAATTTTCTAGGATAATGAACAAATTTTATATATATAAATTACATTATCATTACAAAATGCAAAAAACTTTCAACATTTGGGACAAACCGCATTGTTTTCACCTTTGTAGCAGTAAAAAAAAAATTTCCTTTTTTATAAAAAATATACAAGGCACCAATAGAACAATACTTTTTTTCCTTTGAATCTGCTTAAAACGAGCAAATATGTTGAACTGATATCCCACATTATATTACACAAATCACTTGGCTCGAGGATGTTAGTATTCAGTAAAAGATCTGAGAGTTTGTCTCTAATTGCAATGACAAAATGGCCATCAAACTGAGCAGTGACTTATAGGAAGGTAATCTTGCCGTGTTCTTCTATAATAAGGTATGATTCTGGACAGAAACTTTGCTTAACAGACTGCCCATTCCCACAAAAATGGGACTTAACTCAACAAAACTTTTGTGGATTATGATATTTGGCACTAGACAGAAGTTGTTCTTAATAAAGAAAATGGCCATCAGAATTTGATTGCATATTGAACATGGTTCCCTTATCATCATCATTCATAGTGAAATTCATTAAAATTCAGCCAACAATTTGTGCATTTATTATGGCTTAAAAAAAACAAAATTTCATTAATTTTTAGGCCCATTATGCCTCAGAAATGCCATCATTTTTATCACTTAGAAACTTTTTTTATTTTTCGTATCTTGTTACAGTTTTCTCAATTTACTCATTTGCCACATAGGTCTTCTTTTGCTCTGTTGGGAGTTGGTATAATAATAGTGAATAAGTATTTTGTATGGAAGTCAAAATACTATTTTGTTTACATTTTGCTACCTTTATGACACATTACTGCACATTCAGTGCTACATCCTTCAGTTGTTAGACATCTAATATGCTCTAAATCCTTTTTAAAAACATCATTAAACTTATGTTTAACATTCCAAGGGAATTGAAAAAAAAAATAGATTTCTGAGGCATTATAAATGTGTTTTTAACAAATAATGCCCTTTTTTGACAAAGGGCAATCACACAGGACTTTCATTAAATTTTCAGAGTTAATCATTTTTTTTCTTTTATATGTATACACATCTCTGCCATGTTTTAAAACAAGAGCGATCAGTAATCACATGTGTCGCCTCATGATGGCCAATTTCATGTTGGGACAAAATTTTGTGACAGACAAACAGACAGACGGACAAGTGCACAACTAGACTTGGTACTGATCATTCCTGTAAAGTTTGGATAAAATTGCACCAGTAGTTTATGAGGAGTAGTCCGGACAAGCTTTTGCGTATCTGGCAACACACAGAAAAAAACACCTTTTTATCAAAGGGCCATAACTCAGCCAAAAATCATTCAACCGGAAAACCCGTGCAATATGCGCAAGGACTTGAGCTACAGATCAATCCTGTAAAGTTTCATTGAAATTGCATTAGTGGTATAAGAGAAGTAGTCCGGACAAACTTTAAAAATAAAAATTATAAAAGGGCCATAACTCAACCAAAAAGCATTGAACCGGAAAATGCTGACAATATGCACAACTAGACTTGGTACTGATCATTCCTGTAAAGTTTGGATGAAATTGCACCAGTAGTTTATGAGGAGTAGTCCGGACAAGCTTTTGTGTATCTGGCAACACACAGAAAAAGAAACCTTTTTATCAAAGGGCCATAACTCGGCCAAAAATCATTCAACCGGAAAACCCGTGCAATATGCGCAAGGACTTGAGCTACAGATCAATCCTGTAAAGTTTCATTGAAATTGCATTAGTGGTATAAGAGAAGTAGTCCGGACAAACTTTAAAATTAAAAATTATTAAAGGGCCATAACTCTGACAAAAATCATTGAACCGGAAAATGCTGACAATATGCACAACTAGACTTGGTAATGATCATTTCTGTAAAGTTTGGAAGAAATTGCACCAGTAGTTTATGAGGAGTAGTCCGGACAAGTTTTGTGACGGACGGACGGATGGACAGACAGACAGACAGACAACGGAGAAGTGATCCCTATATGTCGCCACTACTCCGTAGAGGCGACACAAAAAAGATCTGTCAAACTGATTCCAAGATAGCAGTTTATAAGGATGGTCAACGCAATTTTAATATCCCTATACCAATTTCATCAGCGTAGATCCGAATTTATCTTTTTTAATTTTATCAAAAAGAGCAAAACATGTATCCATTTTTTGTATAAGCAATATATCATTGTTTTCCATCACATTGAACAAAATATAAATATATTTAGACAACATTTACAAATTGTTAATTAATACACTTTTTATCACAATTCGGTCCAGATATCAGAACGACCAAAGGCTGGAGTTCGTACTCGACTTACGTGTTCGGACATACTATTGTTTGCCGAGTGTTTATTTGGAGATTTATTTACATTACTCAGAGATAAGCTTGTTATAGAACTGATAGCACTATCCGGAGACCTGTAACTGGGCGGAGTTACAGAACTTGTGTTTATTACATTTGAACTATTGCTTGACAAAGGTCTGGTTCCCTTGTGAGGTGACACATTTATTTGTCTATTATTGCTCTTCACAGGAGTTGTAGCCGGCGACCGTGTATTTGGTGATGCACTTCCTGTTCGTTGTCCAGTCTAAAATTAGATATAAATAAAATTTAGGAGAGGAAAATATTTCATCAGAATGAATCACTACACATTTCTATACATAACATATTTTAAACATTTCCATTACATACATCAAAATTTGTCAACTTTTAATATAATGTGTGTTAAACAGAAGTCTTACTTGAGCTATCTGTAAAAACAAACAAAGTCCATTCCATTGTATTAAATTCATTTTACACACTACAAAGAATGATTATTTTACTCTTAATTTATTTTTGTTATTATTTCAGAAGGCATATTGCAAAATGAAGAAAAGAGTTTTAAGAGTTAATTCAAAATGTTAATAAAAAGAGACAACATTAGTCACCCAATGTATTAAATGATGCACATAAAATTCTCTGTAAGAGATAGAGAAAAAACATCAGGGTGGAACAGGAAAAAAAACATAAAAATTTGAAAAAGATATGTAAATGTGAACATTTAAGAGAAGGAGTGAGCTATGTATAATTTATTTTTCATCATCTTTGTTAACTGACATAATTATTTTTAACGGATAAGGGCTTTTAAGGGCATTAAGCTGCAAAAGAATCAATGATCCAGATCATTTCATTAATATGAACATATCATCTTGGTAGCAAAAATTTGCTTTAATAGTTTTAATAGTGACTTTGTAAATGTAAAGTGATATATTTCGATGTCACAGATATACCTGAACAGCTAATGCTTTGATTTGTGCATGGAGGTTTGGCCATGTGGTTAAAGCGTCGGACTACTAATCGGAGGATTGCTGGCTGCATGGGTTCAAACCCCGTAAGGGGGCAAGCCTTTGTTTCCTTGAGCAAGAAACTTTACATTCATTGCTTAGTACTGGTTGGTACCAGGAACGGATTCCAGAGTGTTTTAATGACTTTATAGCTTCCAACACAATCAAACTAAAATAAACTTGTATAAACTAACTAATCGCTTTGATTTGCAACATTTTGTGCAAGGATCAATGTTACCATGTTAAACACTTTATTCTTTTTAAATGCAATACAATACAGGTTAAATGTTCAACTCCAAACAATAGAATTAAGAATAACCCAATGAAGACAGTGTCACAATTAAGCAATGTTGGAAAAATTCATGCTAAGTTTCCAAAATACAATATTTATAGCCAATTTTGTACATTAAAATACATGTATTTGAAACAATTTACAATATAGTATGTGAATGGAATAAAAATTCTAAGAATAAATTCCAAGTATGTTTTTTTTATGACAGTAAAACTTAAATTTAAAAAGCATTATTGTGTTTTATACATCTTTGCTCATGAATATTTTTTTTTAATCATTAACAGAAAATATGTTGGGCCTGTTAATAAGTTATCTGCTCCCCTTTAATTCTAAAAGGAACTACATTTTCAAACATCACACAATACATAATATATCTAACTTTTTAGCTGCTAAACTTCACACAATAATTGCTTCATGAAACTAAAATGAGCCGCGTCACAACAAAACCAACATAATGGGTTTGCGACCAGCATCCAGCCTGCGCATCCGTGCAGTCTGATCAGGATCCATGCTGTTCGCTTACAGACCCTATAACAAGTAAAGAAACTGATAGCGAACAGCATGGATCCTGATCAAACTGCGCGGATGCGCAGGCTGGTCTGGATCCATGCTGGTCGCAAACACATTATGTTGGTTTTGTCATGGCACGGCTCAAATATGTTTTTCTGTACTATTAATCTTGTTGGTGTTTTAGTTAAAAAAAATCTAAGACAGAAAATTGTGATTAAAACACTACAAGTCACATAGACTACCACTGTCGTCCAGAACTTGGTAACTAAGGACTTTTCCAATCTAATACGAGGAACAAACAAACTTTAACTTGTTATAGCTTCATGGTGCACTCACCACTCACCAAACTGATTGACACGTTAAATGTTGCACTTACTTTCCATATATATATATGAAGATATAACTGTGTAAGTTTGTTTGTCCACCGAATTAGCTAGGAAAACTCCGAAAAACTCTTAATTCCGGAGTAACTCTATTGGAACATTATAGAGTTGGATTATACAATACAGAAAAGTTTGGGACACAGTCACATATAACCAGCAAGCACCCAGAAATATTGTGGTCTGTGAAGCATTATATATATCGTTAAACAAATTGATTACTAACCGAACTCAGCATATCTCTAAAGTCTATTGTCATAGTAATGTATCATTCAAACTAAACTCGGTATATCTCTTAAGTCTTGATTGAAATGATTTGTCAATTCCTTTTATGACTAGAATTAAGTATGTTTGCATGTTCATCATATCTGATTAAGGATGTAATATACTACATATTTACATAAAAGAATGAATATTGTATCATCAAAATCATTAAAACTTTGAATGATCTTAAAATATGATAACTGAAACATTATAAGCAAAACAAAAATTGGGAGTCATATGGGCATATTTAAATGAATACTTCTGAGTCGCTTCAGACTAATTAAATTTCTCATAAACATATGGCAATATTTAATGATGTAACACTTCTTTATATTTATTATGCTGAGCTTTTTGGAAAGGTTAAACATTAAAATAAATATACACTTTTTTATTAGTTTCAAAACATCAAAATCTGTTATCAAATTTTTTCACAGACCAACTTTATACGCTGGGTGCTTGCTGTAGGGTACATAAATGAAAGGTGAATTACATGAGTCATGATAGTGGTAAAACAGGTGACATCAAACCTTTTTTTATATCAATATAGGATTTGTTCCATAGTCAGTATTGTGCCTGTGTTCCTACAAGGAAATTTCACATAAAACCTTGTAAAGATCAAAATATTAATTATGTATCAAAACTCACAGTAAGACTATTTCTACTTTTTTCTACCAAACATCAATAGACCAAAGTCAAAGGTTTTAAGAAAGATTTTAAGCTCAAACTCAGTATTTGATTGGTCCGAAAAAAGCTCAGAATGTACACTGACCAATGAAAATCTTGAGATCTGAGACGGATTCCAAAAACAAGTTTCCGTTTTTCCAATGAATAAAGTGAACCCATATTTTATATTTTGAAAGAAAAACTTGAAATTTTATAGCTATTTAGTGTACTAAATCACTGCATCATGTGACGTTAGAAAGGCTATTTTGTCACCCGAAGGTGCAGTAATGGGTTAACTCCTAATTAAACAAGAATTTGTAACAGAGTTACCAACGTCCCCCGCCTCAGAGAAGTTTTATATGAAGCATAAAATTGTGATATTTCAAAAGATTGAGGTATGGATCTAAGGACTTTCAGTCCAAAATTATGATCAATGCTAGATCTGCAAATGCAACAATAAATTTATTAAAGAAATAAAATGAAACACGGAATTTAGAAATCTATCATGTTAAGCTTGACCTTGACCTTGGAAGTAGGGGTGCAGGTGTTGTGCATGACATATCGTCTTATTATCATAACTATTTGTGCCAAGTATTTTCAAAATCCCTTGAACTATGAAGAAGTTATGGATCAGACACAAAATATACCCTATAACAGACTATGTTAGTCTTTGACCTTTAAGTGTGGCCTTGGAGGTAGGGACCCATGTTTTGCGCCTGACAAGTATTTTTAAAATCCCTTGATCTATGAAAAAGTTATGGACTGGACACAAAATATACCCTATAACAGACTATGTAAATCTATGACCTCTACATGTGACCTTGACCTTGGAGGTAGGGACACATGTGTTACTCATGACATATCATCTTATCATTGTGACTATTTGAGCCAAGTATTTTCAAAATCCCTTAATCTATAAAGTAGTTATGGACGGGACACAAAATATACCATATAACAAACTCTGTTAACCTTTGACCTCTAAGTGTGACCTTGACCTTGGAGGTAGGGGTGCAGGTGTTGTACTTGACATATCGTCTTATTATGTGACTATTTGTGCCTTGTTATTTCAAAATCCAGAAGAAGTTCTAGATCGAACACAAAATATACCCTAAAACAGACTATGTTAACTTTTGCCCTCTAAGTGTGACCTTGAACTTGGAGGTAGGGATGCAGGTTTGCGCATGACACATCGTCTTATTACAGTGACTATTTGTGGCAAGTATTTACAAAATCTTGTGATCTATGAAAAAGTTATGGACTGGACACAAAATATACCCTAAAACAGACTATGTTAATCTTTGACCTCCAAGTGTGACCTTGACCTTGGAGGTAGTCGACCGGTTTTTGCACATGACACATCGTCTCATTATTGTGAACAATTGTGGCAAGTATTTACAAAATCCCTTCAAAGATAAGAAAGTTATTGACTGGACACGACATATACCCTCACATAGACAATGTTGACCTTGAATGAGCAAGTGCAACCTTGACCCTGGAGGAAGGGGTCTGGTTGTTGCGCATGACATGGCATCGTCTTATTATAACAAACATTTGTGCCAAGTTATTTCAGATTCCTTTGATAAATAACAAAGTTATGGACTGGACACGAAAGTGTGACGGACAGAAGTTCCTACGAATGGACATTTATTGGGTACTTCTTTTGTTTAAAAGTACCCAAAAAGAGAACAAAAGTAACCAACAATACTGACGGAATAAATAGAATTACCCAACAAGTGTTCTCTCCTGCGCCTGAGGTACCCAACAAGTGTCCTCTCGGGCGCCCTGACAAGACAGACCGATGGAGCCTATTTCTATATCCCCCTTTTTCCTGAAGACACAGTCTGGTCAACACAAGTTACAACCCACAGTCTGATACTTTAGCATTTTGAAATTGAAATCTCTTCAAACAATAATACAAGTTGCACCTTCATTATTTAAGTATCGATCATATACAGTGACTGTGGGTAAAATGTACTGTTGAAATCCAATAAATATTTATCATAGCTAATTTTTTGGACCCTAAACTGCCAACACAGTATAATGGATACGCTAATTCTTAATTTGGAACTGGTGGATTTTGCTTTTTTTTTAATATCTTAGATGAAACACCCTTCATTTTAAAGTCTTGTTAGACATCACAAATGTGCCGTTAAGCATTTCAGAACACAAGCCATTATTGATACAGATATGAATAACACAAACTGATATTTCCTAAATATTCCAGAAAAAAATCAATTTTGATATTTTAAATATTCATTTTCTTGCCATTCTTTAAAGTTAAAAAATAAAAATTTACATGTACTATCATTCATACTCAAATGTTTTTTTTATATTAAAATGAAAGGATTCATAAAAGGAGAGAACTCACAAAGCAGAAATGAAAACAAATTAAATCTATATAATTGTTCTCCTATTATAAGCAGTGCCCCTGTTATAAATTATGTAAACTAAGTTACAAAACCGAAAAAGTAGTGAAAACATAAATAATTACCCTTTGTCTATGCTCTGTATTTGGTGTTCTATTTGATCCGGGCACTCTGCCATTTGCTACATATTGCCATGAAGGTTGTATGCCCAGTCTACTTTCAGCAGCAGACTGTGTACCATAATTTTGAGTCTGTGAATGAGACTGGTTATAGAATGAATTCTGAGAATATGCATTTGGATCTGAGTCATTCACAACCTGTTTAGAGGTACTGTATGGGTGTGATTTCACAGCGTAACTATTATCACTAGTATAGGAGGAAGTATGTGAAGTTCTAGATTCTGGATGGTTGTCCTGTTGAGTATAAAACATTCTGTTGGCAGGAATCGGGGCATTCTGAGACATTGAATGATTAACCATACCATTTTGATGGTTCTGTGGTATAGTTCCTTTATTTTCTAACCCAGAATACATCCTTTGTTGGGCTCTCTGATAACCTGAGTCTGACTGATTGGAAGAGTTCATGGTATTATTTGAGGTCACTGTTTTCACAACATTAGAATTATTATCATAACTTTGAACTGTTTGTGGTTGACCATGGTGGGACCTGGTGGGAGGGTTTTGATGGTTCCAACCCTTGCTTTGATTGGTCTGTCCATAATTCCTATTGTATTGCATATTTTGATTGGTTAACTCATTATTCCCAGACTGATTCCCAGCATGGTTTTGTCTTCTTGTTCCAGAAGGACTACTGTACAGTCTGGCTATTGCATCTTGGGTACCAAATCTATGTTGGTGTCCAGCACGGGGAGGTGTATTCACCATAGTGCCACCACTACTGTGGGAACTGTTTAACCCCTGGTCTCCGCCCCTGTAATATAAATGCCAAAACTTTACAATATTTCATGAAAAAGCTTAGAAAAACAATTTTTCTTTGATAACATTAAAATTATAAGTGTCACAGCTATGTACTACAATGTGTGGGTGGGTTCTAATTCTAAGGTTCACTAACAAACATGCACTAAGTACAACAAAAGGCGCTTATAAAAGCAAATGAATAATCTGCAAATTTATTAAATAAATAACCAATATGTGCACATAAAATATCATGAAAGTTATTATCACTTAGGTGCAGATTACGTATTTAACTTTAACAGGATTTAACCTATGACAATATAAGAACAGAAGAAATATTTGTATAAACCTCGTGAGATTAGAAACTGTATAAAATCTTGCTGATAGTCTTAAAGGTATCACTTTCATTTATACAGCAAAAAAAAAAGGGTGGGGGGGGGGGGGGGGGTAGGAGAAAAAAGTTCTTATCTTTGAATTACCAGTACTTTCTTATTTTTAATAATAAACCAATGCATAATTATACATATATTGTGAAACATTTCAAAAGTAGAAGTTATCCTTAGTTCTTTTGGAAACATATGAAATTGTGAGAAAGAGTAGTGCTATTTACTCTTTAAAGTGTAAAGGGTCACTATCATGAAAATCTCTTAGATTAGGGCCCCTGCTTTTCTCATGGTATTTTATAATATTATTGGATAATATTAAGGGCATAGACAGACAAACGGGGTAGAACCATCCTGTCACGTAAATGAAATACTGTTCTTTTTACATGTGTATGTCTAGGCTTCCTCAGAGTGTTCGGTACAAAAATGGAGAACATTATGCCAAGAACAGAAATACTAAGTGAATTCTGCAGTTTTTAAAGATCATTTTCTCAACAAAAAAGGTATATTAAAAGGATATGCACTAGTCAAGAGTAACCCTAGCAACCAATCCCAGAAGAATGTGGAGGATAGCAGGGGGAGATAAGCTTAGGATTTATTCTCTGTTAGTTCCCACACTCTCAAGTCATGACTTAGGTAGTGACCAAAATTATGCAGCACAGGATATGTCCAGCCAGCAAAATGGGGTGTATTTAATAGAGATTTTACTGTCCCCCTAGTGCCTGGCCTTTATTAAAAGAAAGTTAAAAAGTCCCTGCTATTCTCTAGGGATAGGGGAGAAGGTGTGGGTTACAATCAACAGGTCCAATAGACAGTAATACTAACAAAGCAACAACTAAAACGCTCGTCCTTTAAGATCATATGAAAAAAGCTATGCAAAGAAAAAAAGCAATAAGAAATGTAACTTTCAGCACTGAACACTGTGTGTTCCGAGGTTAGCCAAGAATTACCTATCTTCATTTTTTGTGTTCAGAGAAAAACCAAGAGTTACCTATCTTCAGTGAGGTCATGACCTTCACCTTGTTCACCTTCAGGGACCAATTCACTTTGACCTTGTAGGTCATGTAGTTTAGTATCTGAAGTGCTTTGTGAACTGTGCAAACAACATAAAACATGGTACAATATTAGACTTCATCTATATAATGGTTAGTGGTTAGTTAAAACAACATAAATTGGGTAAATGTGTAAGGAGGGATTTTTTTCTGGAAAATCATAAAAATAGCGTAATTGTAAACATATTCTGGTAATGGGTGCATAAATTGCATACTATAATTATTCAGTATACAAACCATTCTTTAGTTATGAAATATCCCTTAAGCAAAGTGCATTGACACATCTCTTTGATAGTGATAGAAATAGGTTCAAAAGATACAATCAAAATCATAATTATAAAATTTAATTACATGGTATGAAGACAATTCGTCAGAAAATTGTGATTATTTTACTTGGGTTGGATATTAAAGTCACTCCACCATTTTAAAGGTAATTTCTGATCTCTCTCCAGCTTAATTGATTGAGTAAGACATTATAAGGATGTCCAATCAGAATTTTATTACAGGCCCAAGCATGCACAAAGTAGAACCAATGACCTTTTTTTACGCTTGTTGGACCAATTCTTCACAAAAGAATTTAAAGTTACTGACGGGATTCAAACCTATGGTAAAAAAAATCATTTGTAGTCATCAACCTAAATCATTTAACCACTCAAGTTAAAAGGTGAATAAACATGTATAACAAAGGAAAATGTCTAAAATGTACATTACAACACCAAAACAACACTACGGGAAAACTAACATGCAATTATATAAGGTATGGATATACTATTATATTAACATCATATCAAATATTTTATTACTGTAAACATAAGCAAATAATTTTTCATTTTCCTTTCTTTAAAGCATTCAACAACAAACCACAACCTGACATGCAATATTAAAAAACAAACTGCTTTTTCACAAAACATTACATTCATAATTTCTTATATTTTTTTTAAAAATATTGGCATAAAAGAGCAAAGAACATTGATGTGTTTTTACATGTAGTTAATAATTTTCAATACATCTTTCTCATATATGTTAACCGGAACTTGGCAAACATGGGTTTTTACCAGCTAATCCATAGGTGCAAACAAACTTTTACCATTATAGCTTCACTGTCCTCTACCCGTCGCAAGAAATTAGCCAACCTGTTGCATTTATTTTCTAAGCTGTAACTGTGAAAGTTTGTTTGTACCTATAGATTAGCTGGGAAAAAGAGAAATATTCTTAATGCCGGAGTTAGTCTATTGTTTTATTCTTTTACTTAACCTTTATCATGATTGCAGTGACAGAACATATCCATGCAAACAGTGCAGACAAAGATCAGCTAGCACTTCTGTGCCACCTGTTCATGGTCTGCACTGTTTGCTATTCAGTCTGTACTTATTTTGAAATTTCCCTAAAAATGACATATGGTTTTGTCCATATTTAAAGGAAAAGTCCATTTAAGATATTTAGTGAGGTCAAGGTTAACAATCATAAATACCTATAATACTTCTGGGTCAATGATATTACATAACATTCCAAAAATTTTTGTCATTTTTTTTATCTTTACCAAATTTGGTTAACAAAATAATATCATGCTGTCAATATATTACAAACACCCTTCAAATATCAGCAAATATATCATATAACCAGGTAAACTGTGTTACTATAGAAATCATACAACTGTTGCTAGGCAACCAATATATTTGATAATTTTATATTTTTGTATGAGACTTCATTTTCCAAAATGCCATTTTACCATACAAAATATACAAACAACATAGTTATAAAGTTGCTTTTATAACGAATATTTTCCCTGGTAACCAAGTGTTAGGATTGTGTTACTATAGCAACCATTTCATACCTGTGAAAGGTCATTGAGTGCTGTAGAACACTAACTTTCCATACAACATTGTTTACAGTCATACTTAATGCTGAATATCTATAGAAATATTTCCATAGATTAAATAAAAAGATATTTGAATCATAACCTACTTTTTTACTCAGATACTAATTCCTTTATATAATTATTGAAGTTTAATTGCATTATACAGACTTATCATTCTTCCATATCAAACAGGATTATCTACTCTTTACACAAGAGCTAGAAAAACCTGTCTTACACCTCCCATGTAAGACAGGATGTGTGCTTTAAAAAATGTCATTTCCGTGCGTTTTTTTTTTTTAATGAACTGCGTTCTTTGAATGACATAATTTTACTGTTATGAATGAAGCACTAAATTCATTTGCTACTTTAAGAAAATAGTACTTAATAAAAATATAAGTTCCTGTAATTTCTTTCCAAATTATGAGTAACATGCAATATGCAAGTAAAGTAATCAAACACCAGATGTCGTCAAAGACAGGAATATCTAGCTCTTGGGTAATTGTAAAGCAGAAACTCAGCAGAGCCTCATTACAACTGTAAACAGTTACCCTCAAGCTAGATATTCCGGTCTGTACGGCAGCCAGTGTGAGATCCTTATATGAGCCGCGTCATGACAAAACCAACATACTGGGTTTGCGACCAGTATGGATCCAGACCAGCCTGCGCATCCGCGTAGTCTGATCAGGATTCATGCTGTTCGCTATCAGTTTCTCTACTTGCTATAGGATTTGTAAGCAAACAGCATGGATCCTGATCAGTCTGCACGGATGCGCAGGCTGGTCTGGATCCATGCTGGTGGCAAACCCATTATGTTGGTTTTGTCATGACGCGGCTCATATGACTGACATATCAAAATGTGTTACTATCGTATAAAAAGATTAAGATCATGCCTGTCTGTTTCCTTCAACAATGTCCATAAAATAATTAAAACTCTGATAAAGTAATATAAACTTTGATAAAATAATGAATAATTTTGATAAAATAAATTAAATTTGAACATCAAAACAAAACAAAAATTGACAATGCATATAATCCCAAATAATCATCTGTAAGGATTATATTTGAAAATGTCATCAATAAAGTGTGCAAGATAAAATAAAACAATATATCAAAATTACAAATAATATTGTGCACATTACATAATAACCAATTGTTTTCAATAATTTATTCTCTACAATATTTTAAATCTGACCAATAATGAGGATTACAGACCATAGGATTTGTTCATAAGTGGGTTTCTAAAACAATATTTATACAAGATAACCAACCTGTTCATATTTCTGTTATCAGTCATAGTGTTTCTAGCATCTATGGCATCTATTGGCTGAAAATACAAGAACACAAACAAGTAGTGAAAAAGCAACAGACTTCATAGTAGAATTTGTAAAGTATTTACAAATTACAAGTTTTTTTATAAACAGAAGATCTTTTTTCAAGCTATTACTGTAACATTTTCAAATTTATATCTAAATTTTAGTTACAGAACACAATGACTTAATTCAATGAATCTGCAACCAGTAAAGATAAGATTAATGTCAAAATGAACAACAAAAATTGCTGACATTTCCAAAAAGCAGTGACTAAAATAGGCTGCTTATTACTTGTTTTAATACTGAAATCTTGTAAGAAGCAAATGCACAAGTTCACAAAACAGTTGATTAGATACACAGCAAAGGCATCCTAACCAAATAATTACAATTTTAACGCTTGAAAAATACTGTGTCAAAAATATACTTTATGGTTATGAAATCCAGTTTAAAGTGAAACAAAAGACACATTAAATGGCATATCTTTCCATAGTTATGACTATTTTAACACTAGCTTCATTCTAATACTTTGTGTGAATTTTCTTGTCCTAAAGATTGCTGAAGACATGACAAGTGTCATCAGGCATATAAAAATTATGACGCTTTAAAAAGCTACAATAAGTTACTCTGCTCCATTCTTTTAGCTGTTCCAATTGTTAAAAAGTTTTTTCTTATTAGTATCTAACTATTACACATACACAAAAAAAAATTGTAAATATTAAAATAAGGGTGCATTTCATAATTTTGCTACATAATGTGTTATAATTAAGCTATTCAATCAATCACTTAATATATCAAATGATTAAACCATTTCAATTATTAGCAATTCATTTGAATGTTGAGTTTGAATGTAAGCTCAGTTATGTAAAAAGCTACCAACTTAATAGATCCACTCAAAAGTCAAAGTCCTGAAATTAACCAATACTGATTTCTTATACAAGAAGTAATGGCTGTTACCCCAGTAGGGCTTGGTACAATGAGCCATGTTTTAGAAGTGAAACACCTTACCCACAAAGCACTGCTTCCCATATTTAAAATATTTTGGTGAGATTATTATGGAATATAATGTATTAACCTATAGCTCTTCAGCGCTTCTTATGTAAAATTCTTCCAAGTATAATTTCCAATAACCGTAAATTATACCATACCCAGACTATGGTATAATTTTCAGTTTTGAAGATCGAAGGAGTAAGTGTTTCTGGGCGGAGCTATAGGTTAAAACAGATACACCATTGGTGCGTTGACGATTTCTGGGTTTGCGTAAATTATACCATAATCACGTGACCTTTCTTATGCAACCTCACTCGACTTCGTCTCGTGAGGTTAAGGCATAAGAAAGGTCACGTCGTCTCGTGAGGTTAAGGCATAAGAAAGGTCACGTGATTATGGTATAATTTACGCAAACCCAGAAATCGTCAACGCAGCAATGGTATATCTATTACGTAAAAGAGCAAAAACCTTGGTTTGATAACTTTATATATAATCTTCAACGATTCTGAATACTATATGCTGTATAATATTGTGTGACAGTAAAATCCCTTCACATGGTGATTACTTTTTTCTGAATAGTTACATGACTTAAAGCTAAGCTAAATGCCCATAAGCCTACCTTTCAAAAATAAATCATCCATTATAGAAAGTAATCAACCCCTCTCCCCCCCCCCCCCCAAAAAAACAAAATCAGGATTGTCCCCCTTTTCTATTGCATTTTCATCAATTGCATTTTCATATTGTTATGGTTATATGACACAATATTTTTAGCATTATCCATATTAAGTCAGCCATAAAATGCCTATCTGTTCATTATTTTAGACCCCCTTATCCTGCTGACTATCTGAAATGGATTTGCCCAGCTTTGAAATTGGAACAGTCCATTCAAAGTTTAAGGGGTTTCAATATAATATGCAAATACAAAAATAGAGCCTGGGCAGACTGTACGATTGTTAACAAACAAACACTGTTTTGTAAGACAAAAATGTTATCATCACACACCGAAACCAAAACAAACACACATTAAGTGAAAAACCCACCACACAACCCATGATACTTCTTTATAGCTTGGAACCAAAAACTGTCATTCACTTAAATAGTACCAGGGCTGTATTGTATATGTCATGAGAACTCAGAAATAATGAACAATTTCTCATTAAAGCACCCTGCCATTAAATTATAGATAATGTTTGAAGCAAAAAAATAACAACTCCCAAGGTCATATCATGATGATGAACTTTGTGTATAAACCATCAACACAATATACACAGAGCTCATGATGTGAATGACAGATGATATGCGATCTAAAAAAAAAAACATATACGTTTTCAAATAATCTCTTTAACAAAATATGCTGCCATGTGCTTTTCAAGCTAAATTTAACTCTTAATAATTAATATTTTGTCTATAAAACTTTGTTAAATTTGTCCATAAAGTATGTTCCCCCTAAAGTTTCCCTATTATTCAAAGCACAGAAACAGCCCATGCCCTTACACACTGTATACCTTGAACACTGCAGTGGGTGGGGGGTGATACCCATGAATAGGACTGGTAAAAGTCTGATAGCGTGGGGAATTTTTGGGTTCATAAAATAAATGGTTTTCATGAAATTGTGGAATACTTCTGATATCAGCTGTGAAATGCTGTAAAAAAAGATACATAAATGTATATTTATGCGTAATTTCTTGAAATCTTAATTTATTGAAACCTTCAACATATTATTCCTTACAAACATTTGCAATTTCTTTTGACAACAAATACAACATATGTAAAAATCAATCAGTCAGTATGTAAAATATGCTTTAGAGAATAGTCAAACTTATAAAAGTCACCAACTTGCAATGTTTCTGTCTTTTCTGCACTTGTTTTTTGTAATGCCAATGGTTAACATATAGAGGAAATTGAGTGTAGGTTCAATACTAAATTATTGAACCAGTTGAATACTACCTCAGATTTATCTCTTATTGCTGGAAAGCAAGGTATGGATAAGAACCAAGGTACCAGAATAATAATCTGACAAGTCTGTGTACAAATTTAGCGTCCTATATATAAATGTCCTACCACAGACCAAGGAATTACAAACATTTATAAAGAGATTAATGACAAAGATGTCTTTACATTTACTAGAAGAGTACAAGTTTATGCTAAAATGTCAAATGCCTAAAAATGATGAATGAATATCTACATAAAGTTTATACAAAGCCTTGTAAAATCTTCTCATTAACAGTCCATTCATATATCCTAAATCTTCAGGTTTTAAAATGGAGGAGAGTTTGCTTAAAGTTAGGTATCAAAATGTGATTTGAGGTAGCAGTGCGAGGATACATTGGAAATGAACAAAGAATATATTACAGTATAAAAAAATATTTTTACCTTTGGATGAGATGATATGGTATTGTTATATTGCTGGGGGTAGGACTGGTGATTCTGACCACGCCTTGCTAAGCTGTAATATATTTGAATAGCAGAATATGTAATTATGTCATAATAGTTTATTATTTTTGTCTAAAATATAAGAAAGAAAATAGGATTCAAAGCTACCACCTCACAATAAATAAATCTATTCTTTACCTTCTCACCAACCAAAAAACATTGAATAGGTTTATCAAATATTTATAAAGAGAATGTCATAATATGTGATACACCTTTCAGTCCTGGATTGCAGACTAGTAGAACCTTTTTTTTCCAATTGGTGATATATGATATTTTCTGCATTTTTGTCTGCTCTATGTCTCTTGAGTTTTGTCTAAGTATCTATATATATTTTTGTTAAACAGATATAACAACATGAAACTTGAAATGTGTAGAGTCGATACTTTTGTAAATAGAGCTTTTCATTTCAAACTGCACTTAAAGAATTGCACAATAATAATTTTGGTCAATTCACAAAAAAAAATTATCCTTGCTGAAAATATAGCTTGCAGAATAAGCATCATACCTGCCAGAATCACTGTAGTAACCCCCTGATTTATTGGTTTGTCTGTGAACTGGTTCAGGGGTTCTCTCCAGGTAGAGTTGTCTGTAGACTGGTGGCTCTTCTGAGGTATACCCTGTTTTACCACCCTGCTCCAAGTCACTATAAATACATCAAACTTATATTTTAATTTTACATTTCTAAATCTCTCATATTCAGTGTAAAAATCTGTACAGATACAAATTTATCATCTTGTACTATGTGTGATTCATATTCTACAATACAAGAGTTAGAAAGTTAGAACTTTATTTTACAAAGAACAATTTTCTAAATTTATTCAACTTGGATTTAGCACAGGATTTCCACATTTCTTTTCACACAAAAAGGAGCGATTACCCATTATACATAAGGAACTAATTGCACTCTACCAGTATTTTCTGGTTCTTCACCAATGAAATACCAATTTCTCTATATAAATAAAAAACATCAGGCGTACTCAGTACTGAGTTAGTGCTTGAAATCCAGGCCCTAAACTGGGGCAGCTACTATATTCTACATATCCTTGCTTGTCAAAGTAAAAATATGAGGTTATACTGTAGATAATTTATAAAAGGAAAACTTACGGAATAGATTTTCTTTTAGGAGATCTATATCTTCTCCTATTGTTTGGAGAATATTTCACTTTAAATGCCTCAGCCTTTGTCCTTAAAAAAAAACAGTGTAAGTGAATGACAGAAGGAAGGGAAACAGGTAAAAAATATGTCCCAACACAACCTTGGACACCACTATAAATCTGTTTTATCATAAAGGCTCTGTTAATATGTTGATCAGTGAATTTATAAAAATACTTTTTTTATGAAATTAATTTATGATTGTCACACTACAAAATTTACACACACAGCAAAAGTTCTTATTTAAAGAATTGACATGTGAACACAAAATAATTATCAGGACTGGCCCTTACAGAAAAGTTTTAAGAATTAATTTCCCTGACCTTATATGATACATTTGAATACAGGTTTTCTACGTTTGCTTTTTTTACGCAGGATTTGTTAAACTGTAAAGAAATTAATTTACTTACTCTACATTAACATATGGTATTTCTCTTAATTGTTCCTCTGTCATTTCATCTGCTGGCTCTACAAGGTCAAATTCTATATGTTGACGTAGTTCTTCAGGCGGTCTTTTACTGTTTCCTGGCGACTTGCTGCGCCTACGTCGCATCTTCTTCTGACGTGACTCACCTAGCGGTGCCGAATGTATGGACGGTATTGACCTACAAAACAGTGATTTAGTTTGCACAAATTCATATTTGTTTGATTGTGCTGGAAGCAATAACCTTATTTTTAAACATTCTCGAATCTGTTCCTGGAACAAACCAGTTCTAAGCTTTGAGTTGTAATTTTCTTGCTCATGGAAACAATAGCTGGCCCCTGACAGAGTTTGAACCCACACAATTAGCAATACTTTGATTTCTAGTCCTATACGTTCAGAACTCCCAGACAGAGATCAATTTCTTAAAATGCTAAATTGCCAATGCCACCTGTAAAGACCAGGCTGTATAGAGTAAGTTCCTAAATTTTATCATATTTAAAACCCATCAAACTCGTAATGTGCAATTGCAAGTTTAATCCTTACCACCCTTAACATCTAACTGGTCTAAGTGGCTACGCAATTGTTTGTACCTTCAAATTAATCCATTCATAATATATATGTTTTAATTTCTTATCTTAAGATTCAAACGCAACAATTTAACTATGTAATATATATAAATCATGTCTTTGTTCAAATTTCGATTGACTGGCATTGATTTTATTGTTTCTGTTTAATAAAACACTACAGATTGTATAAATCACACAGAAAAGTTATCTTATTTGTTGGACTTTAAGGGGCCTTCACTGACATCCAAAAGTAATGAAGAAATATACACAGAATTTAATTGAAAATTGTTTTTTTTGTGCTATTCCTAGACCTATTTAAGTGAAAGCCATTGCAAATGCTTTTCAATTTTGGGTCAAAAGGAACATTAATCTAAGTTAATTCATGCCAAAAAATCTCAGTGGAGTCCCTTTAAGCTATCAATACATCAACATTTAATACAAATCATACAGTAACTCGTTCAGCCATATTTTATGTAAGTTGCTCCAAAGCACTGTGCCCACTGTGGTAAAGACATAGGAAAGAAGATATATTCAATGAATTTTGAGAAGAAATAAGGTTGACATACCCATTTGGTCTATTTTCTTTGCCAGGGAGATATATACTGTAATAGAAATGTCATTTAATACCATTAACTAATTCATCTTTTTTATAACAGACTTGAAAAGCATACTGGATTCACAAACAATCTTAAACATTGTTAACAAGTAATTTGTATAATGTAGAATTAAGTAAGTTCAAAAAGGCCCATAACTCTGTCAAAAATCCATGTAAGAGTCATAAGCCTTGGGCAGTCACCTCCTATAATGCTCTCAAATAAGTGTGTAAAGTTTCAACCCATTCCCTTCAGTAGTATGGAAATACCAACATGCATGCAAAAAATTAAACAAAATGTGACCCAGACGCCTGGGTGAGAACAATTAGCTGAGCTTAAAAAATTTTTTTAGTGAATATATTGCCACAGTTTTAGCTTTGAAACTTTAACACTTACTTTTGCATGGCTGATTGCCATTCTGTTTCAAATTGATCAGTTCCTACACTCTTTGCTTTTCTCTGTCTGGCTTTAAAATTGGGGGAGATATCTGACTCACTACCAGAATCAATCTCTCTCCTAGAATATATAAACGTTATGTCAGAAATCATGATACAAAACAATGGGTTTGAATCAATCAATTTCATAATGAAGAATCTTTATATAATTACTTTTTCAAGGTGAGTGAAATGCAATTTAGGAGAGCTTGTGCTACTAAAATTCTTGTTTAAGAATTAACAAGTCCATAAGCTATTGATTTACATACTTGCCACCAATATGACAGACAAGATAAAAAAACAAAATGCGAAAGTTGGGCTAAAATATATGAACAATTTCAAATATTAAATGTTTCACCTCCTTCTCCTTGTGAAAGACACATCACTTTCATTGTCAGATCCCTTCCTGCTGCTAGGGAAATACCTGAAATATACCAATACAGGCCATAAGAGTAACGGTCATAATTTACATCCTACTATAATATACCATGCAGATAATAGATTAATATTATATAAGAACACCTGTATTTTTAAGGATATTCTGAATATCTGAAAACATTTTGTTATGATATGTAGAAGTATCCATATTAAACTGGAGATCAAATCTGTGTAAGTTTAAAACTTTTATTTCTATCCATGACAATAAGCTTAAACATATATTGTATTTATCTACGCTTAACAGCTAAAACAAATTTTTGGAACTTACATTTATCACTTTCCAGTCAACTTCCTGGAACTAACCAGTACTGGTGTCATATGAAGAAACATGATTTTGACATGAGTAGGACTCGAACTCATAATTGCTACACATTTACCACTAGGCCACCACTCCTCCTTAATTTTGACAATTACACTATCTTAATTGTATAATGTATATAATAGATGTTTTTTATCCTTTTTCCTTCTTACCAAATTAGTTAATTAGTTAAGTTGGTTTAAAACTACCCATATCATAAAATGTAAAGTAATTATAAAACCACATCACAAAAAAATATCAATCACTAATATTAAATTTTTTTATTTCATTTTGAACTGAAAAAGAAAAGAAAAAACCCAATCTCTTTGAATGATTTGCAAGAAAAAGAAAATATTCAAGTCAAAACATTTTACCCACTGGTACAAGTATAAAGAATATAAATATACTTTTTTCCATAATTTAGAGCTAAATATTAATAATAATAAAATGTATAAAAATATTTTTAAAATGCACCAGTTATTTTACCGAGCCTTTCAAATATATGATATACAATGTCTTACCATTTAAACAATTGATATTATCACTGTAAAATATAAACCAATTATGATACACGTTCATATATTTTAGGAAATATACATGTATTATTATATACTGAGATTTACATGGGATCTAAGATTGATATAGTCATTGGGTTTATAGGTTAAAAAGACTTAGATTAAGATGTTCCATTGGAAATATAAGTTTTTCACCAGTTTAGATAACACAATAGCACATTGTCTTGTTAACATTAATTAAATGTCAGTCAATCTTTCCTTACTACAACTTCACCGAAATTTCCAAATACATCAAACTTCCAAACAATTATACACGCAGTTATTAATCATTCTAAATTGGGTTAAATTTCAAGTAGGATAATACTAACTACACTACTGCATACACATGCAGAGCTGATACAAGATCAGTGCAACACCACTACTGCAGAATAGGTGTTGCACCACTTTAACCTGACAGGGTATTACACCACTATTGAAAAAATAGGTGTTACATCACTAATTAATTTTGTAACAGGCATCACACCACTATAACACTTCTACACTATACACTCACTGTCTACGCCTGATACTTCCATGTGCACTGCTGCGTGAGTCACTATCATATCCAGACCGTCTCGTGACCGAGTAACGGTCATAAGCACTCATCTTGATTTGATACCCTCTGAATACAGTAATAATGATTTTTCATGAAGGATTTCAAAAACACTTGAAACGTGTCAATAGGGCAAACATGCCCCCACATTCCACTGTATCGTCAGTCTACGGATGAACAGCATGACAGACGGCTAAGGTCATTTTTATACATCTCCAAGTAATGGTGGGATAAAAAGTGTATAGTATGTGTATATTCAAAAATCACTTTTTTTTTTAAATCTAGAAAAAGTAATTTTCTGAAAAAAAAATTACTATAAAGCAAATCTATAAATATAAACATAATTATACTCTATCACAACATTGTTTTTTTTGTACCTGTGAAAAAATCATACAACATCAAAAGCATTGACTCAAATCTGCAGGGAAAATTAAAGTATCTTATCTTATCAAAGTATTAACTGCTTAAAACCATCATATAATTTTATCAAACTGTTAATATCACTACATGAAGGCAATAAATGAGCCGTGTCACGACAAAACCAACATAATGGGTGTGCGACCAGCATGGATCCAGACCAGCCTGCGCACCCGCACAGTCTGATCAGGATCCATGCTGTTCGTTTTCCAACCATATTACAAGTAGAGAAACTGATAGCGAACAGCATGGATCCTGATCAGACTGCTTGGATCACATGCTGGTCAGGATCCATGCTGGTCGCAAACGCACTATGTTGGTTTTGTCGTGACAATTATGTTTCCTTTCTCTCATGAAGCTGGTCATTTTGGGATATGGAAAAGTTATGTTCATTGGAAAATAAAGAAATAAAACTACATGTACTCAACTTAAATTTATATAGGTTATATGAATAATAATATTTATATCTTTAATCAAGGTTTAACAATGTTTTGTACTGATGTAAGTTGAAATAAAATCTAAACAAATCCTTCTTTTAGTCTGTTGCTCATTACTATTTCAATAAAAATATTATTATTGAAACCACTTCATGGCCTTGTACTTAAAATATCACTGGAATAAAGTGTTTAAATCTTCATTCATGTTTTCCTAGGACGCCAAAATTATTACACACAGAGTGCTTGGTGTCTAAATATTGAATGATTACCAAACAAAGTTAACAAACTGCAACTAAAAATGTGTTATGTGCTCGATGGATATCGCAAAATGTTGAGCTATCAACCAACAATATCAAAACACTACCACTATGAGATACCTATTGTACTTTTAGTAAGCATCTTCCATTCATTTATATTGATACAGAAGTCATTAAATAAAATTCTAAACATAAAACACCATTCAAATTTTCAGGCATGCATTCCACTATCTGCAACAAGCACTATAACACACTGGGACACAAGGACATTGGCAGTCAAGTGTTTGCATTAACATATTTATCTGGTCATACTATTATTTGATTACTTAATTTTCTACAGATCTGCTATAAAATGTAAAAAATTTCAAACAATTTGCCATTTTAAGCCTCAGTGACCTGATAATTATCAAACGATAGAGGTCTCTATACAAATGTAGTACATGTATCATAACACTTAAATGTCTAAGATATCAGACAGAACATGAACTTTGAATTTGTATATAATAAATGGTGAGCGATGGAAGCTCGACTTTTTTATTGCTTGCCAATAAAAAAAGTTTTTGCAGTAAAAGGCAATACAAGAATCTCTGTATTTTTAAAGTGAACTAGTTGTTTGATACCCTTGAATATTACAGCAATGTTTATATGACATAATTTATGGTAAAGTGAACAAGTGGATAGGAATGAATTTTTTTAGATTTTTTAAGTTTTTTAGTGCTTGCCTATAATACAAAACATTGACAGTTAAGGGCCATAATTCAAATAAAATCTTTGACAGAATTACCTTCTCCTGGACATGTTTGGGAATCATGATTGTAAACAAGACTTCCAACTTTCAAATTAATATCTCAAACAGTTCAGTCAAAAAGTGGACTGGTACTAAAAACTTAACCAAGATTCTAAGTCGATAAAAGGCCTTAATTTTTAAAACAAATCCTTGACAGAGTTACCTTCTCTTGCGTACAGATGGGGGTAATGATGTGAAATAGCATTAAAAGTTTCAAAGCAATATCTCAAAGGGTTAAGGCAATAAGTGGATTTTACCCATATTCAATGTATTTTCTAAGTCAAAAAGGGGCATAATTCTGTCAAAAACCTTGACAGAGTTATGTCCTCTTGTCTGTTGATGAAGGTCGTGATGGTAAACAAGTATGGTCAGTTTCAAAGCAATACCTCCAATGGTTTTGAAATAAAGTGAGGTGGTACAAAAAAACTTAACCAAGCTCAATACACTTTCTAAGTCAAAAAAGGGCCATAATTCTGTCAAAAACCTTGACAGAGTTATGTACTCTTGTCTGTAGATGGAGGTTATGATGGTGAACAAGTATGGTAAGTTTCAAAGCCATACTTGTAATACTTCTGAAATAAAGTGGGGTGGTACGAAAAACTTAACCAAGGTGTGACGCCAACGCCGACGCCGACGCCGGGGCGAGTAGGATAGCTCCCCTTTTCATAGAAAAGTCGAGCTAAAAAGGACAAAATGACAAAAATAATTATGAAACATTGAGAAATAAATTGACTAAATTTAATTGAGACAATAACATTCTCATGGAAAAAATTTAAATAGCTAATTACTTTATAAATTCACTTCAAATGCAATTTTTGTCCAGTTTTTGGACTATACACCATACAACACTATAAATCTAGGGTCACACAACCACTGCATCACAACAACATCAAGTAACTTACTTATTCCTGGTACCTCCATCACTATCATACCCTTGTCTATATGGTCTAACCATGGAATAAAATAATAGACAATGTATACCATATAACCTTAGTTTATACAGGTATCTAAAGCATAATCATACCCTTCTTATATAGTCTGACCATGGAATCAAATAATAGGCAATGTATACCATATAACCTTAGTTTATACAGGTAACTAAAGCAAAGTCATACCCTTGTCTATATGGTCTGACCATGGAAGAAAATAATAGCCAATGTAAACCATATAACCTAAGTTTATACAAGTTATATGAATACTTACCAACTGATAATCAAAAGTACATTTAAAATATCCAAATAGTCATTAATAGATTTGTGTTATTCTGTCAATATTTGCAGTACTTTTCAGTCTCATTGAAAAGTATGTTTCAGGACACTTCAATTGAATCTGATTGTGTTAAGTGGACTAACCTCCCAGTTTTGACCAAGAGATTTTTTAAAATTGGCGTTAAAATGAAACTGTATTTCATTCTATCTCAAATGTAACTACAATAATTTCAAAAAGATTATTTTAAATTTTGATAAAAAATCGAGACGGTCATCAATGGTAAGAATGGATAATATAATAATATAGAGAGTTTAATTATCTCGACTTACTTTCTTCTATATCCACTTTCACTATCACTCTCTCTGTGACGCCGCAGGTAATTCACATTTTCACTCTGTGTAACTGATACCGGAGATTCACGGCCGGAAGTGTACAGACCTCTGAATATATGTAAACATGCCATTTAGTCTGATCTTATAACCAATACATGTCTTTATCATAGAATTAGAATTTAAGGTATTTAGATGCCTCATGCAGAAACTCCTCTCTGATAAGTATTCATTTTCAGTAAGAAAGCATAACTAAACATACTTAAAATCATTTTTAAACTTAAGTATTGTAGATAGCCAAATAAAAAACTTCAAAGAATGAGCCTTATTCCTCATGTACAGACTCAATCAAACCGAGTCTGCAATTTTCATGTCATTTTGCTGTTTTTAATGCTTCCGAGCGATCACTTTTCTTCAGATATTTAAATGAATGTTGTTGGTTTATGTATCCAAGAATACAAACTTACGCATCCATGTTATTTTCCCAGGGAGCTGATCTTGTGCTTGTAGGTGATTCTCTCCCTTTTAAATCAGGCAAGCTTCGGTGGCGTGACCTGAAAATTATCCAAAGATCTCCAGTGTTGCACAGTACAATGTTTATCCAAATTATATTGAGGAAATGTTACATTTGACCATAATTATAATGTATTCGGAAAAAGTTTCCTTTTGCAAGATGCTTTCAATTTTCTTTCAATATATCATGTTGACACTATTGTACATTGCTAACGACTTTTATCCTTTAAGATTACATGGAAAATGTCTTACACACTCAATTTTCCAATACAGTATACATTGGATTCTATATTGACCAGTACAGGAAATATATTACGAGTTATAAAGCTGCAATTGTTCTAAGTTAATGGTATAGAATTTATCTACATATTTTATTACATGTCATTTTTTACATTTTCCTCTTTCCAACAATTCCAAATGTAAAATGACTCATCTACAAAATTCCCCGAAGCAGCATTATCACATAAAAATATTTTATGTGACATGTAAAAATCAAACTTGAATATCAAATATCATCTATGTTAACTCACCCTTTCACATGTTCTGGTGTGACAACCATAGTAACATGACCTTCATTATATTGTAAACCAGTCACCGTATCACCTGCTTAAAACAAAGTATAGAAATTGTTGAAGCTTAAACAAATAAGACAATCAAAATATACATTTCAAATTTTAGGCATTCTATAAATAGAATAACAAGAGTTGTCAGAAGAGCAGCATAATTAACTTTTCTTAGTTCTTGATAGTAAAATAAGAGCCTGGATGATGTAGAATTTTCCAAGTTCAAATAGGGCCGTAATTCTGTCAAAATCCATTAACATTTATGGGCCTTAGACAGTGACCTTCTATTATGCTCTTAAATAAGTGTTTGAAGTTTCTACCCATATGTTTCAGCAGTTTTGGAAATACCAACTTGCATGTAAAAACTAAACCAAAGTGTGACCGAGAAACAGACATCTGGGCAAGTACAATAACTCTCCCTATTCTTCTAATAGTAAACTTAAAATGGAAACTGAAGGATTTAAGGACTGAGAGACAGTTCAGATGGCATAAAAAGCGATAACATTAAACAGGTATATTAACCAATAAAAACATTTGAATCAATGTCAAACTTATGATAAACAAACCTTGATTAAGTCTGGAATCTGACACAGCTCTCCGTGCCTGTCGTCTACTTTGTACACGTAAAACACGTGGCTGATCACGCCCACTATTTTCTGCATTGTTTTGTCGGTCTTGTCTCCCACTGAAACAACAGCAGAGTATTATTATATGCTAAATGTTCTAAAGAAAGTCATTCAGGACTTTAAAAACTTAAATATCCTATTGATCAGAAAGCCTTTTTGTTTAATCAGGGGGTTGTGTTATGAATTCTTAATCAGACTCATCAATTAATATTACATTTTTATCATGGCATTTTTAAGTTAAGTCTATCAATAGTACTACTATCAGGTAGGAAAAACTAGAGGTGCAAGATGGACAAGCAATTCTTCGGCCTGTATAGTCAAACCTTGATAACCTGGTTCATACATAAACTTTGTAAGTGTACACTGACTTACAGTGACCTTCAAATACAGTAAGACCAAGATGAAGTTTGATGTTACAAATGACTTCGTTCTGAGGTTATGAGTTCTATGTAAAACTTTAACCGAAAATATTTTGTTGATTTACAAAAGGGCTATAATTCAGTCAAATTCCATGAGTTTTGATCAGTGACCTTAAATTACAATCCTCAACATAGTTGTGAAATTTTCAAGTAAAATTTCTTCATTAGTTAATTAGTTGCACTCAAGCCATGCAGATTCCATTGTGAATAGGATAACATCACTTTTCTTTACATAGTAGGGCTAGACATAACAAATATTATGTTATGTTGCACTTCAAAAACTTACCCAAAATAAAAACCTAAACACAGGTTAATGTAACAACATTTGAGCCACGTCATGACAAAACCAACATAATGGGTTTGCAACCAGCATGGATCCAGACCAGCCTGCGCATCCGCGCAGTCTGATCAGGATCAATGCTGTTCGCTATCAGTTTCTCTACTTGTAATAGGGTTTGTAAGCGAACAGTATGGATCCTGATCAGACTGCGCAGGCTGGTCTGGATCCATGCTGGTCGCAAACCCATTATGTTGGTTTTGTCATGACGCGGCTCAATTTTATATAAATACTAGTATTATGTCAGTCACAGCAAACTAACTACTAAAAGCAACTATAATAATCAGCCCAACACCAGAAACAGAAGAATGTGAAATCAAATTTGTCAAATATCTTATATTCTTCCTTTCCTTTAAGATAAATTTTTAGATATATTTTCTTTCATGCTAAAGAAAGCAAATTTGAAATACATGTGCATTGAACAACACAGGCAAAAGGTACAAATTTGATTTCACATGAAGATTATTTGTTAAGCTTAGTTCTAAATTTGATTAGTTGCTTATTAACTGTCTCATTCTTCAAAGTTTTTGTTTAGGATAATACCCAACTTTTAAACAGAAACATATCATGATCCATAAAATGTTTTACCATTTTTTTTATGGTAATACATTTCCAAAATTATCATAAGATTTACAAAACTTTGAAATTCTTTTCCATTGAAAATTGAAGCTTAATCAAAAGAATTTTCTAAGCTCAAATATTCATAAATTATTTTGTTAAAAATTAAATAAAATGTATTACAAAAAAACTATTTTGGAAAGACGGTGAATCAGAATCTTTCAATATCAGTTAAGTGGGGAAAAAAACAATGTGAATGAAAATGGTAACAAATGTTGAATGTTTTTTTAAACAAGCTTTCCCCCCATTACAAAATCATAAAGGATCATCAATAATGCTTTCAGCAAATTCTTTCAAATGAAATTTTAATTCAAAGTTTCAATAGCACTCTTTTTTCCCCATTCATATAGACCATGGCCAAAAGTTTAACAACAATCCTGATCAATTTAACAAAAACCATGGATTGGTTATAGTTTGAATCGGTCTAAATCACTGAAATTAATGCCATGGACCAAGCACTGCAACCTGGACCACATAATGAAACTATGAATCAAACATTAATTGGTACCTTCACATTGGATTACTTTAATAAACCATGGATATAGCATTTATTGATAACTTCACATTGGATTACTTTAAAGAAATCATGGATCTAGCACTTATTAATAATAACAACTCTTAGGATTGCTTTGATAAAAATTTGGACTAAACACTTTATTTATAATAGCACAATGGATTACTTAAATAAAGCTATGGTTAAAATACTTACCATATTTTAAAAACAATACATTGTTTTGCATTCATAAAACCATATGCTTCAAACATTTGAATAAAATGTGGGGTATATTTAATAAAATCATGTATAGTTAATTCAAAACCATGGTTTAAGCACACATTTTTAACAGCACTCTGGTATAATTGGTATTATTTCAGGGTTTGACATAAAAAAAACAACAGGTATTTGTTACGATGGGTGGAATCATGTTGGTGTGATGTTTAATTTAACGTATGACGACCCCTATGTTGGTGTGTTTTGTAACAAACTTACCTGTTTCTGTGTTGGGAAGTAGATCTATATGGTCTACTAGTTCTAGAGTTGGAGGCAACCAGCTGATTCATTCTAACAAAGGAAACATGACACTATGAGTGATATGTATGATAATATAATGAACAATATGAAATATCTGACCATATAAATGTATATAATATACATGATAGTTATACATATGCTGAAAAATAGAAACTTAAAAAATAAATTTTTATTGAAATTGACCAAAGAAATCGATAGATAAAAAGTTCTTGATCTATGCAATCTTAATTGAAAAAAGAGAAAAATATGAAGCTTATATAGAAGTCTGCATGTCTACCAAAAATGCTATTTAAAATTAAAAAAAAAACAACAACAAAAAACAACATCACAGACCATAAAATGTGTTCTATATGTTACAAATATATAATCTTACAATAAAATATAATTGTAGGTTAGACTGAACAAGTATTTTTTGATTAAATAATGACCAGAGATATTCTAGTAACATTTCATTATGTTCCTTGTATAAATATATAAAATGATAATATGTAAAACATATCATTGAAAGAAATGAATAATATGTAAAACATATCATTGAAAGAAAATGAATTATGGTCAGACATTTCATAAAGATGAAAACAAAACACAAGCATCTAAATGGATGATGATGATGTCTAATACTTTGTTACACACATAAATCACTGATAAGTCAGTAGGTAAGTTTTTATTTAACTGTTTTATTTAAGCATGAGAGTATTACCATTAAACATAATTTCAGTTTCAGTATTATATAAACAAAGGCATATACATGTAATATGCAAGTTAAGTATAACAAAACAATTTAGTAAAAAAAGTTCAATGAAAATCAATAGTAAATTGTTATTCATTTGCTTGGTTATGGTGATTCTTTATGTAAATAGACTGGTTTCACTTTACTTCACAGACTGGTAGATTTTGTTTATAATATAATATGAATACTTTAGTGCCAAAATGAACTTTGATGAGTTGATGGTGTGATTGTAAAGCCACTAAAACATGTCTCAAAAAACATCTATAAATATATTAATGATAAAACAATAGGAGGAAAAAGGAAGTAATTCTAAGTAACTAATAAAATAATAAGTCCAAAAAAAATTCTTAAATTGATGCATTTATTTAAAAAAAAAGGTAAGAAAAACAAAACAAGATAAAAATGTTAAAACCAAGGTGTTATTTTTCCAATTAAGAATAACACAGTTGTTGCATTTGAAAGCTAAGCATTTCAGACTTATAGTAATAAGAGTGACATTGTCATAAAATGCAACTATCACAAATCCTCAATCTCATGATGGTGAACATTTACATTTTCATCTGACCTCTTACTGTGACCTTGACCTTTGACCATGAGACCTGGTGGCTTGGCACAACACTATTTCTTATGGTGGTGATTTGCATCAATTAATATTAAAATCCATGCACACGTGTAAATAATATACTCAAGACAAAGTCTGGTTATTTCATCACCTCTGGTGACCTTGACCCTTAACATATTGACCTGTATAATGCTGGTAACACTCAGTCTCAAGATTGTGAACATTTATGAAATAATCCCTCAATTAAAGACAACATTGTCTTTACTTACATTTTCATGTTTTTATCTGACCTTTGATTTCTATATTTGACCTTGACCTGATTCATGTGTACAACACTATGCCTCAAGGTTGTGAACATTTGTATCTAATAGTAATTAAGCCTCTCCATGCATGTAAAAGTTAATGCTACTGATAAAAGTGGATGCTGCCAGGCTGTAATGGCTGTTCCCATTAAACAACTTGTTTTGCAAGTGGACATAATATAAAGAAAAAAAACTTGATTTTATTAAGTTAAGGGTAAACAATTAATGTGTTACACATGTATTTCAAAAGGTGGTCAATAATGTTTTTCTTGGTTGGGTATTTAATACACACTGACACTTTAAAGACCACTATGGCAACTTTCCTTCACACACATTCCCCTCTGTGTTTTTCGATAAACAACTGAAGAGTTTCCTTTCATGGAATCAATAGTGCCTAGCAAGACCCAGAGCATTTTCAAAGGCACAAAATATAAATTGTCAAAACTTTCTAGCTGTGATGCTACAGTATTCAAAGAAATCAAGTATTTTCATAAAAAAAAAATTAACATCAAAAGGAATCAACTGTTAATACAATCAATCCTGTTAAAATAAGTTTGCAAAACTCAAAAACTATTACCTTGACATTCTAGGGAAGCAAAAACAAAAATAAATGTAATTTTCTTTACAGGTTAAACCATTACTATGATATACAACAACAAAAAATTAAAATTTATATCATATATGTATACATGTATATTAAAATAACAATATCAAAATCAAAATATTTGGCTCATGATATGCACAATAAGCATTGAAAGCGCTACCGAAATAATTGTTTGTTTTGTTATTTCTTAAATATTTTACTGTTTTTATTTCAACACTGCACAAGGAACATTTATCATGTTTTAATGCATGTACATGTAGTCTTAAATCAAATGCAAATTCAAACAGTTATGTATGTACCAAATTTTATTGTATATGTATTTTTGTCAGTTTATAAATATCCAGTTGTCATCCAAACCAAATTTTATTGTATACTGTATAACTGGTTTTATTTGTGTTCGATTAAAATTCAGGAATCAAATTATTTCCATACTCATAGTAATCCAAAATTAACATGTTAGCTCAATATTGCAAATATCTTATTTCAGTTACCAGCACTTTCCATTCTGATGACGATGGGAATTCACAAATACACAACTAAAGAAAAGTTCACTTTTCTGGATATAAAAAAAATGTGTAATTTTTACAATGCAAGTTTAATGCATTCTACAGAATATTTGTTATGTACAGTAATTGTTGTATATAACCAGTTAGTGTTTATATAACCTTCCTCACTAGGTTCATTGAATATATTTTCAGTTAGTTTATATATAACCAGACATATAAACAATGTATATTTCAGAACACACATTATAGAACAAAAGTATAATGTAAGCCAAGGTTTATAAAGTCATATTATTGTGGTGTTGTAACTACCAGATCTACAGTTTATAAATACATTTCTGTACATATATTTGAAGCACAGATTATAGATGAAAAAAATTAATATGTTTATAAGCTTTTTTTATATAGAAAATCAAAGACTGTGAACAGATGTAACAGTAGTGAACTTCAGTATAGCTCTAAAAGGTGTAGCAATATTACAAGTAAATTAATTTTTCTTCAGTATAAAGAGATCTGATTGAATCAGGAAATTCTTGATTTTTTAATAATTATTAAGGTATACTCTTAGATATGTACAAGACATAATAATTGAGCCGCGTCACGACAAAACCAACGTAATGCGTTACCAACTCTTTACCAAGTAGAGAAACTGAAAGCGAACAGCATGGATCCTGATCAGACTGCGCGGATGCGCAGGCTGGTCTGGATCCATGCTGGTCGCAAACCCAATATGTTGGTTTTGTCTTGACACGGCTCATATTATAGAATATTTCTCAAGTATCGTTCATAATCTACTTAATATAAAACTAGGAAAGGCTATAACATTGATATTATCTTGAATCATAGAATTTTTCCTGATTCATAAAACTACACAATATATATCTAATGATAGCCAAACAATTATATATGTATATCTATAGAAGGTGAATAAAAACAATTACCTGAAGAAGGTATGATGCTCTACACAACATTTCCACAAGTGTTTACATGCAGGCTTAGTTGCTAGCTCAAATGCATATGTGTGTTCATCATTCTAGAAACATGCAAACTTTCATACAAATCTTCACGATACTGGGAAAACTCACATTCAAACGATTAGCAACATGGTTAATATGAAATATTGTTTGGAAAATATGTAATTTTTGTTTGTTACTTTCTTTGTTTACTGGTTTTTACACATATTTCAACATATTTTTGGTCATATCTTGGCGATAAGTCCACCTAACCAGCTTTATTGGCTAACTAACCAGTAATAACTAATTTTTCCCTGAATGGTTGTATTACTAATTGTACATGATTTCTGAATCAGCGGTGAGAGGCAAAAGACCATTAGACTCAATATCCAAGATAAATTATCATGGAAAAATAACGCCTCACCAGAGGATTGAACCAGCCACCAGAGGATTGAACCAGCAACCACAGGATTACAGATGCTCTCCCTATAGAGCTTAAAGCAGGTAGGATGTCACATTTAAAAATATAAATTGACAATGAGTAAAAATTGCCAAACATTTCATAAAACTTTCCAGAAAAATACAAATAGAAAAAAAATTCACTACATAAATGTGTAAAAGAATTTCACACAAATCTTCAATGTAATATTATATATCAAAGTAAAGTAGATAAAATGAATTATACAGGGAGTACTAATGCTGGTTGAAAACAAGCAAATGATATTTAACAAGGGAACAGAAAGCTTCAAAGGGTAACAAAACATGATAAAAGAAATGCCCTGATTAATAAATTGTAAATCTTTAATTGCTTTGATTCAAACATCAAAATAAAAATTCTTATACAATATTCATGTCTTTATGGGATTGTTCAATCACATCAGAAAACCAATGAACAGTGACAAATAAATATTGCTGATGTTGGAAACCAATGGCCCATTCCACTGATCAAAAAAATAAAACATTTCATCTAGTTTGACTTGGTAGAAATTCAGAAAATCTATAATAAACTACCAGGTTTTAGCACCATACATTATGCAAGAAGCAATTTATTATAGATTTCAAGCAGTACAGTAAGGAAAGACTGAGTTTTGTACTTATACACATCATCCTATACAACAATTTCGAGGCACTTAAGATAGCTTGGTCATAAACTGGGAAAAATATTTCCTAGACTAAACTGAATATCATAATATAAATATAAATAAATAATGTTAAAAACTGAATTGTTCTGTTTTTAAAACATCAAAAAACAAGAGCACCGCTAGGTGGAGCATTAAATGCCCGAAAGTGTTTTTTTTTAAAAACATTTGTAGCATTTGTAAGACATGGGAATTAGCTGTTCATCCTATAAAATTTTACAGCTGTAGGTTGATTAATACTTAAGTTATTGAGCGGAAACTGTGTTATAGTGACTTTAGCCTTGTGATCCAAAATCAATAGGGATCTTCTACCCAATATGGACAATTATCCTAAGAAGTTTGAATATTGTGGGCCAAATGGAACTTTAGTTCTGCTCCAGAATCTGTTTTCAGTTTTAAGGTAATAGTGACCTTGACCTTTGACCTTGTGACCCCAAAATCAATAGCAGTCTTCTACCCAATATGCACAATAATCATTCTATGAAGTTTGAATATTGTGGGCCAAATGGAACTTAAGTTATGTTCTGGTTTTAAGGTAATTGTGACCTTGACCTTGTGACCCCAAAATTAATATGGGTTTTCTACCCAAAATGGACAATCATCCTATGACGTTTAAATATTGTGGGCCAAATGGAACTTAAGTTAAGCTCCGGAAACTGTTTTCAGTTATTAAGGTAATAGTGACCTTGACCTTTGACCTTGTGACCCCAAACTCAATAAGGGTCTTCTATCCAATATGGACAATCATCCTATGAAGTTTGAATATTGTGGGCCACATGGAACTTAAGTTATGCTCCGGAAACTGTTTTCAGTTTTAAGGTAATAGTGACCGTGACCTTTGACCTCAGAATATCAATAGGGGTCTTCTACTCAATATGGACAATTATCCTATGAAGTTTGAATATTGTGAGCCAAATGGAACTTGAGTTATTCTCCGGAAACTGTTTTCAGTATTAAGGTTATAGTGACCTTGACCTTTGACCTTGTCACTCTCCTGTGAGTGCAGACAGATGGACGCCAGGGGGTATAACATAATATGCCCTTTTGGGCATATAAAAAAAAAACTTTCAGAATAAATGAAATTTCAGCATGCAAGTTTAGAAGATATACCCAGATGTACTGTAACCATAGCAATAAAATGATACTTACAATCTTGTCCTTCACACGAATAATGAAAACTTTTCCTTTGAATGTAATCTTGGTAATTCTTGGCCTATTTAAAAGTAGCGAAAAGATAAATATATCCATAAACTTGTAGATAAATCTCTTATTTGTTTTTTTGTTGTTTTTTGTTGTTGTTTTTTTTTAATAATTAAAAAAGGTTAATTGAATTTGAAGTAGATCAAGACCTTTCAGCCTTCTTACAGCAAATCCTAAATTAGCAGTTTAAATTATAAACATGTATATATAGAATCTAAATTTTATTATGATACTATTGTCCTTTTTTTGTTGTCATACTAAACAGTGTTTAGGTCTAATGGAATATTACCAATTTTAATAACGGAGGAACACTTTAGGCTTCTTGTGTGAGTTTACTCAATAACACTTTACAACAGTAAATATCTTAATGAAATTGTCAATCTTTCAATTAATTATCATTTTTAAGCAAAAACTTTTAAAAAAACATAAAGTGACTAAATAGCAAACAATGCAGACCATGATTAGCCTGAACATGATGTTTGTTTTTGCTCTGATTATAATACAATACAAGACAAGAAGACATCATACTTAGTTTATTTTAATCAGACAAATGGTATGTGTGTGTCGGAGGTGAACAAAATATGTTCCTGTTTTATTTACACCCTTGTATATTTATCTAAATATTTTGTTATCAAGATTGTTTTCCCAACCTCACAACATTGTTTTTGTGACTGGTTTCTGACGAGGACAGTGACTTCAAGATAGTGGACTGTATAAAACAAGGCAGTTTCAATTATCAATTTCAAATTAAGTTTTATTTTGTGTTATTCCATTTACCAAGAACTTACCAAAAATAATTTCCAACTTTGGTTTTATTCTTGTAGACTACAATACCGGTGGGTGTAAGACCAAGGAAATATTCTGTGTTGCTTTCACCCTATCATCAAAGAAAAGATATACAAAAATATTCCATTAAATTGAATTCATGCAATAACCATGTTCATTATCATTCTTTTTTGAAATTTTATTAGCACAACTTTTTATAAATATATTGACTATGCTTTTACATTAGTACAAAGAAATTAATTCCAATTAAAGTTTTAAATAAAATTGATTTGTCGTTTGAAATTAAGCAGTGTAATAAAATATATCAAATTAGTAAAGCTACACTAAATAAATATGTTAAAATATTTTTGCCGTCGGCATAAAAACCAAGCATTCTACAGTTTCATTAACCATTTTAACAGTATCGTTGTAAATCTCATCAAATATTGTTCATAAATTAGGATTTTAAATGGAAAACCCCACGGTAACACTAAAGTTCGTATACGAATTTTAACATGCAAATGAAGACTATAATCAGCTCGTGTATGCGCTACGTCACGGTGTTATAGTTGCTATCCGGAACACAGCAAATATAAGATTTTCTTGTGCAAACACACTTTTTACCGTTTAAGCTTCACGGTGCACGAGGCCTGTGGTTCAGAAAAAATAATCATCTCATAAAACAGATTAAATTTGTATGAAAATATCCGTTACAATGCGGAAATATACTGTTAAATTAGGACTGCTACTTATAGTCATGTTTGTTGATTTAATATTGATGTACGGATGATCCGAAGGCGGAGTTTCTAATGCAAACAGAAATTGTACTACCGAATTCGCCACAATGAGGTTGCACATTTGTATGCTCATTAAACTCATTTTGGTTGTCTGGACACCAAAATAAGATCTGGAGTCGATATGAAACCTAATTTATTAATGAAATGTCGCTATTTCTCTTTTTTATGAAATTTATTTAATGTAACTTTAATGTATCATTGCTGAACTACATTTCTTTAACATGTTGCCTTCCATGTATTTGTTATTTTCTCATATTTCTAACTTAACAGCCATGGTTATTTGTAAGTACCTTTGATAGTAAAACAAGAGTTAATTTAACTGCTGAATGAAAATAAATATATTTTTAACGTAATTCAATTATATAGATATATAATAGATATGAGCCGTTGCCACGAAAAAAACCCAACATAATGGGTTTGCGACCAGCATAGATCCAGACCAGCCTGCGCATCCGCGCAGTCTGATCAGGATCCATGCTGTTCGCTTACAGACCCTATAACAAGTAAAGAATCTGATAGCGAACAGCATGGATCCTGATCAGACTGGCTGGTCTGGATCCATGCTGGTCACAAACGCATAATGTTGGTTTTGTCATGACGCGGCTCAATTATAACAGATATATTGATTTACCAATACAGGATGAAGGTCAACACCATACATGTCCAGCCATTTCACCTTGTCCAGGAACTTTAACTCTGCTGTAGCAGGTACTGTCCCACTGTATATAAAATATGTATCTGGTTATTGAAGAATAACTGATAAGGTAAAATAGGCAGACATGTGAATTTATCAGTTATATTTTATCTTTATCATCACCTAAGATGCAAAATAACTTACTTCAAAGTCTCACTTTAAACACACCAAAAACATACCAGTGATATACTGCGGATATATTTTAACATCATGGACAATTTCATATATTATCTATCTTTTTTTTAAAAAGAAAAATACGGGTTTTGTTTGGACAACAATTAAAGATAGTCAGTTACATCATAAGGCACATTCATTTTCAGAAAAATCCATGGTTTTCTCATGCCTATAGGAAACTAATCTGACAGTAGTACAAAAGATGGTAGTGTTTATGGAGAGAATTGCTCTATATTAGGAACCTTACGTTCCTGGCGAAATCAGTTGACAATCTAGGCTACTAACTACTAAGACAAGCAATAGTGTTACTAACTGCAAACAATACTAGTTTATATAAAGATTTTTGACTGGTTCTAAGGCCATATATAAATGGTTGTATGAAATGGTTGTATGCATATATTACAAATAACCCTTTATAAAAGGCCATATAACCTGTCAAGAATCTTTTTAACAAATATATAATACAGGAAATGAAATAACCTCATAAATTGACAGCAGCTGGGTATACATGTATATTTTATAGAAACTTCTTGATTATCCAATGAAAAGTGACATTACAAACATGCAGTATTATAAATATAGATATATTTACCCAAGCCTTCTATGATACTGAGCAATATGGTCCTCCAGCTCATCTGTCTGGTTTGGCACAAACTGGAACTCTGACACATAACCTGGTGGTAACTGCTGTGATTCATAATCACCTATCTCAGCTTTAATAAGTAAATGAAAAAGTAGAAAGTTGTAAAAACAAGAGTTAAAACTAGAATATGTCACAACGAATAATATACCATCAATGAATGACCCCTACTTTAGGCTTGAACAAGAATGAGAGAAACAAGAGCTGTCGGTAGGACAGCAACGCTCGACTATTCTTAGTGCTTGATAGTAAAAAAAAATGCTTGATACAGTTACCTCCTCCTGTTTACAGGTTGGGGTCATGATGGTGAACAAGTGTGCAAAGTTTCAAAGCCATATGTCAATGGACTTTGAAAATATTTGAACTATTACAAAAACTTTAACGTAAATTCTAAGTCGAAAAAGGGGCATAATTCTGTCAAAATGCTTGATAGAGTTACCTCCTCCTGTTTACAGGTTGGGGTCATGATGTTGAACAAGTGTGCAAAGTTTCAAAGCCATATGTTAATGGACTTTGAAAATATTTGAACTATTACAAAAACTTTAACGTAAATTCTAAGTCGAAAAAGGGGCATAATTCTGTCAAAATGCTTGATAGAGTTACCTCCTCCTGTTTACAGGTTGGGGTCATGATGTTGAACAAGTGTGCAAAGTTTCAAAGCCATATGTCAATGGACTTTGAAAATATTTGAACTATTACAAAAACTTTAACGTAAATTCTAAGTCGAAAAAGGGGCATAATTCTGTCAAAATGCTTGATACAGTTTACCTCCTCTTGTCTACAGGTTGGGGTCATGATGGTGAACAAGTGTGCAAAGTTTTAAAGCCATATGTCAATGGACTTTGAAAATATTTGAACTATTACAAAAACTTTAACGTAAATTCTAAGTCGAAAAAGGGGCATAATTCTGTCAAAATGCTTGATAGAGTTACCTCCTCCTGTCTACAGGTTGGGGTCATGATGGTGAACAAGTGTGCAAAGTTTCAAAGCCATATGTCTATGGACTTTGAAAATATTTGAACTATTACAAAAACTTTAACATAAGTGGTTACGCCGACGCCGACGCTCGGGTGAGTGCAATAGCTCTACTTATTCTTATCGAATAGTCGAGCTAAAAAGAATGTAACCTGTAGGTGTAGTAGGGAATACTGAATGAATAAGGGTGACAAAATCTTGTAATTAATCTATGGACAGAAACTTGATGTTACAAACTGTTGTCTGTAATAGTAAACCTTACATCCTGAAAATCATTTATGACAAGTTATATTTAAATCCAGCCAGTGGTTTTACAGAAACAGTCTATACAAAAATATGTCTACAGACATGCAAAGAATATTAAAATTAATGTAAATCATAACGCAATCTCTACTGACAACATTTATAAAGCTAACTATATCAGGTTCTAGCTGGCACAATAAATAGAACCACCACTCTTCGGTAATCTAGGTATATTATTATAAGCTAAGCTTTCATGAATTGAGCACAATGTGGCGAGGGACAAGTGATTCAAAATCAGAAAATTCAATCACATAACATCTACAATCTCTAGATGTATGGGGTTTGAGACCTTAATTATTCAGAACAAGAATAAAGAGCAAAACAAGTAAGAGCAGCCATCAATACCAGGCCCTGATAAATTGCATAGATATGTTTGGCTTGCGAGGCTCTACACTCATGTGGTATATACATTTTTGCTGCTAGTTATATAAAGGTTTAATCACTTACACTGTACAGCATAGGCAAACAGCTCTGATGCCTCCTCAAAACTGACCGGCAGTCTTCCATGGAGAATATCACGCTTTATTTGTAGGAAAAACTGGTATCTAAAATGATATGCATTAAAATGTTGAAAATCTACTGATTTTAAAAGATTAAAAATGTAGTTTATTGATATTATAAATATTATATATATTTCGTATTATCTTATTTTGCATGACTGATTAGAAAGAAACTAAACAATTTTATGTGATTGAACTTTTTGCAATGAACATTTCATATACATGTCCTGAACTATTTACTTATTTTATGATCAAACAAATCTATCTTAAGACAGAAATTTAAAAGAAACATTAACATTTAATTCTGATGTACATTTACTATTATCATACTTCACTTGATTTATCTACTATATAGCCCTATGTGAGGTCAGAGGGTAACAATCTGTTATGTCACAAAGCAACATTTCTTTTTTGCCCACTTAAGTTTGAGTTTTAAAAATGTTGATAAAAAGTATTTAATACAGTTGTAATTGACTTATTACAGATAGTATTTATCTTGCATTATTTCCTTATTATTATAATTATATACATTTATTTCAAATTTCATTACAGTCCAAGATTAATTGGAAAAATGTAATCTTTCTTATATTTTTTTTTCAAAAACATACAATAAGGCTATTATAATATAGACTGACTAAATAGAATTAGTTCTTGTATAAAACATTGTACTCTTGTTCCCCTGGACAGACTGACAGACAACACTATTTCAATAAACCAGCAGACATTTTCACAAAAAATCTTACGATTTATCTTAAGTTTTCACTTACGATAATCGTAAGTGTTT